GGCTTTGGCTTCGCCCTCTGGATTATCCTGCCTTCCTTCAGATCTGATCTCCTTCTTGTTCTTCGTGTTCTGGGACTACACCACCTTGCACTCTCTGGGCGTTGCCGGACGCGTCTTGATGTCAGCTGACCGGCTGGATCCTCTGGCTACAGACTGAACTTAAAAACCAGGTTAGTGACTCACACATCCATAATTATCCTCCATCAGATTTACGTGGTCACTAACCTGTGTTTTCTTTCTGCAGAGATCCCTGCCTTGGACGCCTTAGATCTGCTCCTGCAGATCTGAAGTTTTCAAATAACCCCTGTTTGAATCTGTCTACCTTAAATACTTGGTCCCCTGTTCTAAGTCGTGACAGGATAAACATTGATCATTATCATCTGACTTTATCTCCCTTAGAAACAGAGGTGATACACTTTTAACTCCTGCTGTACTAAGATGTGATCATAGTTTTCATCTGCAGCTTTTCTTATGATGTCCATCTTTAATTTTTGTGAATTTCACTTTAGAATCTTTTTGTTTTATATTTCACCATTTTATTTATATCTATAAATTCATGATTCATGTCATATCTATGAATAAAATGCTCAAAGATTCTCCTTAAATCCTCAATGTTCCATAAATAGAAGAACCTACAGCCTGCTTGTTAAATGAGTCATTTATAAGGTCAATAGTTAACTTTAACATATCTGCTGATATGAATTACGGAAAAGAAAGCGGTTACCATGTGACTGAAACTGTCAGACTTATGGTACAAATAACTTTAACCCTTTACAACAGCAAACGTTTCACCACCAAATTGTCTCAGAAACTTTAAAAACCAGTTTAAACATTTATTAATCTAGTGTTCCTGTGTTCCTCCTTCCTAGCGGCTCACCAGCAGAGCTTTTCTGTGTTGCTTACTTTCTTGCAGCGAGGCCCTGGAACCAGTTGGGGAAGTTTCCATTTTGCAGGATGAGCTGCGCCTGAGTGTCGCGGAACCACCTCAGCACCAGCTCCTTCAGGCCTCCGTCTGCCTCCAGCATCTGCAGGTCGACCGTAGACTTCTTCGCCATTCTCAACGGCGTGTCAGGAGCTGAGTGAGCAGAGGTGCTGCAACATGCTCATCTGCAGGGACATATGAGTCTGCATGGGAGGCTGATTTGACTGTTTCAGTTGGACGTCACTCCCACATGAATGGTGGTATTGTTTCAGCTTATCTGCTGACTGCTTTCTCCCATCATGGTGCCAGCTTCATTTTAATCTCCCAGTTCCTAGTTCCAGATTGATCTTTAATTGGCTACAAACATTCTGAAATCTTTGTTGTGACCATTTTGTTTCATAAGCAAAGAAAAACACCTAACATATGAGCTGATGAAGATTCTCAGTCATCCAGGTCATAGTCATTCCATGAAAGTTTTTTTTTTTGAAACAATCCACTGGACTTGGCTTCCAAGGTTTGAAGACGTTTCGCTTCCCCTCCAGGAAGCTTTCTCAATTCAAACCTAACATTTGACCTTTCTAACTCAGGAGGTGCTTTTCATTAGCTGGTTTGCTGGACCTCAGATTTAGTGAGAATGTTCTCACATTCTGCAGAGATTGTGTCTTTAGATCTTCCAAACATGCTAAGCCAGAGGTCAAGGATTAGCGGACCGCGTTCCGGATCTGGACCCACCTGCTCGCCAATCCGGACCCAACCTGATTTAAAACAGTGTCTAACTTAACTTGCGCCGCTCCTCCTCTTAATACGGTAAAGCCCTCCAAAGTGTCTGGCACCAGGCTACACATGAACCAAAGTAGCCAATGAGTCTGGGTTGCTGCTTCTGCTACTTTTAGACACAGCAGGCAAACCTGTGGCAAGCCGGGCGATGGGAAAGAAGGAGAAGACGATGAGAAAAAGAGAGCAGAGAAAGTGTGGACTGCTGGAAGAACTGCAGTGAACTGGTGACAGAAAAGTGAAATGGCGTGCTCAAAGGTGACCCTGCACATTTAGAGGATGTTTGGCTCAACATGCTGCTGTGAAGCAGGATTCTCCACCATAAACAGAATAAAAAATAAACATGGATCCAGGCTCAAAATGAGCACCTTGATATGTGCTTGAGAATGGCTTAGTCTGCATCCAAACCCAGGTTTAAAGCCTTGCAGGGCAGCATAAAGCCCACTGCTCTCATTAAGATAGAAAAAATAAATAAATGATGGATTTCACTTAGTCGGCATTTTATTCAAATCTTTGCAAAGAGAGAAGAGTTCCCCAAACAGCCCTAATGGCCCATTCAGCCCTGTTCTGCCTGAGCAGCGTTCGTTCCCCCTTACTTACAACAATGGAAAAGTAGACAGAGTCAAAACAAATTACAGACACTTTGGTTAAACAGTAACATGTTATGAATAAACTTTGAGAAAGAATCTGGTTTGTTATGGGAAGAAGCAATGTCTGGTCTACAAACATCATCACACAGGGTATTGTGTGGTCCTGCAGGTAAAACAGACTGAGTGAAAACTTTTTTCACTGGATAAATAGCAGAACTAAATACGTGAGAGAGAGAAACCGAAATTTTCCGACCACACGGTCAATTCAGGTGTTTTATAAAATATCTGAATCAGGAAATTTTACTTTATACCAAACTGAACGATTGTTCTCTACGGAAGAGGAGTAGGGCCACTGAAAAAAAAAGTTAACTGATTTTTTTATTTTATTTCAGTTTAACATTTAACATTCTGACTTTAATCTCAGAATTCTGACTTAATTCTGACAATAAAAAAAGGCAGAATTCTGAGATTAAATTCAGAATTCTGACTTTTTTCCCATGTTAAACTGAAATAAAATTTAAAAATCAGTTAACAATTTTTTTTTTCCACTGGCCCTAATCCTCTTCCGTAGTTCTCTACTTGAAAAACACTTTAGATTTTTAAGTGGAAAAATGTTCTATTTTTTTTATTTGGAAATTGAATGTATAACATTGATGCATAAACACCTGCATTTTATTTCAGTGTTAATTTTGGTTTAAAGTAACAGACTACAATTAAAAATGTCTCCAGACCTTAACTGGTTTTTGATTTTATTTATTCCGACCCTGCTGGTTTTTAATTGGTTACCCCTGTTCTAAGCCGTCTTCTCTCTGGGAAACTTGCAGTCAGCTGCAAACTGGGGATCCAATGTAGCACTGTTGCTCAGTATATTAGCTTATTTTTGCATAAATGTTCATAGATTTAGTTTTCTTCTACCTAATGCCTTTTTCACTCTTATTTATGCACTTTCTTTAATTTAAAGATCAAAGACCTTTATTTGTTTTTCCAGAGTTGTGTTCAGGGAGTGAGAGTTTGGCTCTGCTCTCCAACCATCACAATCTTTGTTTACCTGATTTTGATACCAAGGTTTAGGACGTCCATGGACATGTTAAAGACTGAGCAGAAGTCCAGTTTCATTAAAGAGACAAAAGCCTGACTTTAAACCCAAGCAAGGAGCTTTTTTTTTTTTTTTTTTTTTTGTGGTAATTCTGATGCCAAACCTGAAGGTGCAGACCGTCCAGTTTTCCTGTATTTTTTTAATTTTTTTCTCATAATAAATTTAATATCAGAATCAAATCTCAGCTGTAAAACAACTTTCTTTAGGCTCCAGAGCAAAAAAAAATTTGTTGTTAATGTGTTGAATAGTAACAAATATGAATACCAGGAGGAATTGATCCATCTTTCCATCCATGAATCCATCCATCATCATTCTTCCATCTGTTCATCCATCTCTCTGCCTCTAAAACAGGGACGGAGCTAGATGGGTGGCCACAGGGGTGGCCAATCATTGGCCACCCCTGTGGCCACCCATACCATTTTTTCCCCTTCTAATACAGATGGTGGCAGCAGTAATACTCTCAAGTGGAATATTCAAAACATTTTAATTTTTTGTGGTTAATTATACACATCAATATATTAACATTAAAGATGATAAGTACAGAATTCAAGCAGAAACAGATTTTGTGTTTTACGGGGTAAAGAGAAAATGATGTGTCTCTGCAAGTCTTCAGTGAAATCATAGATAAATAACAATTTTAATAAAAACGTATCAAATAATCCATGTATGTAGATATTAGTGCTTGTAAATGTCAATACTATGCAGAATGTTTATTGATACATAAGGTAAGTAATGACAATCGAAAAGATTTACACCCCAGAACTCAAAACTGTAAGAATTTTATCCACTATACCTTTTATCTAGAAATTACGGGTGTTTAAATATATGCATCGGTTTGTAAGCAAAGGATGTAGGAAAGTATAGTTTGTCTTTATTTAGTTATGGACAGTACTTTGCAGGCAGATGTCCTCTGTGTTTTCTCTTTGATTATGGCATAAAATGTCTTAAAGAAGAAAATGCAAATGCAAATGGGATGATTGATTACTAATTTTATTTATGAGTCAAGTACTGCTGCCACATACTTAAAATTTCCAGAAATGCTTTTTCGTTTTCAAACTTTACATTTCAAATAGAATTTTGATATGTATTTGCTGGGGTACATTTTGAAAAATAAATCTCAAATTTTTCTTTTTAATTATGTAAAAGGATGAGCAGTGTTAAGGAATAAAATTAAAATGTAAACAGGATTACTGATTACTAATTTCATTTATGAGTCAAACAATGCATCCACATTCTTAAAATGAAAAAGCATTTCTGAAAATGCTTTTTCATTTGAAATAGGGTAACGATTTTCTTCCATATTGGATAAGGCTCGTAGGCTCGCTTTCAAAAGAAAGAGAAATATATTTTTATCGCTAATTATTTCCTTGTGTTCCTACTTATCTTCTGTAGGTTTCAGTAGGAAAATTAGTAAAAACTCTTCAATTATGTAAAATGTTTTGAGAAAAACATCCTAGATTTATAAATAGATTTCAATCCGTCAGCTGCTGCGCTGTTAACACCAGCAGCCAAACCTGATTCACAATAATCCAAATTAAGATACCCTTCGTTGTTTTGCTATTTTTTATGAAGTAAATATTTTACCCCACAAAGATTATTGATCTCTTTGATTTTTGAATCAATTCGGCGTCGAAGGAAAAGCTCTACCTTTCAAATGTAAGGTTTCCTCCTTTTATCCCTGAGAAGTGACCGCAGAGCTTCAGTTAATGGGTCAGAGGTTTGAAGCAGCTTCAGTCTTCATGTTTGCAGCAGAGCAGAGGAAACGCGGAGCACCATGATCCCATGAAGTTGTTTCTCTAAAGAAAAGGTAAAAAAGTTTATAAAAATTAACTAATCTCCCAGCTTGTGTTTGTTTGGATTCATGTTCTGCAGGAATAATGAGTGAAACTTTTCCTAATTTCAGAGCGCAGACATGGATTTATTCAAGCAGCAGAATGTGGAGGATTTCTATGACATTGGAGATGAACTGGGCAGGTATCATTATCACTTTATCTGATTTCTGCAGGAGGAAAAAGCTGCTGAGGATTGACTGTTTCAATCGATTAGAATAGATTTAACTGACAGCATGGTTTGGTTTGCTGCTGCGTCTGCAACTGGAATTAGGATTGATCAGAATCAGACATACTTTAATAATCCCGGAGGATATATATATATATATATATATATATATATATATATATATATATATATATGTGTGTGTGTATAGTGATAGTGATGTGCAAAAACAGTGCAAGGCATGAATAAATGTCAATTACAGAAACAAAATGGGATAAAATGTCCCTTAAAAAGTTTTACTTATATTAAAATAACAAAAATCTGGGATATTTTCGACATTTTAACTATTTTTCTATCCACCTATTCACACGGAAAGCCATATATAATAAATAATGTCCACATTATTCAAATTATAACACACCTGCATCCAAATATGTTCCTCACTAACAGTTTTTATTATGCAATATTCACTTTCATTCTCCCAACAATTAAATCCATTCCAGCGGGATCATGGAGAGCCATGGAGAACTGCAGGTGTCCAACAGAGCTTTGTCTCTGTCTCTTTCTGGTTTCCTATTTATCCAGCATCCTGTGTTGGAAATCAGTTACCAGCCCAGGGATTGTACCCTCCTCTTCCTCAGCCAGGCCTTTAAAATATGCATTCCATAGCCTCAATGAGACATTCAAAGGGCACCCCTGGAAAAGATGAGGTCTTAAAGGCAGCAGATGTTGCTCTAAAATCTGGACTTTTCTACATCACAGAAGCCCATACTATGATACAACCTCCCACCACCAGAGCTGGTTAAATCAAAATAAATCCTTCGTCACCAAACATCTGACGACCTGATCTTTCAGCGTTAGATGGATAAAGGTTGTCATTTAGGCTCTACCAGCTGCTAATGGTTCTGGATGCAGAAATGTTGACGATGTTCTTCTTTGTAGCAGTCTCCTCCAGGTATCCTGACTCTGTTTCCAGTTTTCCTCTTATTTCCTCTGAAGGCTTTCATTGATTTTCAATGTTATCTGGGGGCTATATTTTTTCTGCAGCTTTTTAAATCCTTCCAAACACAGCTGAGAGTGATGCAGCTTTCACTGTCGTGACGAAACAGGTTATTGCAGTAAACTTCTTTGTTTGATTAAATATGTGAAGCATTTAGATGCATGGAGGGGGGGTGGGGGGGGGGGGTTGACATAATGTACAGTAGAATATTTGAAGTGGGTTTAGAACATCTGCTGCCATCTGACCTCTGGACCAGAAAACTCAGTATTGACTCCATGTTGCTAAAGGTTCCTGTATCTTTGGACATTTCAGCTCCGCTTCATGCTCAGACAGACAGCAGCTGCATGTGTTGCTCTGTCCCTGACGAATGCCCTGCATGTCGAGCTGCTTTTTAAAGACCTCTTCTATCTTTAGCAGCAGGTTTCTGTCAGAGCGGCTGCAGATCAGTGTGTTTGGTTACTACAGTAACTCTTCAACTGGGGTAGAGGAAGCAGCCTTAGAACTGGGTTAAACAGTCACCCGTGGCTTTTTTGCATGTTTTCTTTGTGTGTTGTGTTCATGCGTTTCAGGCTGATGCCTGGCTGACTGTTTGTAGCACTAGAAAGAGAAGTGAGAAGCAATGAGACAAACAGGGAGCGTTTTTCCTGTATAGAGTGCCCCCTTCAGGCCCTTACTGCTAGTTTAGATACTTTGAGTAACAGGTGATCTAATCTTTTTGTCAGGGTCAGTTCTAGTGATACTTTAACATTCTGGAAATGTTTATATCTGTGTTCTTAAACCACATATTACTGATCATTCAGGAGGTAAAAGTCTTCTAAGATCTTGTGTCTTTCCCCAGATCTTTGCATAATTTCTGTGCTGATGGAAAAGCTTCCTAACAGCATGATGCTGCCACCACCATGTTTAACCAGGGAGATCATGTGCCACAGAGAGTTTTGCAAGCATGCTGAAAGTCTTTTATTTTTCTTTTAATCCCAGCACTTTCTTCCAGTTGTTGGCACTTTCAACTACACGGTACATATAAAAACAAGGCTGCTTCTGGCTTTTTTCTTGCCTCTAACAGATTCAAATGCAGACCCAAGAGTTCAGACAGACAAAACCGATTGATGTTTGAAGTTGGATTAAAATATGTGTTTGTAGGACAGCAGCAGAGGGATCAGTAACCTCTGAAGGGGCAGAGAAAAGTTAGTGAGGAACCTGTGCAGCAACCTGTGGATGAGGTAAAGTTGAAAAAGGGTCTGACCTCAGAATCAGGGATAGTGTAGCAGCCTGGTGACAGCAGGGTGATGTCACTGTGGAACTAAAAGGCTGTCAAAGTAAATCTTGGTTTGGCATGAGGGTTGGATCCAACTGAGCCACAATCAGAACATACAGGGATATCTTGAGGTTTACGTATCCAAGAGGTTGGCAGAAATCAGTGATCAGGAAACCAAAACTTTTTCAAAGCCATGAAAGCCAAACTGGGAGACATGATCAGAGCTTCAGGCTTGAATCGTCAGGAAAGAGGTCAAACACAGGGAGGCAGATTAAAGCCGATACATGCAGGGGCGAGACAAATGGCAGCAGAAACTAGGTCTATATCCAGAGAAGATTATCCTACATATGGAAGGCACAACAAGGAAATCCAAGAGGAAAAATTTTATCAGTCAGGCAAAGAAGAAACGCTGTAAATTAAATCACACAATGGCTTTTAATAATCAGGCACAGTTTATCAGCCAGAGAGCAATATACAAACAGACCAGAGTCATCACTCCACTTCTTTAAAGTCATTATTCACTTGGCCAATGGCTAACAGATGTACTTCATGCAGATTTTCTCACCTGAGCTGTTGGTTTCTTTAGAGTTTTCATTGCTGGCTGCTTCTCTGCTCAACGATTTCCTCATCAGTGTAGGTGCACATCCGTTTCTTGTTAGGTCTGCTGTAGGTCCAAGATCTTTCCTCTGTGAAAGATGATGGACCCTTTTAAAAGGCAGTGTGAAAGCTTGCTGAAAATGCTAGTGAAGATTCTGAGTCATCTAGCTCATAGTCATTCCAAAAAAGGAAAAATAAAAACAATCCACTCGACTTTGTTTCCAAGTTATTTCGCTTCCCATCCAGGAAGTTTTTTCAATTCAAATGTCAGGAATAGTGTTGAGTTTGAGGTTTTATACAGTAGTTTTGAAAACGTGGAACTTGGAACGTCTTCAAACTTGGAAACAAATTCCAGTGGATTGTTTTCTTGCTGAAAATGGCTGATTAAAGTCAGACTCAATCTTCCTATAACAGGAACTTAGAAACAACAAAGCAGGCCTAGTCAGGTTACATTTTTGTTAAGTTGATCTTACTCAGTGTTTTTGATTGAGTAGAAATGTTGAGTTGTCTTGTTTTTATTTAATAGAAAAGCTGCACCTGATCATCACACCATTCCTACAGTACCTTAATGGTTTGGCTTCAGTCCTCCCATGTCTGCGTTTCAGTGGGCAGTTTGCCATCGTGAAGCAATGCAGAGAGAGAAGCTCCGGGCTGGAGTATGCTGCCAAGTTCATCAAGAAGCGGCAGAGCATGGCGAGCTCCCGAGGGGTCCGGAGGGAGGAGATCGAGCGGGAGGTGACCATCCTGCAGCAGATCCAGCACCCAAACATCGTCACTCTGCACGACGTCTACGAGAACCGAACCGATGTGGTGCTCATGCTGGAGCTGTGAGTGACACCAAACCATCACTGCTTAAAAAGTTCAGTCTAGGCAACTGAGAAATTACTAAGAAATTGAAGATTTCCTACAACGGTGTGTACTACTCCCTTCAGAGGACAGCACAAACAGGCTCTAACCAGAGTAGAAAAAGAAGTGGGAGGCCGCGTTGCACAACTGAGCAAGAAGTTAAGTACATTAGAGTCTCTAGTTTGAGAAACAGACGCCTCACAGGTCCCATACTGGCATCTTTATTAAATAGTACCCGCAGTAGCCTGTTTGTGCTGTCCTCTGAAGGGAGTAGTACACACCTTTGTAGGAAATCTTCAATTTCTTAGCAATTTCTCGTATGGAATAGCCTTCATTTCTAAGAACAAGAATAGACTGTCGAGTTTCAGATGAAAGTTCTCTTTTTCTGGCCATTTTGAGCGTTTAATTGACCCCACAAATGTGATGCTTCAGAAACTCAATCTGCTCAAAAGAGGGTACGTTTTTTACCTTCTGTAACGAGCTAAACTGTTTTCAGATGTGTGAACATGATTGCACAAGGGTTTTCTAATCATCAATTAGCCTTCTGAGCCAATCAGCAAACACATTGTACCATTAGAATACTGGAGTGATAGTTGCTGGAAATGGGCCTCTATACACCTATGTAGATATTGCACCAAAAACCATTTTGCAGCTAGCAATGTACCACATTAGCAATGTATAGAGTGTATTTCTTTAAAGTTAAGATTAGTTTAAAGTTACCTTCATTGAAAAGTGGTTTTCCTTCAAAAATAAGGACATTTCAATGTGACCCTAAACTTTTGAATGGTAGTGTAAGTTCATTGAAAAATTTGGAGAGAAAGAAATGCTGAGAACAGGACTTCTCTAAAGGCGCCACCAGAGGGCGGAGTTTAGCCACAAATTAGGTTTTTCAGTTAGCTGTTCTGATGAAGAGATGAGAGGTTGAACAGTTTATTTCTTTGCTTTGAGCAACATGTGCTGTAGGTCCGCAGCAGCTGAGCTCAAGTTCTGCAGAATGACCCATTCTGGTAAGATGTGTTTGTGTTTCAGGGTCTCTGGCGGTGAGCTCTTTGACTTCCTGGCCCAGAAAGAGTCTCTAAGCGAGGAGGAAGCCACCCAGTTCATCAAGCAGATCCTGGAAGGAGTGAATTACCTCCACACCAGGAAGATCGCCCACTTTGACTTGAAGGTTTGCCTCGACTTGACCCGTTTCCTCCTGTTCCTTCCAGACGCAGGAGGTATGGTCACACTGAAGGGTCATGCTTTGACCTCAGGACCTGCTGTCCTGTCTCAGCTCGTCATTATGATTCAGCGTTTTCTCCGCAGACACAATACATTAGGAACAAACACTGGTTTTAGACAACATGAAGTTCTCCCACTGAGGGAGAAACAAAGGATTTTTCTATTCTAAGAAACAACAGAGAAAATATAACATATTTAGAGAGCTTGAAATGTACTGATCCAAAAACCAAGACTAAAGTGAAAATCTAAAACTGATTAAAATCCAACAAACTGTAAAATCAGACTTAACCTCATTTCTATTTAAACAGATGGTTGTTTCTACTTACCACAATCATTAAAAACTGACTCTTTGTTCAACTCAATTTTTCCCATTTCTCTCTTTTTTAATAAAACATTCATTACTTTCAGAACATTTAGCCTGTGACATAGAATCACAGATGATGATGATGATGATGATGGTCTATCAAAGGACTTTTATTCTATAAATGTTTTCATCAAACTGGCAATAATATAGAAATATATAGAATATATATATATAGAAATAATACAGAAAAGACAGTTTATTTTGCTTAAGAAAACATAATTCCTCCATTAATTCCATCATTCTTTAATTTAAACATACTTTGGTGATCCCAAGGAAAATAAATAAAATAAAAAATAGGATTAAAAGTCATCATGAGACTTCATCCATGGATGGATGGATGGATGGATGGATGATGGATGGTTGATGGATGGATGGATGGTTGATGGATGGATGGATGGATGGAAGAAAGAAAGAAAGAAAGAAAGAAAGAGAAAGAAAGAAAGAAAGAAAGAAAGAAAGAAAGAAAGAAAGAAAGAAAGAAAGAAAGAAAGAAAGAAAGAAAGAAAGAAAGAAAGAAAGAAAGAAAGAAAGAAAGGATGGATGGGTGGGTGGATGAAAGGAAGGAAGGAAGGAAGGAAGGAAGGAAGGAAGGAAGGAAGGAAGGAAGGAAGGAAGGAAGGAAGGAAGGAAGGAAGGAAGGAAGGAAGGAAGGAAGGAAGGAAGGAAGGAAGGAAGGAAGGAAGGAAGGAAGGATGGATGGATGGATAACCTTTCCTTGATCAGGAAGAGGATTTCCAGAATAGTTCCAGTTTATTAACCTTTAGAACCTCTTCAAGGCTTCTCTGGTGAGTTGGAAGTCTTGGATTATTTTGTTTTTTAGTGAACAATGAATGAGAAATCTTCGGACCGTGCGACTCTATTCTGGAATATCCTTCCTGTCTCTGCAGCCTGAGAACATCATGCTTCTGGAGAAGAACGTGGCGCTGCCCAGGATCAAACTCATCGATTTTGGCCTTGCCCACACCATCGAAGCCGGAGTGGAGTTCAAGAACATCTTTGGAACGCCGGAGTTTGTAGGTGAGAAGTTTATTTATTTATTTTTCTCCCGGATTGTGTGCAGAATAGAGAAGAATCAATGAAGAGTAGATTCCTGTCAGACTCAGAGGTCCAACTTAAAGCCGTTCCTGAGCTCAGGAGGAAAGTCCTCAGACTCTGTCCGGCTCTCTGTTTGATTACTGAATCTCTTCCAGCCTGGTTAATGACAGCTCTGCCTCTACTGGTCATTAACCAGGCTGTGTTACACCAAATTGAATTTATTTTCCTCTTTTTAGCTTCATTTTGAGTTTCCCTACCTTTTTAAGTTTATGCAATTTTTTACCCTTCAACACCAATGATTTATTTAGATAACATTTGTTTAGCTGTTTCAGATTTTGGTTTTGCTTTTTTTAATTTTTCTGCTCATTTACTACATCTACAGCATTGTCTGCAGTTTACTTGGTCAATTTCTTCTTATTGCATTCAAATCGCATTTTTACAGGAAATGCAAATTCTTCTAGTTTCGCTTTTTAATTTGACAAACAAGTGGAAGGAACTCCTAAATATACCAGCTGTAGAAAAAAACCCCAACCTCTTCTGATTATCACAGCTGCAATGACGGAGTTAAAGAAGCAGAACATCGGGTCAGAACGATCTCTGCACATTTAGAAAGAAGACAAAAGGACAAATGTGTTTACTTTTAAACTTCTCATGAGAGGGATACCTGAGAACTTTAGACTTAAATTAAATTTAATTCAGTTTATTTCTATGGCAGTGATCCAACATGTTGTCTTAATGCAATTTACAGAGATAATTCAATCAGAGCCTTCAGTGAGATTGGTTGGAAAGATTTCTATCTAAGGAAAACCAGCTGATTGCATCAAATCATTGTTTCCTTAGCTCGACTAAAAGGTTTGCTTTCACGCATCACGGACTCCTAAGCAATCATTCAAACCAAGCATGGATGAAACAACAGTGGAAAGGAAAAACTCACTTTCAACAAGAAGAAACCTCCAGTAGAACCAGGCTCAGTGTGAGCTACTTTCTGCTGAGGCCGACTGGCTCCATGAGTAGCTCCTCTAGCAAAGACAGAGTTAAACAGATGAGCCCCAAACTGTTTTTTTTTTTTTGTCAAAAATGATGAAACAGAGCACCTACATTTAGTCAAGGTAAAAGCTGAACCCATTGCTTAGAGAAACAGGACTAAGCACTGAAAAGACCCAACTCTATTATCTATGCTGGTAATTGACGGCAGGAACCAGGCTTGGACTGGTGACGATTTTCGGCCCCCCCCCCCCCCCCCCCCCCCCCCCCCCCCCCCCAAAAAAATAAAAAAATAAAAAATAGAAGCACAGTCAAACATGTGTGTGCTGCCTCTTTGATTGAAAACCGCACTAGGGCGCCCCCTGCTGGATAATATACTACATTATTTGTTGACGTTAAAGGAAGGTGTAGATTCAAGATGGTGGAATGCAGCACCAAGCACTTTGGGAAATGAGCTGGTTGCTATCTTTTATTTTGAAAACAACTGTTTTTTGGCACATGTAAATGGTGTGAATAATTGTATACTAGAGTTATTTATGGAAAATGCTTTATTTAACTTGCAGCAAGAGTGATTGACTTTGTAATGTTTGTATGTTACATTTTACGATTGTTAAAGTGATGGCAGTGGTCAGAGGCCACTCTTCAATAAACAAGTGAAAAGAGAAAGAAGTTTGGTTATTGGAGCGTCATTGTCTGGCTGTCTAGCCTGCTGAAAAATTGGGGAAAAACTCAGGGCGAGGACAGCACCATGTGTGTCTCAAATGAGAAACACAATACGCATACACATTGTGGATTAACCGATCTATCTTCCAGCATCACACGACAACCATAGCCAAGACTTCTATAATGCGGTTTTACTGGCTTTGGTTACTAACACTTGCAATATTCTGCAGATCAAACAAGGAAATTCTAGAAACCTCTTTGATATGGGATTTAAATGAAAATTCCTTATCAAAAACAACACCAATATCTTTTACTTTATTATCTGAGATCAGTTTAATCCCATCTAAATAAAGTGACTGACAGCTTCTTTTTCAAAGACTCTGGTCCAAAGACTATAACTTCTGTTTTGTCTGCATTTAAGAGCAGAAAGTTAAGAGTCATCCAGGTTTTTATGTCTTCAAGACATGCCTGTAATCTATGTAATGGGTTAGCTTCATCTGGATTTATAGACAGATATAGCTGGGTATCATCAGCATAACATTGGAATCTAATCCCATGCTGTCTAATAATTCTACCGATTGGGAGCATATATAAAGTAAAGAGAACTGGTCATAGCATTGATCCCTGTGGTACTCAACATGTAACCCTGGAGCATGAGGAAGATTTATTATTAAACTTAGACTTATACTAATATAAGTTTATTGTCATTTGTATACACAGAGCGTAGAGCATGAAAAAAGGTCAGAGAAACAATTCACATGCAAACTAAATACCGCCACCTAACCAAACCAGAACTACAAATGGCTTCTATACAGAGTGCATACAGTACAAAACAAAGTTTGGTTTTGCACAGCTTTCATGTCATTTCGATTCCTTAAAGTGCAGCAGTGATCAAATGTAAACAGTGTGAGAGAGAAAAAAAATATGGTGCCAAAAAAATCCTGCATTGATATGGAAGTTCAAAGCATTAAATATATATGCAAATATGCCGTTTTTTGGTTTGGCGTTATCAGTGTGATGGAGAGCCTATGACATGATTTAGAGTTTTCTCAACAGTTCAACTAAATAATAAGTCTCTGGATAAAGCAGTTCCAGCATCCAATGTGTTGTTGGTTCTTCTGCTTCAACCATCAGACTGGGAGGTAACAGGCTGCCATTAAAAGTTAGTCTGCTCCTATTTCTGTGTCTCTGCTCTTTCAGCTCCAGAGATTGTGAACTATGAGCCGCTGGGGTTGGAGGCAGACATGTGGAGCATTGGGGTGATCACATACATCCTGCAAGTGAACCACAAACATCATGAACAGAACTTGTGTAACTGCTGCCGAACCTCAGTGAGCGAACAGGACAGTAATGGTTGTTCCTTTCCAGGCTGAGTGGGGCGTCCCCGTTCCTGGGGGAAACCAAGCAGGACACGCTGAGGAACATCTCTGCTGTGAACTATGAGTTTGACGAGGAGTTCTTTGGTCACACCAGTGACCTGGCCAAGAAGTTCATCAGCCAGCTGCTGGAGAAAGATAAGAGGTAGAGTGAAGTTTGATCTCCCCACATGATGATGATCTGAGGTGCTCATTATTCCGTTTGTCTCCCAGGAAAAGATTAAGCATTCAGGATGCTCTCAGTCACCCATGGATCAAGGTAAGGAATGGTTCAATCAGGAGATTTACAGTTTTCCAGGGTTCCTGAAGCCCTTTTAGAGTTTTTTTTTGGGACTTTTTTGGACTTTTTTTTGGATAAATGACAGAACAGGCAGAGAAACTTTCTCAGATGAATATTTGGAGTCAGCGTTAGTGGCAGCTGTTCCCACTTCTCCCAAAGTCAAACAGATCTTCAGACTGACATGAACTACTTCAAGGTCCAGCAACCGGTGAACCGGTTCCAACAAGAACAACCCAACATTGATTGGTGGTCTGATGATGAGGATGCCAATTCACAACACATGTCATCTCAAGGCACTTTATAGTTCAATCAGATCATACAGTCAAATTGATTCAAGTTTTTTAAGGAAAACCAGTTGATTTCATTGACTTGAAGGCAATCCCTCACACTAAGCATGCTTGTAGCGACAGTGGAGAGGAAAAAATCCCTTTTAACAGGAAGAAACCTCCAGCAGAACCAGGCTCAGTGTGAGCGGCCATCTGCTGAGGCCGACTGGGGTTCAAGGAGACAGAAGCAGACATAGAAAAAGAAGCAGAGATACAAAAGGCAACTATATCTCCTCTCTACTTTATAATTCAGATGTTTTATTTTGAAAAATGGCCAGTCTGCTTGAGACTTCCTGAGGATCAAACTCTTTTGAGCCATGAGAAGGTTTGATATTCCAGGAGGGCATTTTTGGGTTTGGTGGTAAACATTTAACGAAATCATTCCCATTTCCAGGAGCTTGTAAACCCACTTAATGTCTGTTCTCTGAACGTTTCTGCTTTTCAACCCTTCAGTCCAATGAGCTCAGAGAGGAAAATAAAGCCACGGAGCCAAAGAGACGGGAGCGCCGCCAGCTGAAGACCAAACGTCTGAGGGAATACACCATCAAGTCCCACTCCAGCATGCCGCCCAACAACACCTACGTGAATTTTGAGCGCTTTGCTCAGGTGGTGGAGGACATCGACCAGATGGAGAGCTCGTTCTCCAGCCTGGCGGAGGCCCATGACTCTTTGCAGGAGGACATTGATGCCTTGGTCTCTATATACAATGAGAAGGAAGCCTGGTATAAGGAAGAGAGCGAGGCCGTCCGACATGAGCTCTCCCAGATCCGCTACGAGTTCAGGAAGGTAGAGGCATCTAAGAGGACCCTGCAGGACGACATGCAGACGTTCAGCTGCAGCCTCGCCGCTGTCAGCGAGCGCTTCCAGGAGAGGCAAGATCACTTCGATGCGCTGCGGCTGGAGCTAAGCAACGAGCTGCAGTGGGTACAGGAGGTGGTGGGCTCGCTTCCCGTGGACGGAGGAGGTGGAGGGTATCCCAGCTGTAGCTTCACCACCGTCTTCAACAACGATGTGAACGAAGCTCTGAAGGAGCTGCTGAACCGCTCCTGTGGAGGAGAACTGCTGTCAGGAATCAACCTGGACTTCACAGAGACCGGACAGCAGCGCTAAGAACCCAGGTCCAGACTCAGGACACACAAACTCACAAGCCGTCTTCTCACTCCATCACAGGTGTTTATTTTCCTTATCTCAAAGCAGACGGGAGGCGACGGCGGCCGGACATGGATGCTCTCGGGGACGTCGTCACACCAGACAGAGAGGTCTGGTCTGAGCATGCTTCAAACTCCAGCTGATGGTTCCTGGTTCCAGCTGAGGGTTCTAACACAGTCTTGAAACTGGAATTTGATTAATGTAGGGGGAAAACAAAGTTAGGGTCTGGAAAATATATTTATTTAGACAATTTTAGTCCTATTTTATCCTACTGTTTAACCGTATCCTGCTGTCTGTCCTGATTCCTCCTCCTTCCTTCCCTTTCGTCCTTCCTTCCTCCTAATCTTTTCCCTTTTCCATCCTCATGTCCTGCCTCCTCTCCACTAAAACTTTATCGTTATCTCTTATATACAGTGTATACAAAATGAAATTTCGATGCATACAGCTTTTTAAAAGTGAATGAGTAGCTTACAGCAGTGAAATAAACATTTGCATTTATAAAGTTTATCAATGATCATAAGAGTACGCTGCAAATGCAGTAGAAACATTGAGTTGAGTTCTATTTAAAGGGATTTGAAAATTCGCCATGTAGTGCCAATATGATGTTTACAAGTGTGATGCAGAGTCTTGATTTGTGACTTGATTGACGTTTCTATAGTTCAACAGTCTGATGGCAGTGGGAGAAAAGCTGTTACAGTACCTGCTGGTCCGGCATTGAATGCTGCGAAAGCCTCTTCCCAGACGGCAGGAGGGAGAACCTTTCATTGTGGGGATGTGAGGGGTCATTGATGATGTTACAGGCTCGGGCGCTGGGATTAAAGGTCTTTTATTGAGGGAAGAGGAGCCCTGTGATACTTTCTGCTCTTCTCGCTACTCTTCTCACTTTCTTCCAGTCTGAGACGCTGCAGCCTCCATACCGCACCGTGAGACAGCTAGTCAGAACGCTCTCTATGTAATGATCTCAGAATGTTGGACCCAGAATTCAAGGCGATGCAGATAGGGAAAGTTCAAATTTTCAGTAACAGGTGCGCGGGGCTGCTCGTCTGCTGCGAAGCGGATCTCTGCATAGATGGGAGAATACAGGTCAGTGACTGGATGTGGAGCTGAATACGACTTGGAACAAAGTCACTGACCTGATTCAAAGTTCAGTCCGTTCCGGGAGAACACAGCAGAATCCAGGAGGGAGGTTTGACCGCAGTGGCGGCGGGCAACGCCCCCAGAGTTCCTAGAGAGCGAGCGGAGCGGGCGCCAGCCGATGCCGGGCAGCAACAGAGTCCAGAAGGGAAATCCAAGGCCGAAGTCAGAAGACAGTTCCAGGTTCAGAAGCCGGTAGAATCCAGGACCAGAGCAGACAGGGGCAAGGCAAAACTCGAGATCCTCAGGGCAGAAACTGGTCAAAATCAGGAAAACAGACAGACTAAAGATTGCTAGGAAATGTCTCACCAAAACACACAAATAACCTGGCGCTGATGGGAGGCAAACACACAACTTAAATAGTAGAGGAACCAGGTGGAAATGATCGGCGTTAATCAGCCGCAGAACCAATTAGACAGGGGAGCAAGGAGCAAAGGAAAAAACCAGACCATCAGCGCCAAGATCATGACACTCTATGATGCTTATAAAAGGTCGTGAGGATGGGTGGGGGCAGATCAGCTCTCTTCATCCTCTGCATGATGTACAAATGCTTTTGTACCCTTTTGATCAGTGAGGTGGTGTTTACAGTCTAGGTGAGGGTGCCTGTCATGTTCACCCCCAGGAATTTGGTGCTGCTGACAACCTCTACAGTTGAGCTGTTGATGAGCAGTGGAGCGTGGCTGATTCTTCACTATGTGATTGCTGGTGAATCCGGGGACGCAGTCATGTGTCATCAGGGTGAACAGCAGGGGGCTCAGAACACAGCCCTGAGGGGAGCCTCAGGGTGATGAGGTTTTCTGTCCCAACCAGACTGATTGGTCTGTTGGTGTGCCTGTCCCTACCTTTTCCTTCCCCGTGTCCTTCCTACCTCCTTGGCCTGGAAAAGGCTTTTCCAAGGCGCCATCGGCTAATGAAGAATTCAGCATAGAACAAATACTATTATTGTCTTATTTGGACGATCACATCATGTTAATTATCATATTCAGTTTATTATATGGTTCTAATTCACATTTCCAGGCAAAGAAATGTACACTGGAGGCAGATGGAAAACTAAACCTGTTAGGAGACTTATTTTGATACATGCTGTGGAAGATTCTCAGTCATCCAGGTCATAGTCATTCCAACTGAGTTAGTTAAAATACAAGCCACTAGACTTTAGTTTCCAAGTTTTAAGACATTTTGCTTCCTATCCAGGATGCTTTCTCATGCAAATTGAACTTAAAATTGAACCAGAAAAAAAAAAAAAACAAGTCCAAGTACCCATTGCTAAGGGGTGGACCTGCTTTCAGTTCAATTTGCATGTTTTCTAGCCATAGCAAGGCTTTTGTTGGGCTACTCAGAACTCAACGCTAATCTAGACATTTTTAATTGAGAACGTTTCCTGGATTGGAAGTGAATCGTCTTCAAACTTGGAAAACAAAGTCCAGCGGTTTTTTTTTTATATTTTTTAACTTTGTTTGATGCAAACCTCTTAAAAATGAAAATGGTGCAACTGTACATAGGAAGAGTTAGACGCTTTGGACATGAGGGACCACAGCTCCTTATCAGGCTGCAGGAAGGGACCTGCGGCATGAGGTCATTCAGCCTGGCTTCCAACCAGAGTCCATCTCTAGGAACAGCTGCAGAAGCTTTGGTTCTGGACCTCCACCGGTTGGACATGTTTCCAGATTACAGTCATTTTAACTGTCAGGTAGAATATAGCTTCTAGAAGAGACCAGGACAAGATGCTGGATGCAGATGGTTCTGGACCTGCTGCTTCTGCGTCAGAGGAATTCAGGTAACAATAATTTATCAATTGTCACATTGGGGTTCATATGTGTCATATGTGTTCAGTGGACTTTATGCAGAACTTTGGATTGTTTCCATCAAAGACTGAACATCAACATAAGCGTCTGTCTCCTTCAAGAAAGAAACAATAGAAACATTTCTATTGGTCCTGAGGATTTTCTTAAAGTTTTTTTTTTTAGTAGCGTTCCTGCAAAGAGCTCTTCTGATACAGAGGAGGACTGTCGTCCTACCTGATCCATCAGCTGAAACCTTCACATACTGTTTAGTTTGGAAACTTTTCCACAATTTCTAACAATTTAATAAATGTATGACTCCATGAAAGGACAATACTGCATCTTTTAAACAGGTTTAATAAAGAGAAGAAAAGGTCTAAATGAAAAGCAGTTTGATACTCGATGTTCTGCAGAATCTCTGGAGCTCATCAAGGAGGCGCCCTGCAGAGACGAATCGGACATTACGCCTAGTCAGGAACTGAAACCAATACCTCCCCAAATGAAGCACTGACTGCTATTCTGAGAACAGTTTCCGAATTAATTTATGAGGATCCTATTTCAGGCTGAAGCTGCAGTCTTTAATTGCTTTTTATGACAGAACAAAAGCAGAACTTTGGTTCTCTTAGGTCTAAGCCTCTTTAAACAGACAGCAATACAGCCTCTGGTGACCATGGCAACAACGACAGCTTCATCCATCCATCCTGCTCTGCTGCAAAATCCTTTTCCTTCCAGCAGATAGAAGAGCTATGAACAGATGGAGGAACTATGAACAGATGGAGGAACTATGAACAGATGGAGGAACTATGAACAGATGGAGGAACTATGAACAGATAGAGGAACTATGAACAGATAGAGGAACTACGAACATATGGAGGAACTATGAACAGATGGAGGAACTATGAACAGATAGAGGAACTATGAATAGATGGAGGAACTATGAACAGATGGAGGAACTATGAACAGATAGAGGAACTATGAACAGATGGAGGAACTATGAACAGATAGAGGAACTATGAACAGATAGAGGAACTATGAACAGATAGAGGAACTACGAACATATGGAGGAACTATGAACAGATGGAGGAACTATGAACAGATAGAGGAACTATGAATAGATGGAGGAACTATGAACAGATGGAGGAACTATGAACAGATAGAGGAACTATGAACAGATGGAGGAACTATGAACATATGGAGGAACTATGAACAGATGGAGGAACTACGAACAGATGGAGGAACTATGAACAGATAGAGGAACTACGAACAGATGGAGGAACTATGAACAGATAGAGGAACTACGAACAGATGGAGGAACTATGAACAGATAGAGGAACTATGAACATATGGAGGAACTATGAACAGATGGAGGAACTATGAACAGATAGAGGAACTATGAACAGATAGAGGAACTATGAACAGATAGAGGAACTATGAACATATGGAGGAACTATGAACAGATGGAGGAACTATGAACAGATAGAGGAACTATGAACAGATGGAGGAACTATGAACAGATAGAGGAACTATGAACAGATGGAGGAACTATGAATAGATGGAGGAACTATAAACATATAGAGGAACAATGAACAGAAGGAGGAACTATGATTAGATGGAGGAACTATGAACAGATGGAGGAACTATGAACAGATGCAGATACTATAATCATATAGAGGAACTATGAACAGATGGAGGAACTATGAACATATAGAGGAACAATGAACAGTTGGAGGAACTATAATCATATAGAGAAGGTGGAGGCATCTAAGAGGAGCCTGCAGGATGACATACAATTTTAGCCTCACTGCCGTCAGATCCTGAAAACAGAGGCAGGGTTCAGAAATAGAGACAACATAAAGAAGCAGATTAGATTGGCCACATTCAACTGCTTCCAATGCCCTTCAACTTCTCCCACTCAGAGTAAATGAAACTCCAGCCAGCCGACATGAGCTTTAGAGATAAGATAGGAGCTGTTTCTGAGGCTGGGCTGCTCTCCGTCTGTGTCGACCCGATAACAGCAGCTTCTTCACGTCCCTGCAGACAGAGCAGGAAGGTGTAGGCAGAGCTGACAGAGTAGGCAGTGCAGAGTGGGGACAGTGTGGACAATGTGGAAGTTGTGGAGAAAGTGGACAGTGTGGACAGTGCAGAGTGCATACAGTGGGGAAGGTGTGGACAGTGGATTCCTGTCCGCAGGACAAAAGTAGTCCTCTTTGCACCATGACTGAAAGTGATAATAATACTTTCTTTAAGAGGCGCCTCTCTGGAAACTCAAGGTCACTGTAGAAATCAAGATAAAAACACATCAATGGCAATAACAACATTTAAAACACAGAATCACCCATAGGACAAATATCCTGTTTTAAAGAGACTTTTAGAGAGATTTCCTGAGGAGAACTGAAGTGTTTCTAAAGGCAGTTTTGTTCATATGGCCTCAGTGGCTCCTCTGCTGGGCAGAAGAAGAGCCTGAACTCTCTTCCCTTTGCAGCAACAAAACAAAACAAGGAGCGTGTCTCCACGTGGCCAGTGACAGACATTAAGCCCCGCCCTCCCTTCACTCACAAACTCTGAAGTCTCATTTCTTCTTATCATCACAGCTTATTTTTTTAATATATATATAAATATATATATTAAACATATAATAGTGTTGAAAACTTTCAACTATTAGATTTTTTTGTACATATTTTGTAGCAGCATTAGCTAAAATAGACTGAGACTCAAGTAAAAATTAAAAGTAGCCAATCAAGAAATTACTCCAGGGTAAAAGTACTTGATAAGAAAGAAAGAAAGAAAGAGTAAATAATCATAACATCTGATTAATATTTTTAAATAATGTAATTACATGGACAAATACATGAAGTTATTTAAAGAGGAAGATATAGAAATCTAGAAAAATATAACATCATTAAAAAATAAAATCATGCATAAGTTGATTTGTTGCTGTTTGCAGTGAAAGTTAGAAGAGGATAAAATATATCCGATGACAGGATAAACTGTTTACCGGAAGTTCTTTGGATCTAATAATGGACTTAATGAACTCCACTGATGGAGGAAAACACCAAAGCTGCTGCACTAACAAGAAGGCTCACTCAGTTCTTTGGTGCATTTTGGCCACAACAAACTTATTTTCTATTTAATAAAGGTCTTTAAAGGAGATGCTTACTATGCTGAAAACAAAAACTCTACAAATGAAGAAAATGTATTAAAACGTGTTTTTGTCCTTAATCTGATCAGATATTTTCCCCTTAAAATAAGACAGATATTTTCCCCTTGAAATAAGACAATACAGTCTGAGATGGACTGGTGGCCTGTCCAGGGTGGACCCCGCCTCTCACCCATAGACAGCTGGAGATAGGCAGCAACACCCCTCATCACCCCGACTGTTTGTTTATGAGAGGTGAGACAGAGGGTAAAAGAGTGAGACAGACGGACAGAGAGCAAGGCAGAGGGACATAATGTGAGACAAAAGGATTGAGAGTGAGACAGATGGTAAAAGATTGAGACAGATGGACAGAGAGTGATACAGAGGGACAGTGTGAGTCAGAGGGACAGAGAGTGATACAGAGGGACAGAGTGTGATACAGAGGGACAGACAGCGAGACAGAGGGACAGAATGTGAGACAAAGGACAAAGAGTGAGACAAAAGGACAGAGTGTGAGTCAGAGGGACAGAGAGTGATACAAGGACAGAGAGCAAGGCAGAGGGACATAATGTGAGACAAAAGGACTGAGAGTGAGACAGATGGACAGAGAGTGAGATAGAGGGACGGAGTGAGACAGAGAGACAGAGAGTGAGACAGAGGGACAGTGTGTAAGACAAGGGGAAATAATGTCATACAAAAGGACAGAGTGTGAGACAAATGGACAGAGTGTGAGTCAGAGGGACAGAGAGTGAGACAGGGAGGGAAAACTGTGAGACAGACAGACAGAGAGCGATACAGAGGGACAGAGAGCAAGACAGAAGGACATAATGTGAGACAAAAGAACAGAGTGTGAGACAGATGGACAGTGTGAGACAGAGGGACAGAGAGTGAGACAGAGGGACAGAGTGTGATACAGAGGGACAGAGAATGAGGCAGAGAGACAGTGTGATACAGAGGGAGAGAGAGTGCAACAGAGGGACAGAATGTGAGACAGAGGGACAGAATGTGAGACAAAGGACAAAGAGTGAGACAAAAGGACAGAGTGTGAGTCAGAGGGACAGAGAGTGAGACAGAGGGAAAAAACTGTGAGACAGACGTACAGGGAGTGATACAGAGGGACAGAGAGCAAGACAGATGGACATAATGTGATAAAAAAGGACAGGTGTAAGACAGATGCACAGTGTGAGACAGAGGGACAGAGAGTGAGACAGAGGGACAGAGAGCAAGACAGAAGGACATAATGTGAGACAAAAGAACAGAGTGTGAGACAGATGGACAGTGTGAGACAGAGGGACAGAGAGTGAGACAGAGGGACAGAGTGTGATACAGAGGGACAGAGAATGAGGCAGAGAGACAGTGTGATACAGAGGGAGAGAGAGTGCAACAGAGGGACAGAATGTGAGACAGAGGGACAGAATGTGAGACAAAGGACAAAGAGTGAGACAAAAGGACAGAGTGTGAGTCAGAGGGACAGAGAGTGAGACAGAGGGAAAAAACTGTGAGACAGACGTACAGGGAGTGATACAGAGGGACAGAGAGCAAGACAGATGGACATAATGTGATAAAAAAGGACAGGTGTAAGACAGATGCACAGTGTGAGACAGAGGGACAGAGAGTGAGACAGATGGACAGAGAGTGAGATAGAGGGACAGGGTGAGACAAAGGGACAGAGAGTGAGACAAGGGGAAATAATCTCATACAAAAGGACAGCGTGTGAGACAGAGGGACAGAGAGTGAGACAAAATGACAGAGTGTGAGACAGAGGGACAGAGTGTGAGAGAAAGGACAGAGTGTGAGACAGAGGGACAGAGAGTGAGACAAAAGGACAGAGGGTGAGACAGAGGGACAGTGTGAGACAGAGGGAGAGACAGAGGGACAGTGTGAGACGGAGGGACAGAGGGTGAGACAGAGGGACAGTGTGAGACAGAGGGACAGGGAGTGAGACAGAGGAACAGGGATGCAGGAGGGGCGGCGGCATGTCAGCCTGATCACAGATCGATCTGCAGCTGCTGTCTGGCTGAAACCCCGCCAGTTTGTTTTGTAAGCTCTGCACACAGGTGGAAGAAGAGGAAGAGGAGGGAAAAGAGGAGGGAGAGGAAGGAAAAGAGGAAGAGGAGGAGGCCTTTTACTTTAACAGTGAGTGAGCTTTATTAATCGAAGTTAGCTTTCGATTCGACGCTGCAGTAAAGGGCTGTTCCGCTGTTTTTAATGACCGCCTTCTTTAAATCACCATTAAACTAGAATATTTATACACTTAAATAGAATATTCATTCATAATCCTGGGAATAAAACAGTAATAAATCAATTATGCTGGTAGAGCATCCATTATAATAATATAAAATGTATCTGCCCTTTTTGAGCTTCATTTTTAGTGATAATTTGCAGTAACACCGCCCTGATCTCATCAACTGTGGACAAGTTTCAATGAACAACAGTTCCTGTTGTGTATTTTTGTAAATTATTTCTACATTAATGCGTTTTAAAAATGATATGCTTTGATCTGGGTTGATTAACAGTTCAAAAGAAAACATTTAATAGAACAAAAAAATAAAATGAAACATTGTGAGTTCTGACTACATACTACACACATACAAAGGTGTTTAACCGTCAACAGTTCTTTAAAAATTATTATTTGGCTAACAGGAGCGCTGTAGTACACCGAGCTTATTATTATTATTGTTGTGTTTGGAAATTTGCTTTATTGGCCGAAAAGTGCGGACTAGCCCTTTAACAGCGAGAACGAGTCGGAAGCTAACTTCAGCTACTTTAGCCGATAGCTGCCACTGCTAGCTGTAGCCGAGCGCTGTGATGCAGCAGATAACCAAGCTAACACTGACCCCAAAAGGTCTGCTTTTATAAAGTGGGGCACTTTGGACTGGTCTACTTGCTGGTAAGCTGTTTTAAAGCCTTTTATTGGAGCTCCGCTGGAAGGTGTCACCGCTCTGTTCGGCTGGTTTCTGAAGCTTTATCTGTTTTAATGGGAAGGAGTTAGCTTAAATTAGCAACAGCAGCAACGCTGCTTGGTTAAAACCTGTATTTTTGGTTCCGTCAGTAACCTCATTGTCAACAAACTGGTGCCGTCGGAGCTCTTAACAGAACCCGGACAGGCTGCTAAGGTTACTGGGCTTAGGGTCAGGTCTGTACTGGGAACCAGTCTGCTGTGGAGCTGTCAGATTGGTGCAACTGTTGGTAATAATAGCAGCAGAAACCGAGGTTCTGGACTCTGTTCAGCCGGTTCTGGACTCAGCCGGTCCGTTGGGCTCCTAACAGACCCAGGCTGAGGTTGCAGATGAGTTTCTGTCAGTCACTGTGTTTTTGTCTAATCTGTAATGGATTATCAGCCTGTTCTCATGTGGCTGTAAATCTGCATTCATGCAAAATAAGCGCAGCATGTCGCCACTAAAAATGCGTAAAATGGGAATGTGAGTGAAGCGAATGATTTTTAGTTGTAAACCAGACTGGGAGCTCTGACCCAGCCCTGTCACAGCTCTTACATAACCAGCTGCTGCCAGCATTTTCCTCTCTGCCTTTCAGCACAGAGCAGGAAGCCGCAGCCGGGAAAATAGTCCCATCATTAGGCCCTGTTCACCAGAGCTCAGATGGATTCAGGTCTGGACTTTGACTAGGCCATTTGAACCCATGAATCTGCTGCAATCTAAGCAAGGACCCTGAAGAACTGAGGATCCGGAGGACTTGAAGAAATGAGCCCTGATCCACTGAGGCGCTGGTTTTAGGCTTCTTCTCCTGCTGGGAGGGGAACCACCAACAGCTGCCACCAAATTTAGGCTCATCTATCTTCCCATCAACCCCCAATCAATCCACTTTATTTATACAGCACATTTAACAACAGTAAAAGTTTCCAATGTGCTGTACATAACAAATAGTAAACAACAATATATAAACACAATACAACAATAAATAATCTAAAAAGGACACAGAGGACCACACAAACTACACAGTGTTAAATGTGTAAAAGAATAAAAGTGTTTCTTTAGACGAGAATTAAAACACTCCACCGTAGAGGCAGTCCGTATATGGAAAATGGCCAACTACAGAAAAGGCTGTGTCCCTTCTGGTTTTAAGCCCCGTCCTAGGCACTATTAACTGAAGATGGCCCTCAGACCTCAGATCACGTGCTGGAGAATAAATCTGGAGGAGATCAGGGATGTATTGAGGAGTCATCCCATTCAGGGCTCTAAACACAAACAATAAAAGCTTAAAATCAGTTCTAAAACAAACAGGGAGCCAAAAGAAAGACGCAAGAACTGGTGTAATGTGTTAATGTTTTTAGGCTGACAGGAAAGGGGGATTTGAACCGTACTAAAGGCCAAATTATGCTTCTCATACATAGCCTCTGCAACCGTAAAATCTGTCTCTTTGCACCTCAAAAAAAATCCTGACTACGCGTCCGACGGTCGCAAACCTGTGCAGACCTCAAGCGAAAGTGTGCAGCTGTGATTGGTCCTCCTTTCCGGCTGTCTGTGTGGTCGTCCTTCTGGATTCGGTGCTGGGACGCGCCATTTTTTAAAAACCGAGGAACAACTATGATGGACAAGCATGTTAATCGAGGATGTTCGCTTCATTAACAGAACCTGTTCCTCTTCCATGTCTAGCAACTTTAGATCCATCACTGTGACCGTGATATCTTGCAGATGCACCATTGTTGTGGTGCAACAATGGTGCCAAAGTTCTCGTGATCATCCGCCGAAGTTCTTGTGAGTTCTCGAATAGACTCCCCCTTGCATTTTGGTGGGAAACTGCTGTGCGTCCCTAGAAATTCCAGTCCGACGGTGCAGAAGCATACCAGCAAAACTGGTTTAGCAACCAGACCCAAGCGGCATTTGATGTGTGCGGATGCAGAAATCTAACCTGCCTTTAAGGCGTCCGTACATGGGTCGTGTGCGCTAACCTCTGCTCCACCAAAACGCGCCCAAAGGACATAATTTTAAGGCTGGTTTTCGTGTTCTTCCTGCAAGCAGCCAGATCCTCTTGAACTAAATTAGAGCGTCTTTGTCTTTCAGCTGTTGATGGATTTTTTCTTAGGATTTCATTGATTGATCTAAAAGTGAGCAGCAAACCCTTCCAAGCTTTCTTTAGGTTCTTCCAGGTCCTGGAGGTCTCTCTTGGGAGCCTTGCTGCTTTTTTTAAGAGTTTCAGTCCAGCAGAGGTGAAAGAACAGCAACCAGAACCATGTTTACCATTCTGAAGAGGAGCAGACACATTTTAGTCCATTTTAAACCATGTTTGATTTTTCACTGGATTCTACTGGTCTATCAGACACAGCTTATCTGCTGCAGACGCTCCAACCTTTGGATTCAACACTTTCAGCCTCCTCATATTTGTAGAGACACTTTCCTCACCATGCTGAGGAAGACTGACCTTCCTCCTGGGGGGATTCATCTGAGGAGATTTAGAAACTAATACTTTATTCCTGCTCGAATCCTCTGCAGTAAACGCTCAGCTTTATACTGCTTCCAGGTGTAGATGTTCTCCTCTCCTGGCAAAGACACCAGACCTGGTTAAGATCGATCAGGACAGGAGTTACAGCCCACTGTGTGGTTTTCTAAGGTGGTCCTAATCTGAAGGATTCAGTCCTTAGAGCCGATTTAGGCTGAAAATGTTAGCACCCATCAGAAGTTCGGTTGATGGTCACCAGACCCTCAAAGTTCCAAGCTGTAAACTGGATCCAGGTGGTCCTTCTGGACCTGAAGGTGATGGATTTCACTGATCGGACCTTGGCTCCGCTTGAATGGGAATCCTCACCATCACACTGTTCAAGCAGGGCGAGTATTTCCTGTTAGGAGCCTGAAGGTTAAAACCTACTGGATCGGGGAGGCGCTGCAGTGAGGTCAGCCTGTGGCGTCAGATTTCCTAAACCCAGAAATAAATCCATTTTAATCAAGGCGGAAAACACGGTTAGGAATAATAATTTTTTATCTAAATGTACCTTTTAAATGTATGTATAACAGTTGTTGGCGATTCCAGCTAATAGTTTATGGGCTTAAATATGACGTGACTCATAATTCTGTTACTCTCAGTCACTCTTCTAAATAGGAAAGGAGGCTATTTTCTTCCATTAATGTTGAAAAAAACACGTTTCGAAAATTTAATAAAAAAAGATACAATCTAGAATTGAAAATTTGTATCTATGCTTCTTTTTCTATCTCTGCTTCTGTCTCCTTGAACCCCAGTCGGCCTCAGCAGATGGCCGCTCACACTGAGCCTGGTTCTGCTGGAGGTTTTTTTCTGTTAAAACTGAGTTTTTCCTCTCCACTGTCGTTACAAGCATGAGTCGATGCAACCAACTGGTTTTCCTTAGATAGAAAACCTTTAATCAATCTGACCGTATGATCTTATTGAACTGTAAAGTGCCTTCTGATGATGTGTGTTGTGAACTGGCGCTATAGAAATAAACTGAATTCAATTCATTTGAATTTCAATTAAAAAGATTTGGAGAATTATTGTTTTATTGGATTTTATTTGAATATTTTGCAGATCTATCTTTCATATAAAAAAAAAAGTTCAGATTAAAATTTCCCAGACCTTATTTATTTTTAAAATCTTTTTTTATTTTTCGTTTTTACGGCACTAGTAGCTAATTTTTCTGACAGTAGGAGGGTATGAGAGACGGGGAAAGACATGCGGCAAAGGATCACTGGCCGGATTCGAACCCGGGTCGGCCGCATCGAGGACTAAGGCCTCTGTATATGGGTTGTGCGAGCTAACCACTGCGCCACCTGCAAACCCCAGGTTTTATACACTTTTACATTTTTCTTTCCAGATTGAGTATTAGGAGTTGCATTGTTTACAGATTGCTTCTTGCTGGTCACTTTCTCTTCACTTTAAGCTCAATAAAAACATTCTCACTAACCTCCTGCAGACTAATAGAAATGCATCTTCAATTCAGTTTATTTCTATATCACCAATTCACATCTCAGGTCACTTTATTCACCCAGATCATTCAATCAGATTGGTTCAAAGTTTTCTAAGGAAAACCAGCTGATTGCTACGACTCATTGACTCTTCAGAAATCCCTCACCCTAAGCATGGTGTCATCTTCTTCACCCTGAAGGATATCCCGCCTCCAGAAGTAAACAGGAAGCGATCCGTAAAACATCATTAGAAAAGAATGAAAACAGAAATTTGAAAAGAAAAATGTTTAGGAATAAAGTCTGAGAAAGTAAAGCTGCTAAAGGTCTGTGAGGAAATAAGAGAGCAGTAAAACACAATGAAAAGCTCAACGGGTTGCATCATAGAAAAAAAGATCACAATGTTATTGAATTGAAAAGTAACCAAAAGTGTTTTTGTTATTGTCTGATGCAGAATTCAGTCAGAGTTCCTGTTTGGATGGAAAGCTGCTGTAGTACAGATCAGGAACTAAACAGAACTAAATTAGTTCATTTTTAGGTGTATTTTCTACTGGTGCTCTATCTGCAGTAGAATAGACACTCTAAAGGACGTTTCTAAACGAGTTATTATCTGCATTAACTGAGGAAGATTGTTTATCTTCATTTGTTTTAGATAAAAGCATCTAATGCATGATCCTCACCACAGTAATGCTTCCTCAGTAATACTGCTGATTGCAGGGCTTCATCAACTCTCTGAAATACCAGGAAGATGGAGATAAAGTGTAAGAAATCGAACATGATTGATGTTTCAGTGGGATAATGATCGGAACGCTGAAGCAGAAACCTTTTAACCTGAAGCCCCCAGTAATCATGGCGATAGCTCTAAATGTTTGGAGGGTTTATTCCGCTATGAAAGGTTGTGTTCCTGGGATCGAACGCACGGTCTGGTTCTAACCGACCTCTGCCCTTTGATCAGAAGTAAAAACATTTGTTCTAACGCTGGCTGTGAACCAGTGGAAAACGGAGCAAACTCCATGTTTTCTCTGAGCTCAGAGTTTAGGAATGAAACGGGAGCAGAAAGGAAAACCTTGAAATGTTCTGTGTCTGCTTCCAGGACTGATGGCTCCAGAGTGACACGCCATGACGCTGATGATCCCCCCAGTTAAACTCAAATGGCTGGAGCACCTGAACAGCTCGTGGATCACGGAGGACAGCGAGTCCATCGCCACGCGGGACGGGGTGTCGCTGCTCTACTCCAAGCTGCTGGCCAACAAAGAGGTGGTGCTGCTCCCCCAGCAGGTGCTGTGCCTGAAGGGCCCCCAGCTGCCGGACTTTGAGCGGGACTCCCTCTCCAGCGATGAGCAGGAGCACTACCTGGACGCCCTGCTCAGCAGCCAGCTGGCCTTGGCCAAGATGGTCTGCTCTGACTCTCCGTTCGCCGCCGCGCTGCGGAAACGCGTGCTGGTGCTGCAGCGCATCTTCTACGCTCTCTCCAACAAGTACCACGACAAAGGCAAGGTGAAGCAGCAGCAGCACTCCCCAGAGAGCACCTCGGGTTCGGCTGACCTGCACTCTGTCAGCGAGCGCCCGCGCTCCAGCACCGATGCCCTCATCGAGATGGGCGTCCGCACGGGCCTCAGCCTGCTGTTCGCGCTGCTGCGCCAGAGCTGGATGATGCCACCTCCCCCAGGCGGCGGAGCCAGCATCAATCTTTGTAATGATGTGATCCATACGGCCATCGACGTGGTCAGCTCGCTGCCGCCGCTGTCTCTGGCCAACGAGAGCAAGATCCCTCCCATGGGTCTGGACTGCCTGGCCCAGGTCACCACCTTCCTGAAGGGCGTGACCATGCCCAACTCCGGGGCGGACATCTTAGGCCGCCGCCTGGCCTCGGAGCTGCTGCTGGGCCTGGCGTCCCAGAGGGGTTCCCTGCGATACCTGCTGGACTGGATAGAGATGGCGCTGGCCGCGTCGGCTGTGGTGAGCAGCATGGAGGAGGGCGCGCTGCTGCAGAGCCAGGAGGGCCTGATGGGATACGACTGCTTCATGAACATCCTGATGCAGATGAGGCGCTCCCTGGTAAGTTCATGAACTCCATGCTCCGACGGCCTGAAGGAGGAGATTCGGTTAACTTGGTGCTGAGAAAAGGATCAGGAGATTTAGAAATCTAGAAATAAGTCAACATATCTTCAATTAAGTGTATTTACCCTTAATTCGAGTAGGTAAATAAGATGATTTGCCAATGGAATGAGGATTTTTACACTTAAAATAAGGTAATCAGATAATATACACTTGCTATAAGACTGTTAAATTGTGTTTTTCTTATTTTAAATGTAAATTGTCTTGTTCCATTGGCAAAGTGTTTCACTTATCTCCTCAATTCAAGAAGAAATGCACTTATTTTAGGAAAAAAATGACTCATCTAGATTTCCTTTTTTTTTCCAGTGAGTTGACTTAAAACCTGGAAAATTAGACAACATTTAGCAGAAACTAGTGATGAATAAATAAACGAATCGGGAATAAAACCAAAGTACATTCAGAACTAGGGCTGTGAATCTTTGGGATTCCCACGATTCGATTTAGAATCAATTCTTGGGGTCACAATTAGATTTTTTTCAGATTCTTTTAAATCCAAACGATTAGATTCAGAAACGATTAATTTTCGATTCAAGATGATTCTCAGGATCTATTCCAGTCTGCTGGTATGAAAGAAGAGTACATTTATAAAGACTTTAGAATTGTAAATATTTTATTTACCTATTGCAATAATGTAAACTCAAAAAGGTAAATCCAAGACAACGAATTGTTAAACTTGTACAAATACAACACTATGTCTTTGGGTGATTTCTTCCGAGATGAGAATGGGGATTTGAAGAACTGAAATACTTAACTCTGCAGTTGCAATCTCTGCAAATCACATGAGTCATGTCAAGCCCTTTCTTACCCGGGCCGGGTTGAAGGTAAAATCCAAAGTGTTTCCAAATGGTTGCTTTTAAAGACCGCAGAGGCAGTTGAATTTCTCTTTCATCGTCCTCCATACTTTAGCTGCAACAAACACAGTAGCTAACACAACACTACACAGCACTCTGCAGCCTGCTAGGCTAATGCTGCCTGTGCGTAGCTCATGCTGCTCATTGGTTTCGCCAAACACTACGGTGCCTGATAAGGCACATCCGCACCCAAAAAAAAATAAGTTTTAAAGAAAATGAGAATTGTTCTGAATCTTTAAATGTTAGAGCTCAAATCGATTTATTCTTCACACCTACTCGGAGCACAGAAGGAATCAGTTTAAAGTCGGTTTCTCCATCAGGAGTTTGAAGGCACACCGTGTAACTTGTGGCCACTGGGGGGTCTAGCTCCCCTAGTGGCCACAAGCGCCGCAGCACTGTCGCAAAAGTCAACAAACGGTCAGCTGGCCCCCCTCCCTCGTCTTTATCATCATCTTTATTTGTAGAGTGTTTTAAAACAGCTGCAGCTGAAAACAAAGCGCTGAACAAATTATAAAATAAGGCAATTATTTGAATTTAAATGAACAAGGTCACAAAAACTAAGGCCTGCCAGTGTTAAAACCCAGTGAATAAAAGTCAGTCTTGAGCCGTGTTGTAAAATTCATCAGGGAAGGAGCCTCCCTAATGTGCAGCGGGAGGTTATTCCATAAACGAGGAGCAGCAATAGAGAAGGGTCTGAGCTTCCTCTGACACTTCGGTAGCTGCAGGAGCTGCTGTTCTGCTGACATGAGGGACCGTCTTTTGATTGGAGATAACGCTAGGCATCGAGATTCAGCTTGGAGGGAGTGAGAACCGCCGGGGCTGGCCAGACCGCACCAATCAGCAAGGAGCTCCAGTGAACAGCCGCTGGGTCTGACGGGGCGTGTCGGTTAGTTTTGTTTGTAGCCTGCTAGCTTTCTCTGCAAGTATTTTGCCTCTACTAAACATATGAAATAATAGCAAAGATCTATAACTGTATACTAGGAGCAAAGTGGTACCTTACCAGTTAAATAATAAAGCTGAGAAAATAGAATCGGTTTTACGTCCGGCTTCTTCTTTCAGCCTGCGCCAACAAACAAACTCTTCCAAAATTGACTGTTTTTCCTCGATCCCTTTCCTCCTCAGAAGGTTTAAACTTTATCCTTGCCTCAGCCATGACAGTAGCTGAAATAATAGAGCTAAAGCCTTAGCTCCATCACTATATAAGAGCCTGTGGCCGTAACAGGATATCTTCTTCCAGGTCACATGACCTGTAGGGAAGGAACGGTTTTTGAAAACTGTCTCGGTTCGATTCGCGTGTGTTGCGTTCGGTTCATGCGCTGCTCCTTTTTTTAATAGGCGAAGCATGTACACTCCAGAGCAGAAGGTGGCGGTAATGAGACCAAAGCCAACCACCAGTAGTAAACAAGAAGAAGAAGAAGCGAAGCAGCATAGCCGGGTGTAGCAGAAAAAAATCAGTTGTTGTGGAGAATTGTGTGGGTATGGCGAGTGGGAAAGAACAGGAGTTGGAAGACGCGCCAGCAGCACTTTATAGGTCTGCTGTATGGGACCGCTTTGCATTTAGAGTGACCTACGATGACGGCGGAAAGAAAGATGCGGATAAAAGTGCAACAGTGTGCAAGCATTGTGCAACACGTGTTGTTTATGCTAACAGCATCACGACCATAATAGATTTTCTTAACAATCAACATATACCAAACCGAAAACCGTGACCCCGAAACCGTGAACCGAACTGTGGATTTTGTGAACCGTTCCACCCCTAATGACTTGGCCAACGATGGTCCATCTTCTCCCGATTTACATTGTCGGTATTTGAAGAGCAGAGCCCCCTCATCATTTATAGTGTCGAGCGCTGTATATTGGCCTGAAGAATCCTTTAAAATAACTCTTTTGGTCACAGAGTTCGCAGTGTGCCTTCAATGACAGTCTGAGTGAGGAACGGGTATATTTGAGGCTCCAATCCGGAGTTCAACGATCCACACAGATCCAAACTGAGATGAGCTGCAACAGAAACGGGAATTTAGAGTTGAGACATGAGGGTGAAGGCGTCCGAACTGAGATGTGATGGTTCTTCAGCACCGGGTCCTTTCCCGCCCTGGAGGGAAGCGGGTCTGAATCTGTGTGTGGTTTCCATGGTGATGGGTGGGCTCTCTGTTTCAGGGCTCCACAGGAGATCGCAGCCAGTGGAGGGAACCCACGAGGACCCCCGATGGCCTCTGCTCCTTATACGAAGCGGCGCTCTGCCTGTTCGAGGAGGTAAGAGGTCCAACAGCTCCTCCAGAGCTTCCTCTCTAAATGCTGTTCTCTCTGCTACATCGGCAGCCAACAATCTCTGACTTCTTCCAGAAAGATGGAGGCCATAGGCTTAGTTTTTTTTTTTTTATAATTAACAGTATCTACAGGTGAGGCAGTCAGAATTTCCCTGTTTGCTTTATTCCCTTAATGAAGGAAAGCAATTAAAACAACTTTTTATTTTGATCCAATATAAGAAGCTGTTTGATCTGAAATGGTTTGGGGGGATGAAAAGCCGCCACAGAGGGTTCCTTCTCTCTGATGGCCTGGTGGTGAGGGCATTGTGCTTGGAAAAAAGTTCTCACTGCCACTCTGGGTCCCTGAATTAAATTCAATTATTTCTTTCTTTGTTTCTTTATTTATTATCAGTATTATCTCAGTCCCACCTGTCTGTTTTTTTTTTTTTTTTCTTTGTGCTCCAGGTGTGTCGGATGGCATCAGACTACTCTCGCACCTGCGTCAGCCCTGACAGCATCCAGACGGGCGAGGCTCCGGTGGTCTCAGAGACCTGCGAGGTGTATGTATGGGGCAGCAACAGCAGCCACCAGCTGGTGGAGGGAACGCAGGAGAAGATCCTGCAGCCCAAGCTGGCTGCCAGCTTCGCCGATGCTCAGACGGTACGTGGAGGAGGTGCTCCAGGGTTTAACCATCGGGTCAGACTCTGGTGGATGGATCTGGATGATGATGATGATTGGCGGCGAGGCTTTTGTTTCAGGACTGTAAAACTCACCCAGAGGAAGTCTTTCTCTCTCCTTTATGTCCTTCCTCCCTCCCTTCCTTATTCCCTCATTTCCTCACTTCCTTAAATGATTGACATATGTGTGTGTTCCACATGGAAATGAGACGCGTAATCATTTCGTCTACAGCTTTCTATCTGTGCAGCTTTTACGGGTGTACCAATATGGTGTCTGGCTCCAGGGGTGTGTTCACAATGAGCATCAGTTCACTCCGCCACGCTGCAGGAGGCTAACGCTCATTTCTGTCCAATCAGCACATGTCTCTACATGCTAATGTCTGCTTAGCTCTCCAGCTGCAGCTGTCACTCATCCGCCATGTTTATCTGTCCAGGTTGTTGTCATTTTATCTAGGGCTGCTAAAATAATGACATTTTCTTCCTGGCTTCCTTCTTTGTGACCTTTTTGCCTTTAGTCCTCTTTCCCTTCCTTCCTTCTATCCTCCTCTCTTCTTTTCCTTCGTTTCATCCTTCCTCCATCCTTTTCCTTATTATCAACCCATCTTTCTTCATTCCTAAACCAGGTTTGAGTTTGGAAACCTTGGATGTGCCTGTATTGTTTCTTAGTGTCTTAGTTTTATACGTTTCTAACATTAAAACGTTTTCCCTGCTTTGATCTGAGTGGATGATGCTGAAGCCGTTGTCAGACGCCTCTGAGTGCAGCTCTGTTGTGATGCTGCGGCGTCTAACCTGGTTTTCTGCTGCCGTTTTCCTCAGATCGAGGCGGGTCAGTACTGCACGTTTGTGATTTCCTCCGACGGGTCCGTCCGAGCCTGCGGGAAAGGTAGCTACGGCCGCCTGGGCCTCGGAGACTCAAACAATCAGTCGACGCTCAAGAAGCTGACCTTTGAACCCCACCGAGCCATCAAGAAAGTGTCCTCGTCTAAGGGCTCGGACGGACACACCCTGGCCTTCACCACGGAGGGCGAGGTGTTCAGCTGGGGCGACGGCGACTACGGAAAACTGGGACATGGGAACAGCTCGACTCAGAAATATCCAAAACTCATCCAGGGGCCTCTGCAGGGGAAGGTAGGCTTCAACCCTCCATCTCAGGGCTTTCAGCTTATTTATTTATTTAAAAAGCTTTGTTTGAAACCAGTTTGGCTCATTTATGCTTCTGGAGACGTCTTGTTTTTTTTGTTTAATGTAAGGATGAGAACGGCTTCTGCTCTGGAAGCTTCTATCATATTTTAATTTGAACGTTTCTGTCCAGAAGAAGCAGATGGAGCTTTTTCTGTTTTTTTGCTTCATTCCTATTATGTGTGTTACCCCTGTGTGTGTGTGTGTGTCTCAGGTGGTAGTGTGTGTGTCTGCTGGCTACAGACACAGTGCTGCCGTCAGTGAGGATGGGGAGCTCTACACCTGGGGGGAGGGAGATTTTGGCAGGCTAGGTGAGTAGCTTAACATTGCTACGTTTCTATATGAACAATACAAAACAGTTTTTCATCAATTGTTTCTCTTTTACCACTTCCTACGGAGGAGGATTAGGGCCACTGAAAAAAATAAATAAAAGTTAACTGATTTTTAAATTTTCTTTCAGCTTAATATGGGAAAAAGTCAGAATTCTGACTTTCATCTCAGAATTCTGACTTTAACCTCAGAATTCTGAGAAAAAAGTCAGAATTCTGAGAAAAAAGTCAGAATTCTGAGATTAAAGTCAAAATTCTGAGAAAAAAAGTCAGAATTCTGAGATTAAAGTCAGAATTCTGAAATTAAATTCGGAATTCTGACTTTTTTAAGTGTCAGAATTCAGTCAGAATTCTGAAAAAAGTCAGAATTCTGAGATTAAAGTCGGAATTCTGAGATTAAAGTCGGAATTCTGAGATTAAAGTCGGCTTCTGACTTTTTTTTCCGAAGTGTCAGAATTCAGTCAGAATTCTGAGATTAAAGTCGGAATTCTGAGATTAAAGTCGGAATTCTGAGATTAAAGTCGGCTTCTGACTTTTTTTTCGAAGTGTCAGAATTCAGTCAGAATTCTGAGATTAAAGTCGGAATTCTGAGATTAAAGTCGGAATTCTGAGATTAAAGTCGGAATTCTGAGATTAAAGTCAGAATTCTGCGAAAAATGTCAGAATTCTGCGATACTTCCCATACTAAACTGAAATAAAAATTTTAAATCAGTAAACTTTTTTTTTTTTCCAGTGGCCCTAATCCTCTTCTGTAGCTTTCTGAGCTTAGCTTGCATCATTAATGATACCTTTCAGGCCAGTTTCCATTAAAAAACATTTCTGATCTGCTGCTGAACTAAACATCAGATGTGTTTCAAGGTCTAAACGAAAACCTGAAAGTTTCCTGGTTAAGAACAGATTTTGTTTAATTGGGAGAGAAGAACATCTCTGATGTTTTCTCACGCAGGCCACGGGGACAGCAACAGCCGCAACATCCCCACTCTGGTCAAAGACATCAGCAACGTTGGAGAGGTGTCCTGTGGAAGCTCCCACACCATCGCCCTGTCTAAAGATGGACGCACCGTTTGGTCCTTTGGAGGAGGCGACAATGGTGGGTTGATTCCTGATCAATGGAGAGCTCTCTGGAAAGGACCCAGTCTTCTGAAGGGTCTGTGGTGTCATGCATCACTGCTGTGTCCTCCTGCAGGAAAACTGGGACATGGAGATACCAACAGAGTCTACAAGCCCAAAGTGGTGGAGGCCCTGCAGGGGATGTTCATCAGGAAAGTTTGTGCAGGAAGTCAGTCGTCTCTGGCGCTCACCTCCACCGGACAGGTAGGACATCTAGGAAGCTCCTCCCACTGTCAGATCCTGGATCCTAGAAGAATAGGAGCAGTTTATTTTATGTAGGATTTTCTCATTATTTTTCTTTTTTTTTTTTTTTGCTGGCTTCAGAAGCTGAGCAGCTAATTAGCTTCAGAAGCTGAGCAGCTAATTAGCTTCAGAAGCTGAGCAGCTATTGGCTTCAGAAGCTGAGTGGCTAATTAGCTTCAGAAGCTGAGCAGCTAATTAGCTTCAGGATCTGAGCAGCTAATTAGCCTCAGAAGCTGAGCAGCTAATTAGCTTCAGGATCTGAGCAGCTAATTAGCCTCAGAAGCTGAGCAGCTATTGGCTTCAGAAGCTGAGCAGCTAATTAGCTTCAGAAGCTGAGCAGCTATTGGCTTCAGAAGCTGAGCAGCTAATTAGCTTCAGAAGCTGAGCAGCTAATTAGCTTCAGAAGCTGAGCAGCTAATTAGCTTCAGAAGCTCAGCAGCTATTGGCTGCAGAAGCTGAGCAGCTAATTAGCTTCAGAAGCTGAGCAGCTAATTAGCTTCAGAAGCTGAGCAGCTAATTAGCTTCAGAAGCTGAGCAGCTAATTAGCTTCAGAAACCGAGCAGCTAATTAGCTTCAGAAGCTGAGCAGCTAATTAGCTTCAGAAGCTGAGCAGCTATTGGCTTCAGAAGCTGAGCAGCTAACTAGCTTCAGAAGCTGAGCAGCTAATTAGCTTCAGAAGCTGAGCAACTAATTAGCTTCAGAAACCGAGCAGCTATTGGCTTCAGAAGCCGAGCAGCTATTGGCTACAGAAGCTGAGCAGCTAATTAGCCTCAGAAGCTGAGCAGCTATTGGCTTCAGAGGCTGAGCAGCTATTGGCTTCAGAAGCTGAGCAGCTATTGGCTTCAGAAGCTGAGCAGCTATTGGCTTCAGAGGCTGAGCAGCTAATTAGCTTCAGAAAACGAGCAGCTAATTAGCTTCAGAAAACGAGCAGCTAATTAGCTTCAGAAAACGAGAAGCTATTGGCTTCAGAAGCCGAGCAGCTATTGGCTACAGAAGCTGAGCAGCTAATTAGCCTCAGAAGCTGAGCAGCTATTGGCTTCAGAGGCTGAGCAGCTATTGGCTTCAGAAGCTGAGCAGCTATTGGCTTCAGAAGCTGAGCAGCTAATTAGCTTCAGAAGCTGAGCAGCTAATTAGCTTCAGAAGCTGAGCAGCTAATTAGCTTCAGAAGCTGAGCAGCTAATTAGCTTAAGAAGCTGAGCAGCTAATTAGCTTAAGAAGCTGAGCAGCTAATTAGCTTCAGAAGCTGAGCAGCTAATTAGCTTCAGAAGCTGAGCAGCTATTGGCTTCAGAAGCTGAGCAGCTATTGGCTTCAGAAGCTGAGCAGCTATTGGCTTCAGAGGCTGAGCAGCTATTGGCTTCAGAAGCTGAGCAGCTATTGGCTTCAGAAGCTGAGCAGCTATTGGCTTCAGAAGCTGAGCAGCTAATTAGCTTCAGAAGCTGAGCAGCTAATTAGCTTCAGAAGCTGAGCAGCTAATTAGCTTCAGAAGCTGAGCAGCTAATTAGCTTCAGAAGCTGAGCAGCTATTGGCTTCAGAAGCTGAGCAGCTATTGGCTTCAGAAGCTGAGCAGCTATTGGCTTCAGAAGCTGAGCAGCTAGTTAGCTTAAGAAGCTGAGCAGCTAATTAGCTGCAGAAGCTGAGCAGCTAATAGCTCATTTTCTGTCCCTAAACCTCTTGTTAGAAACTAGATTTTTGATCTGAGTTAAAGTGGGGAAAAAAGAAGTTTATATTTATGTCTGATTGGCTGAATTTGGTCTGTAATTCCAGGCAGGAAGGCTGTAGACCTTGTTCTTTCTAAGTTGCTCTGATCAGTTCCGCTTCCCGTGTCTCCAGGTCTACGCTTGGGGTTGCGGCGCCTGTCTGGGCTGCGGTTCGTCTGAAGCCACGTCCCTCAGGCCTAAAATGATAGAGGAGCTGGCTACGACCAGAGTGGTGGACATCTCCATCGGGGACAGCCACTGCCTGGCCCTCTCTCATGGTACCGCTCCTATCATTGCCTTTCTTTTCACCCAGTGGTGCTTTGTTACTGTTGACTCACTGTTCAGATGAGGATTTGCTGAGTGAGCAGGACTGTTGAAAGAAGGACGACGGAACAAAGGGCACACTGACATGAGCTTTATGTTACATTAGTTCTCTTCATTTCTTTGTCTTGTTTTTCCTTCTCGGGGTCTGATGTTGGGTCTATCTTCACCCAGACAACGAGGTCTATGCGTGGGGAAATAATTCCATGGGCCAGTGTGGCCAGGGCAACTCCACTGGCCCCATTACTAAACCCAAGAGGGTGGTCGGCCTGGACGGGGTGGCCATCCAGCAGATCTCTGCAGGGACGTCCCACAGCCTGGCCTGGACCGCTCTGCCCAGAGACAGGTGGGCCCTTTACAGCAGCAGGTGTCTGTATGGAATTATGCTTTCTTCTGCTGGTAGCCTTATTCCCCATGGTAGCCTTATTCCCCATGGTAGCCTTATTCCCCTATGGTAGCCTTATTCCCCTTGGTAGCCTTATTCCCCTTGGTAGCCTTATTCCCCATGGTAGCCTTATTCCCCTTGGTAGCCTTATTCCCCTTGGTAGCCTTATTCCCCTTGGTAGCCTTATTCCCCATGGTAGCCTTATTCCCCTTGGTAGCCTTATTCCCCTTGGTAGCCTTATTCCCCATGGTAGCCTTATTCCCCTATGGTAGCCTTATTCCCCTTGGTAGCCTTATTCCCCTTGGTAGCCTTATTCCCCATGGTAGCCTTATTCCCCTTGGTAGCCTTATTCCCCATGGTAGCCTTATTCCCCATGGTAGCCTCCTTATTCCCCTTGGTAGCCTTATTCCCCATGGTAGCCTTATTCCCCTTGGTAGCCTTATTCCCCATGGTAGCCTTATTCCCCATGGTAGCCTTATTCCCCATGGTAGCCTTATTCCCCTTGGTAGCCTTATTCCCCTTGGTAGCCTTATTCCCCTTGGTAGCCTTATTCCCCATGGTAGCCTTATTCCCCATGGTAGCCTTATTCCCCTTGGTAGCCTTATTCCCCATGGTAGCCTTATTCCCCATGGTAGCCTCCTTATTCCCCTTGGTAGCCTTATTCCCCATGGTAGCCTTATTCCCCTTGGTAGCCTTATTCCCCATGGTAGCCTTATTCCCCATGGTAGCCTCCTTATTCCCCATGGTAGCCTCCTTATTCCCCTTGGTAGCCTTATTCCCCTTGGTAGCCTTATTCCCCTTGGTAGCCTTATTCCCCTTGGTAGCCTTATTCCCCATGGTAGCCTTATTCCCCATGGTAGCCTTATTCCCCTTGGTAGCCTTATTCCCCATGGTAGCCTTATTCCCCTTGGTAGCCTTATTCCCCATGGTAGCCTTATTCCCCATGGTAGCCTTATTCCCCATGGTAGCCTCCTTATTCCCCATGGTAGCCTTATTCCCCTATGGTAGCCTTATTCCCCTATGGTAGCCTTATTCCCCTTGGTAGCCTTATTCCCCTTGGTAGCCTTATTCCCCATGGTAGCCTTATTCCCCTATGGTAGCCTTATTCCCCTATGGTAGCCTTATTCCCCTATGGTAGCCTTATTCCCCTTGGTAGCCTTATTCCCCTATGGTAGCCTTATTCCCCATGGTAGCCTTATTCCCCTTGGTAGCCTTATTCCCCATGGTAGCCTTATTCCCCATGGTAGCCTTATTCCCCATGGTAGCCTCCTTATTTACCATGGTAGCCTTATTCCCCTTGGTAGCCTTATTCCCCATGGTAGCCTTATTCCCCATGGTAGCCTTATTCCCCATGGTAGCCTCCTTATTCCCCATGGTAGCCTCCTTATTCCCCTTGGTAGCCTTATTCCCCTTGGTAGCCTTATTCCCCTTGGTAGCCTTATTCCCCATGGTAGCCTTATTCCCCATGGTAGCCTTATTCCCCATGGTAGCCTTATTCCCCATGGTAGCCTCCTTATTCCCCATGGTAGCCTCCTTATTCCCCATGGTAGCCTTATTCCCCATGGTAGCCTTATTCCCCATGGTAGCCTCCTTATTCCCCATGGTAGCCTCCTTATTCCCCATGGTAGCCTCCTTATTCCCCATGGTAGCCTCCTTATTCCCCTTGGTAGTCTTATTCCCCATGGTAGCCTTATTCCCCATGGTAGCCTTATTCCCCATGGTAGCCTTATTCCCCATGGTAGCCGTGTTTTTTGTTTATTAAAATCTTTTATAGTTTTTATGAAGCTCAGAGAGAATCAGTGTTAATCTTAATCGGTTTTCTGGTACCCTGGGATTCTACCTTTGGTAAAGTCTGTTGTTTTTTGAAATGTTTTGATCCTGTTTATCAGAGTCTATCTTGTTTCCTAAACCTCAAAGCAGACGTGTTTAAGTTTGGCACCGTATCTCTCCTGCTGTCTAAAGGCTGGTTTATACTCAGAAACCAGGTCGTCTGCGTGTGTCGCAGTTAACGCAGATATGCGTTCCACCTGGATCCCCGCTCTTTTTCGCCCTCATGTCCCTCCGTTGTCGCACAAACTTGTCCCCACTTCCTCACTGCAGACCACGCTTCAATATTGGGCATAAATCAAAAATATCTGCAACAAGCTCACTGTGACACACTGCTGCGGGAGGATAACCAGCCCTAAGCACTTAAGGCCTGGTTATCCTCCCGCAGCAGTGTGTCGCAGTGAGCTTGTTGCAGATATTTTTGATATATGCCCAATATTGAAGCGTGGTCTCTGCTTTGTTGTTCCACGCCACAACACAAGAGGTACAACCACAAACTAGCTGTGGGTCTAAATATGGCCGAGGCGGTAAGTTTGTGTGACAATGGAGGGACATGAGGAGCGGTGATCCAGGTGGAAAAAGGGTCCCAGCGGTCTCGCAAACCTCGCTCTTCTAGCTGGTCCATCTTCACGAGTCGTTTTCCGTAATTGCGGTCATACAAACAAAACAAGCTGGTAAGGTACCCAACAGGAAATACGCATAGCGTAGAGCGGATGTAGATTTGACCATATCAGGCCTCTTTTCTGCTGCACTTTCTGTGGTCACCTACAATTTTGGAGAGGTGTAACTGCGACACATGCAGACGACCTGATTTCTGAGTATAAATCAGCCTTAAGAGACACCAGCTCATCGATTCATGAATAGACCCTCAGTCCAAGTCACTAAAGTCCATGTTGGAGCAGAGAATAAACTCAGTTAAGAAGAAGCTTTTATTAGATGAAAGCGTAGAGTTCGAAGATCACTAAGTTCAGTTAAACGTAGGGATTTCTTTCCTTCCTTTGGTTTCATGGTAGGAAATTATCTTTTAATCTTAAATGTCTGGGCAGGTTGATAATTTAGCTTCTAATTAAAGTGTGATGCACTGAAATACTGTATGGGCATCTCAAGTGTTTTTTATCTCATTTGAGCAGATTTATTTGATTTGATTGAACTTTCTTCTTCTCCATAAAACTTTGAATCAGCAGGATGCCGCCGATCGTCCCTGGTTCTCTGAGGGACCTCCACCAATTAGATGGCATCATAGATCTTTGTTCCTGATGTTCTCAGATCTTCTGAGTGATTGATTGATTGATTCTACAGGCAGGTGGTGGCCTGGCATCGGCCGTACTGCGTGGACCTGGAGGAAAGCACCTTCTCTCATCTGCGCTCCTTCTTGGAACGGTACTGTGACGGCATCAACAGCGAGGTTCCCCCGCTGCCCTTTCCCTCGTCCAGGTGAGGGCGCTCACACATGAGGCATTAGTTCAGGCGCTGCAAGGCAGATGCAGATTAAATGTTTCTACGTGTTCACAGGGAGCATCATAACTTCCTCAAACTGTGCCTCCGGCTTTTATCCAATCACCTGGCTCTGGCTCTGGCTGGGGGCGTGGCCACGAGCATCTTGGGTCGGCAGGCCAGGCCACTGAGGAACCTTCTCTTTAGGCTGATGGACGCCTCGGTGCCGGATGAGATCCAGGAGGTACGCTGTGGCGAAGAGGCGATCAGAACCGGTCCATTGTTCTGGTTCTGAGTCATCATGTACCGTCTCAGAACCAGGCTTGGAATCTGGTTCTTGAACTGACAGCAAATCCAGAACCAAAAACAGGATGACTTTATGATGAGGACCGTCCAGTCCTGATCTGATGAATCTAGATCTTTAAATGGAGCCAAGCTCTGACCGCGTGTTTCTCCCACCAGGCCGTCATCGAGACGCTGTCTGTGGGGGCCACCATGCTGCTGCCCCCGCTGAGAGAGAGGATGGAGCTGCTTCACTCCCTGCTGCCTCAGGGCCCCGACAGATGGGAGAGTCTCTCTAAAGGACAGGTACGACCGTCTCCTCTGCTGCATCCACAACCGACCCACCATCCGGTTCCTGAGCTGCTGCTGTTTCCACAGAAATCAATGAGAACTGCTCTGCTGATGAACGGAGCAGATTGTCTGAAATGTCTGCTTTTAGATTTTAGATTGACATCATCATGAAGACACTAAACAAAGTTTCAAAGTAGAAAAAACACCCCACTGTGCTTTATTTAAAAAACTTGAATTAGACACCGCAGAAATCCTCCAAGTACTCTGACCATGATGGTGGTCAAGACAAAGCCTGTGTTTGGGAATCGCTCTGAGCAACACAGCCCTAACTTCGAAGGCTTTCTTCTGGCTGTCATTCAGAGTAGGAATACCTTCATAGGAGAGAGCCGAAAGTAGACGACGTAGAAAGCGAAACTGCTCTCAACGTGACGGGATGTGACTTCAGGTATACTGACCCTGGAGGCAACCAGGTCCATGCCACAACCTTTAAAGGGGGGCAGTGGGTGCCTCCCATTGATATTAGGGGAAATCTAAACAAGCTCTGCTGCTGTTTTTATAGCGTGACTTGATGTCTTCCCATCAGGTGTGCTGGTGAAGATTCTCAGTCATCCAGGTCATAGTCATTCCAAAAAAAAGTTTAAAAAAAACAATCCACTGGTGTTTGGTTCTAAGTTTGAAACTTTTTCATTTTAAAGTTCATTGAAAAAGCTTCCTGGATGGGAAGCGAAATGTCTTCACACAGGTAAATTGATTGATTGATTGGCTTTATTAATCTCACAGATAGGGCTGGGTAAAAAAATAGATTTTGAATCGATTCCTTTACATTTTTGCAAAATCGATGTCTAGGGAATGAGATTGATTAGTTATATAGTGACGTGCGTGACGTTCACATTCAAATGAGCAGGAAAGATGCTCTCAAGATGACTTCAAGCCAGACAGCTGCAAATATAGCTAATAGATTGATTGAAGACATTAACAAATGGAGGCTGACCAGCAAACACCCTGTAGTTTTTACAGACAACGCTGCTAATATGCTTTGTGCATTGGAGATAATGCAGCTCATGCATGTCTGCTGTGTCACGTCTGCTTGCTCGAGTGAGGCTTCACTTTTTCACTTTTCACAAACAAGTTTGCACTTTTGAGACAGTTTTGTTCACATCTCAAGTTTAAACTGTCCGATTTACAAGTTTGCACTTGTGTTTAATATGACAAGAAAAAATAAAATACACGAGTATTTTGAAACACAGTTGAACCACTTTCATTATTGTAAAAACAGATTGAATAGAAATTAATCGATTTAGAACTCTATGAATCAAAATCAAATTGATTCAGGACTTTGGCCAAAATACCAGGCCCCACTCACAGATGAGAAATTTACTCGTCACAATAGCTCAAAAAGGAGGTAAAATGTTTTTTGCAGCCATTACGCTCACTGAATTTCAGCATGTTGCCTCATTTCAGGGAGATCTTGATCACTTTCAGTAGTGAAACTGCTGAAAGTGATCAAAGTGGCTGTGCTGAAATGAGCTGAATCCTGGAGGAGGAAGTATATCAAATATCAAAGTATGGCGGACGGCTAGTCTGAAAAAATGCAAACAGTCATCATGAGAATTGATTCATTAGTTTTTTTATTAATTGAACTTTATTGATCTGACATTAGAGACATTTACTTCTGCATTTAACCCATCCCCTTGGGAGAGCAGTGGGCTGCCATCGTGCGGCGCCCGGGAAGCAGTGTGGGGTTAAGGGTCTTGCTCAGAGTGGTGCTCTGTGGCAGTGTGTTTCAAACTCACAACCTTAGGATTCCAAGCTCTATGCCATAGCCACTAGGCCGCCACACCCCCAGATCAGTCCTGATCTGGACATTTCTTCATGCTGTGTTGATGTTTTCATCGTTATTTAACCAGAACCGCGGCTGAAATCCCTCAGTCACATTTCTAAAGAAGCAGTTTTTTCTTCAGAGGATGCAGCTGGACATCATCCTGACCAGCCTCCAGGACCACACCCACGTAGCCTCGCTGCTCGGCTACAGCTCCCCGGCAGATGGTCCTGATGCTCTGTCCTCCGGCCCCACCTTCGCAGGGTACCCCGAGCCCAGCTACGGCACCACGGGGGCCCCCCCAGACACCCACCTGGCAGAGATCCTGATGAAGACGCTGCTCAGGAACCTGGGCTTTTACACCGTGAGTGGATTCTCAGTGATTGATTACTGATGAGACTTTTTCCTGGAACTAGATGAGGCAGATGGAGTCAGAACATAGAAGCAGTCGGCTCTAATCCACCTGTTGCCTGATTTCCTGGCAGAGCAGCAGCCTTTCCTGCTTGTTTTAGCTGATGGATAATTCACTAGATAAGTCTTTTTTTCTTAAAATAAGTGCATTTCTTCTTGGATTGAGAAGGTAAAAGTGGAATTTTGCCAATGGAACAAGACAATTTATATTAAAAATAAGAAAACGTAATTCATTGTCTTATTTCAAGTGCCTTTTATCTAATTATCTTACTTTAAGAGTAAAAATACTCATTCCAATACCAAATTTACCCAAATAAAGGGTAAATACACTTAATTTAAGATATTTCTACTTATTTGTAGATCGTTTTTCCAGTGGGAGGGTTTTATTCACCTTCTGTACGATTCTGGATCATTTTCTTTCACAGCTCTTCAAAGTTCTACTAAAGTCAGATGTTACCAGAATATGTTTTTTTTTTTTTTTTTTCTGCAATTAATTGGATTTTAATTCATTTAAAAAAGACGAAGACTAAGAAAAAACAGGAGATTGGACTGGATGTTTTTAGTGACTTACAAGCAAAGTGCCTGAGTAGAACCAGAACCCTTAAACAGAGTCCATGACAGAATAAAACCACCTTAAAACCCCTTTGAGTTGATCTAAGCTCCATACGGCCTAGTGTCCCAGCTAAACCTGAATAGATTCCGCTCACATCTCATACTTGTAGGACTCTGGACCAGAACCAGTAATGTTTACGTTCTGTTCAGATCCGCTCCATCTGCAGAAGAACCGTAATGTTCCCGAGCAGCAGAGTCTAAGGCCGTTTCTCAGTATGTGTACTTGTGCGTTCTCCTTTGCTAATGAAACATCATCAGCTTCAGCCCTAGTACTCTTCTAATTCACAAGAACAGACAGAGAACGGACAAAGCCCCCAGATGTTATTCTAGCACCTCCCTCTTTACCCAGCATGCATCAGAGCAGACCTGTCCGTTCTTGAGATTGACAGCTGTCCCAGCATGCACTGCGGCAGCAGCAGCTTCCAATGAAGCACTCGCAGAGTATTAAGTTAAGAGTTCTCTTTTCTGTCGCTGTTGTTCTATAAAAGTACGGTTTAAGATAATTTGAGGCGAGAATATTATACTTTAAGCTTCACTATATGGCCCATTTACTGATTTAGTACGTAATCTAATTTAGTGCGGAGCTCTGAGGCTAAACGCAGCCAGGGCTAACGTCACCCCATCTGCTGCAGCCCTCTCTCTGCATAGCCGTTTGTGAAATACCGCTGAATGTGAAGTACCGCTATGATGGAGGTTTGATTGATTTATTTGGCAAAACGTTCATTTGATTTGTTTTTATCTGAGTGTGTTAATTATTATTCTCCCACTAAATGAAAACAGTCATGATTTATTATTATCTAGAGACTATTAATAACAGGAGGTGAAATGCAGTGGTCTGTGCTACACACTGTGGGTCTAGATACGGCCGAGACGGAGAGGAAGTGGGGGGCGAGTTTAGTCCGACGACGGAGGGACATGAGGGCCAAAAAGAGCGGAGATCCAGGTGGAAAAAGGGTCCCAGCGTTCTCGCGCACCTCGCTCTTCTAGCGGGTCAAACTTCATGAGTTGTTTTCCGCAATTTCGGTCTTGAAAACAAAACAAACTGGCCTCCTGTCTGCGGCACTGTTTGCCATCAGCTACAATTTGGCAGAGGAGCAGCGGAGCGTCTGTGGAGGGGGCGGGACATCTGGAGCCGAGGTATTGCATTGCACTCATTGCACTGATTATGTGCAGTATTTTTTGATGCAAAGCCTTTCAGAATCTATAACGCAGTGAATGAGGTTTTAACAGGAATAGGTTGTGTAAAACTTTTCTACTTCTGTTATTTTCTGTAGTTTCTCAAAAAAAAAAAAAAAAGCATAACGATATTACAGCTTTCATGGATTTATTTCAAATTTGAAAGGCCTGTAAGGTGTTAAAAAAAAAATGAACCAATTAATCGAATCGAATCGTATCGTGATGTATTCTTGAGTATCGAAAATAATCGAATCGTTGGGTCAGGAAATCGATACTGAATCGAAAAGCCATGATGGGTGTGATTTACATCCCTACTAGGAGATAGTGTTACGATCTAAAAGTTCCCTATGGAACCTCACATTTGGCTCTTGGTCTGTATCAGCATCCCTCCAGGTATCCGGCAGCACCATGTCTGGTTCCGCTCCAGGTTTCTTCCCGTTAAAGCAGAGGAATGCAGAAACATCTGAATGCAGTCAGCTGGGTTTCCCTACATAGCCAATCTGTCTGTAGGACTGGATGATTTTTTTCCTACGATGCACGTTTAGATGATGTGCTGTGAATCACCTGAGCTGCTCTGGGCCCCCTGTGTCTGCAGGACCAGGCTTTGGGCGAGCTGGAGAAGAACAGCGATAAGCTGCAGCAGCGCACCTCGTCATCAGACAGCAGCCAGCCGGCTCACCTCCACCAGCTGCTCTGCTCTCTGCAGAAGCAGCTCCTGGCCTACTGTCACATCAACGCCGTCACAGAGGTATGGAAAGAAAGCGCTGTCTGTGACTGCAGCAGACGCACCCATCTAACCCAGATCGCCGCGTTTCCTGCAGAACTCCAGCAGCGTGGCTTTGCTCCACAAGCACCTGCAGCTCCTGCTGCCTCACGCCACCGATATCTTCTCGCGCTCCGCTGCCCTGCTGAAGGAGAGCTCCTGGAATGGCAGCATTCGAGAGAAGCTCCAAGGTGAGCAGCAGCCCCCTCCCCCCCCCGGAGCTCTGTCCTGTTTGGTTTCATCTGCTCATCCGTTCTTCTGTCGCCTCCAGATGTGATCTTCGTGTCAGCGGCGGGCAGCATGCTGTGTCAGATCATCAACTCGCTGCTGCTGCTCCCGGTTCCGGTGGTGAGGCCGCTGCTGAGCCACCTGCTGGACCTGCTGCCGCCGCTGGACCGACTCAACAGGCTGCTGCCGGCTGCGTCTCCGCTGGAGGACCAGGAGCTGCAGTGGCCTCTTCACGGTCAGACATAATGTTGGATCTGATTGGCTCTTTGTTCTGGGTGGGAAACTCAAAACCGGGTCACTCCCTTCTTCTGTTGCACTATAGCTATGATTTTAGCACAAGTAAACCTTAATTTGCTGTTAGCAGGAGATGGTTCCTTGTTAAAGGCAGCTCTGTGTCTCACCTTGAAGGTTCTTTCTCCGGTTCTTTTTCCTGAAAAGAGATCACTTGGGACAAACTCTTTAAATAACGCTTCATAATGTTTATGTATTAAATAACCAGGAGACCTGACAACAGATTTTGATAATAATTGTAATCTTACTCAGATTAGAGAAGTTGCCCAGGGTTACAGAAGGCAGCTGCTTACCAACCGGGCTCACTTCTGGGGAAGTGGCTCTGACAAACAGGTAGCGAAGCATTTTCTGCATGCTCCATCCATGGCTCCAGCTTTATCAAATCAATATCATATTACACTCAGGGCTCAATGTTAACCATCGCCCCATCTCCCGGGGCAAGTAGTTTTTATTGTCGGGAGAGTACAAATTTCATTGCATTTGCCTGGCGGGCAAATGCAATGATCGCAAAAAATTATATTTATCACTCAAAATTACTTTAAATCACCGACATTCGCTGAAAACGATCCACAAGCGTTGCCGGCACCATTTTTTTTGTTTTGTACACATTCTCGCGTGATTTGAAAAAGCCGCGTGATTTTCCGCTAGATGGCGTGATTTTTCTCTCCTTGGGGAGAGAATTCTGCAGAGCAGCAGCTGGGTGATGAATTTAATCTATACTATAATACACGCTAGATTAAAAATGATCTGCAGGGATTAGGAAAATAATAATAATAACTTTATGCACACAGTGAAAATATTTCTATCATATGGCAGTCTTCTGTACAGTGGTCATACATTTAAAAATGTTCATTACATTTTTTTCTCTTAGACATTGGAGTGGTGCATTTAAATGTTATAGAGCTAAACATGTTAAATTGGTGAGTAGTAGTAGTGTAAGTTTTTAACCTGTCAAATTTATTTAAGATTTTTAACATTACTATTTATATTTTTCCAAGCACACAACAGTTTAAAGCAAAGTTTAGTTTGAAAAGAATGTGCAGGAAGGATTGAAAAGCATGTTAACACGGTAATGTAGGCTTGAGTTCATTATCTGACGCATGCATATACACACCAGGAACCTGGAAACTTACTGAATTACAAAAAAACATTTAAAAAAACAAACATGTTTCATTGATATATATACAAAAATGAATATTAGGAACTATATTTATCAAACATTATACTGGGCAAGTAAAAATTGTTTCTGGGCAAATGAAATGTGAAAGCCACTTGCCCAAAGGGCCAAAGTGGCTTTCACATTTCCTTAACGTCAACCCCTGACACTTTGTTCTTAGCTGAAGGACACCACTCTCATTCCATTCCCAAATCTTTGCCATTTGCAGAATGAAGATTATAACTGTATATAGCTTGACCGAGGAACTGGCCTAATTAGATAAACTATTGGGGAAAACGTCAGTTCTGATACGCAACAGGCAGCTAATATTAAGGAGTAATAAACTCTCACATCATCAATGATAATTATCCTAACATCCTGAATCTGCTTCACATCGACTGCAGAGACGAAGTCATTCCACCTGAGTGAAGTTGACCCCCCCACCTTCTTCAAATCAGACGAAATTAGTGTCAAACGTTTGTGCAGCAAGACATTTTTGTTTGTGCTGCTTTGGCTTTGAAGATATTAATGAAAATGTAAAGGTCAAAAGGTCAACCAGCCCCCCCACCTTCTTCAAATCAGACAAAATTAGTGTCAAATGTTTGTGCTGGTTTGTGCAGCAAAAATTTTCGTTTGTGCCGCTATCGTTTTAAAGATATAAAGAAATATCTCTAGAGGTCATCAAAGGTCAACCAGCCCCCCACCTTATTCAAATCAGACGAAATGGGTGTCTCCTTGAACCCCAGTCGGCCTCGGCAGATGGCCCCTCACACTGAGCCTGGTTCTGCTGGAGGTTTCTTCCTGTTAAAAGGGAGTTTTTCCTCTCCACTGTCGCTACAAGCATGCTTAGTGTGGGGGATTGTATTTGAGTCAATGAGTCAATGCAATCAACTGGTTTTCCTTAGATAGAAAACTTTGTATCAATTTGACTGTATGATCTGGTTGAACTGTAAAGTGCCTTGAGATGACATGTGTTGTGAATTTGGCGCTATATAAATAAACTGAATTGAATTGAATTGAATTGAATTAACTCAGCTCCGTTTGTGCTGGTTTGTGCAGCAAAAAGTTTTGTTTGTGCTGCTTTGGATTTGAAGATTTGAAGAAAGTTGGGGGGGCTGGTTGACCTTTGAAGACCTCTAGAAACATCTCTTTATATCTTTAAAATGAAAGCGGCACAAATGAAAATTTTTGCTGCACAAACGTAGCCCAAACGTTTGACACTAATTTTGTCTGATTTGAAGAAGGTGGGGGGGCCAACTTCACTCAGGTGTTAATTCCACAAAATCAACCCACTGTCGATGCTGAAGTCAGCAGGACGGTGGGATCAGGGTAGATCGGTTTCGGCAGACATCCATTGATCAGATTAGAACCTGAATACTTCTCTGCTGCAACAGGTTCAGCCAATCAGAGGAGGCCTAATCTGCTGTTGGATCCAGGTTCTAATAGAGGCTGGAACCTGCTGCTGTTGAAGAGGGCTGTAGGTTCTAATAAGGGTTCTGAGCTAAGCGGCATTTGGGTGTCAATAATCCTTCCCGCCTGTCCAGGTACGTCGGATGTGGCCGAGCCGGCCGCAGGAGCGTCGCTGCCGGCGCCAGCGCTGTCCTGGGTGTGGCTGGTGGACCTGGAGCGGACCGTGGCCCTGCTGGTGGGCCGCTGCTTAGGCGGGATGCTGCAGGGCGCTCCCACCTCGCTGGAGGAGCAGGACACCGCCTACTGGCTCAAAACGCCGCTGTTCAGCAACGGCTTGGAGATGGACACTGCTCAGCTGGGTACCGACCGACCCAATCCCTGCATTTAAAGAATGTTCTGACCAAGAAGATCCTTTAACTCTGAACCTTTTCCAGATTCCTGCATCAGCTCCATGCTGGAGGCGGCGCTCTCAGGGAACGAGGAGCAGAAGCCGATGGACTGCCCTCTGCAACCGGACCTCGGCGTTCTGGTGGACCTGGCTCTTGGTTCCTCCAAAGAACCAGCCAACAGTCTGTGGATCAACATGCAGGACTATGCCCTGAGTAAAGGTCCGCTTCTGGTCCTGTAGCGAGCCGCTCCTCACCATCGAACCAGAGCTGGTTCTGACCGCTGTTTGTTCTGTTGCAGACTGGGACAACGCGTCCCTGAATAATGAGTCCCTGCTGGACACCGTCTCAAGGTTTGTGTTGGCAGCTCTGCTGAAGCATACGGGGCTGCTGGGCCCAGCCTGCGGCGAGGGAAGGTGAGTGACCCGTCCGCCACGCTCCCGTTCCCCGTCTTCCTCTGCTAATCGACCTGCTCTTGTTTCCCCGGTAGGTACCAACCGTCCAAGTCTCTGGCAGAGGTCTATCGCAGCGTCTATAAAGTACGGAACCGCCTGCTGGCCTGTAAGAACCTGGACTTCATCCAGACCAGGTCTTCGTCTCGGGAGAGACGGGTGAGTGAGCGACAACCAGAACCAGTCAGACCCAAAATGGTAGCAGGATGATTATATTCTGCTAATCCTTCTGCCGCCGCAGATTTCAGACAACCAGGACTCTCTGGACATGGACCCCCAGGAGCACTCGTTCACCCGCACCATTGATGAGGAGGCGGAGCTGGAGGAGAGGGCCGACCGTGAGAGAGAAGAGGGACACCAGGATCAGGACGAGGAGGAGGAGGACCGGGATCACGAAGTGATGACGGCTGGAAGTACGTACGCCGTGCTTTGATGCGTTCGCTGCTTCAGAGGTTTGCATCAGCTGCTGTTTTAGCTCCAGGCAGACGGACTGAGCTGGTTCAGATCAGTCAGCGTTCAGTTAAACTCACTCTGGAGAAGATGATCCGCCTGCCTGCAGGTTTTGAGATCCTGCTCATCTGCTGGAAGGAAAGCTCTTGTGTCTTTCTATGTTTAATGCTTATTCAGCGCCGTAGAAAGAAAGAGTTACGACAGACCCAGTCACCTGGTTCATGTTGTCCTAATAGTTTCAGAAGATCTCAGTACCGTCGGTTTGTTTGAACGGCTGCTGACGGAGCTAAAAAAGAAAACTCAATTCAGTTCAGTTTATTTATATAGCACAATTCACTTCATGTCATCTCAAGGCACTTTCCAGTTCAACCAGATCATCCAGTCAAATTGATTCAAAGTTTTCTATCTAAGGAAAATCAGCTGATTGCATCGACTCATTGACTCTTCAGCAATCCCTCACACTAAGCATGCTTGTAGCAACAGTGGAGAGGAAAAACTCCCTTTTAACAGGAAGAAACCTCCAGCAGAACCAGGCTCAGTGTGAGCGGCCATCTGCTGAGGCCCACTGGGGTTCAAGGAGACCGAAGAAGAGATGCAAAAGGAAACTGTAAAAGGTGGCCCCGTCCAGGAAACACACAGCCAGGCAGACAAGCTCCGAGCAAACTCCCATGTCAGAGGATAAAAGAGAGCACATCCAGTTATTCACAGTCAGAGAAACAGGACTACACTGGAAAAACAGGCAGATCTCGAACATCTATAAACAAAGGCGCTGATGGCAGCAGCACAGCTGATATTTCTCTCCAGGATGGAGTCACAGCCAAACAGGAACAGACCAGATGAAGCTACTATGAGAAAAAGCAGAGAGAGCAGAACGTTAGAGATTGAACTAACAGATTCTGCAGAGTGGGAGAATAGAGATAGAATGATGAAAAAGGGGTCCCTATGTCCTCCAGCAGTCTAAGCCTATAGCAGCATAACTATAGAGATAGCTCAGGATAACCTGAGCCACTCTCACTATAAGCTTTACCAAAAAGGAAAGTTTTAAGCCTAGCCTTAAAAATAGACAGGGTGTCTGCCTCACGGACTAAAACTGGTAGTTGGTTCCACAGGAGAGGAGCCTGATGACTAAAAGATCTGCCTCCCATTCTATTTTTAGAAATTCTAGGAACTACTAGTAAACCTGCAGATTGAGAGCAAAGTGCTCTGTTAAACCGGTCTCTAAATTTTTCCTGCAATTCTCAGTAATTATTGAGCAATAATGAGAAATGATTACTTCACTGACTTTATTATAGCATCTTATTAGGAGCAGCAGAGACATTAATCTGTTCTCAGACTTTGAGGGAGACGATATACACATATTGTAGAACGGATGAGAGAACGTATTGATAGATCAAATGAAGTGTTGATATAAGAATAGAAAATATTATCACAGCTGCAATTTCCTGATGAAAAAAGTGGAGGAAATAAAATATTTCTATTAACGTATTAAAGCTGAGCGTAACATCTATGCTGACCCATTTTTGGACCATGAGCCACTTGACTTCCTCTCTGCTCCTTCCTGTAGAAGTCGCTTGGACTGTCGTACCTCTCTTTCTACGGTGCTGGTTTTAGTAGAATTTGACCTAAACAACCATAAGCCTGTTTATAGTCTGTCTAGTTGAGATGAGGATGTTTTTAGCTGTGGTCCTGGAAGCTCTGGAGGCAACGTTTGTGGCTTTGTTTGTTTTCTGAACGGTGATTTAACCTCCCTAATGTTGGTCTGATTGCTGGAAATGACTGAGCATCTGCAGACGAGGCGAGGCATAGAGATGCAGCTTGTTGCTTTGATTGTTTTAGCTGAACCTTCCAGCTTGCTGCTCATCCTCTAACCCTGCATCTGTGTGTGTGTGTGTGTTTGATGCACAACACAGAAATCTTTCAATGTTTCCTCTCAGCACGGGAGGTAGCTCGCAGTCGGGACAGAGAGCGGGCCAGCAGCAGTACGGGCCTTGGATCTGGCTCGGGATCTGGGTCCCGGAGCGGAGCGGCAGCATCGGGAGGAGGAGAGGAGGAGGTCGCTCTGTCGCAGGAGGAGAGGCGGGGCAGCGGGGGTCTCCCGGAAGGCCAGGATGTCTACACCGCCGCCTGCAACTCCGTGATCCACCGCTGCGCCCTGCTGCTGCTGGGGGTCAGCCCGGTTCTGAGCGAGCTGAGCAAACAGAACCAGGAGGAGGGCCTGGCTCAGTCCGCCACAGGAACACAGGAATGTCTGGGCTTCATGACCAGGTGAGTGTAAAGTTCCTAAACCATTCAAACCACTCCAAGGTTATAATCTGAATCCGATGAAGCTGTTGTTCTGAATGTTTAATTACATCAATCTATGCAGCCCAGGCATTTAAACCTGCACAGTGACCATCCTGCCAGCTGAAGTAAATTCAATTTAAAATCCAGGTTCCCTTGGGAGCAAATGGATTCCTGTGTATTTACTGCGGTCCTGCGTGAACAGAGAGAGGCTGGCAAGCTGTGATTGGTCAACATGGCTGCGTGTTTGCTGCAGAGTTAGACGCTGAGTGCAGCGGGGCAGAGCCAAAAGCTGCTAGAGCTGGTTATGCATGATGAGGGTGGTGGGGAAAAATAAAAGCATGATTAATACCTTTATTATCCCAGAGATTAAAAGTTATTCGCTTCCTCGTCTTTCTTTCTTTCCCTCCTCCTTAAATGTGACATAAAACCTGCCGACTGTAATAAAGTCTGCTGTGAAGTTTGCTATTTTAAATTTCAAAACTCTACAAATCTTGACCTGGAAAAGTCTGGAATTCCCACCTGGAAAACGTTAGATCAGTCGCAGCTCCTCGTACTGAAAGCGTCACGTTTCTATGGTCCGTTTATTTCAGTCTGACTGGAATTTGACGGATGGTCTTGGTTTAGTTTAAGATCAGCTATAAACGGGGACAATGCCTTTAAAAAAACTAATATTTCTTAAAAAAGATTCAATGCAATTAAAGAGGAAAATATCTGAACACAGAGGGTTCCTTTAAAGTCATGTTTGGAACATTTCCAAACAATCATGATAATCACTGCATGATAATCACAGTGAAACACGTTTTAAAAGACTTAGACCCAGCTAATTTGGTTCTGACGTACAACAAAGGTTTCAAATAAGTCAGAAAAGCAGTGAAAAATATATACCGTATTTTCACGACCATAAGGCGCACCGTACTAAAAGCGCAGTCTCAGCTATGTGTGCCATTACTGTATTTAACACACACATAAGGCGTGTGTTAAATACAGCAAAGCTGCTTCAGCCGCGCGTCAGAACTAATCTGGTACAAGCAGCAAAAAAAAAAACGAAGCAGCAGACGCGATTTTGCTGCTCTTGCTGCGTCCGGTGTGAACGTAGCATTACTTTGAACAGCCGGTTCACACCGATGTCGAGCGGTTGGAGTTCCTTTGTCAGACCACCTGGAATAACAGCAAGCACAGCGTTCATTTGTTTCACCATGTTTTTCACATCAGCTGTGAGATGGGCACGCATGGAGTCACAGATTAACAGCGATGGTGATGCGTGGAAAAAACCACCTGGTCTCCTTACATTCACCTCCCTCAGCCACTCTTTCATCATCTCCTCAATGAGGAGATGAGGAGTTCTGCATAAAGCGCATACCTGTTTCTTTATAGGGCGCGGGTTTTATATACCGGTACATGTCCTCTACTTCGTTTAAATACCTCTACTGCATATTTGAAAATAGAGTGGGAGCAAAACTGAGTATGATTGTGCTTTATTCATTATTTATTACAAAGTATTAATCAAACCTGGGAGCTGGCAGCGAGACAGACACATCGCTGATGATCAGAGCGCTGTGATCGCTCCTCTGAAACAGTTTATTGACGCATAAATTAACTTAAAATGCAGAAATCTGCCGGCAGAATATGTTCGCTTTTATTATCCTGCTGCCTGCAGTTTGGATTATTTAGATGAAAAACACCTACCAGCCGCCGCGGTGAACCGCAAGGAGGCGACCCGGCCAGAGGCTGCTGTTGAAGGGATTCCTACTGAGAGTGCACCGCTGGTATGTGGGGGTCTGAGCGGCTCCGACAGAAATAATACTGGAAGGCAGGATGGTAATCTGGATGAACTGACTGCAATGATTAAGTTTTCAGGTGTATTTTCTCACTTAAAAACATTTTAAAACTACTTTATTCCCACTGATCACAGCAAATATAGCTGCAAGGCAGAGACAGGATAGAGTAGCTCCGCCCAACGCGCGTCAGACACACTTTTGCACCGCGCAGCCAGAGCAGCAAAGCTGCTTCAGCCGCGCGTCAGAACTAATCTGGTACAAGCAGCAAAAATGAAGCAGCAGACGCGATTTTGCTGCTCTTGCTGCGTCCGGTGTGAACGTAGCATTACTTTGAACAGCCGGTTCACACCGATGTCGAGCGGTTGGAGTTCCTTTGTCAGACCACCTGGAATAACAGCAAGCACAGCGTTCATTTGTTTCACCATGTTTTTCACATCAGCTGTGAGATGGGCACGCATGGAGTCACAGATTAACAGCGATGGTGATGCGTGGAAAAAACCACCTGGTCTCCTTACATTCACCTCCCTCAGCCACTCTTTCATCATCTCCTCAATGAGGAGATGAGGAGTTCTGCATAAAGCGCATACCTGTTTCTTTTATACACACTCCACGCCCACATTTCCCCCTTTAACGTTCTCATGGCGGTCTCAACAACGTCCGCAGTAACAACACACATAGGGCGCACCGCACTATAGGGTGCGCCGCACATTTTGAGGGGGAAAAAAAAAGACGTTTATATGCGCCTTATAGTCGTGAAAATATGGTATAATAAATATTGAGCAAATCTACAATATTTTAAACTGCTGATGAAAATAAACTGATGGACATGCTCGTATCTGTTTATCCTCATGAGTTGGCTGATGATGATGAGGAAAGTGATGAAATGTTTCTGCTTGTAGGAGCGAGAGTCTGAGTGCAGAGAGCCGCTCTGTGCAGAACAGCCCCGGCTACCGCCTCATGAAGTCCAGGAGCGAGTCGGATCTGTCCCAACCAGAGTCTGATGAGGAGAGCTACAGCCTGGTAAAACGCACGCCGCCTCCTGCCGTTGCTCCGCTCCCATTCCTCACTGTGTCCATCTAAAATCCTGGCTTCTCTCCCGCAGAGCGGACGAAGGAACGTGGACCTGGACCTGGCCTTCTCTCATAAGAAGCGAGGTTAGTGATCGCGTGAAGCTGCTGATTCCCAGCGTGCGCCTGTCAGTGTTGTCGTTCATGTGTTGCTCTGTGTCTGTCTCTGGTTCCTCTGGGCTCAGTTTATTTGCTTCTTTTGGGGCGTTTCAGCCCCAAACGCAGGAGGAGCTACAAGCAAGTAAACGATGGCATGTTTCCTCCTTCCTTCGCTCACAGCTCTGCTTCCTCCACATTCATTCTCCATAACCTGTCAGAACCACAACCATTCTGCCGGGGTGGGGGGGTCCTGCTTCCTTCTGATTTTCCTTCCTGAACGTCCTGTTCCCTCGTGGTGAAGGTTCTGAAAGAGTGGGGGAAAAAAATCACTCCAGGCTCTACAGCTTTTAATTACCCGCAGATTCAGCGAATGAAACGCTGATTTAAACATTTTTCAGCTGTTAGATCTGATAAAAAGATTCAGAATTGATTAGAAAGGTTTAATTTCTCTGTGAGGGATGAAGCAGGATGTCCAGCTGCTAGAGAAAGGAACCAATCAGTTGACTGAACGACAGCGGTTCATAAAGCAGATTTCCTCTGGCATGACTCTGCCACACCTAAGGTGTCTTCCTTCCTACTGTAAATGCACGCATACGGAGTCGTACCTCCTTCTCACCTGACTGACGAGTTTAAAGGCTATTAGAAGGAGGATGGAGAACCTGGATCAGGGCGGGAAGGAAAATATAGCTCCATTTCCACTACCCTTGAAAAACCGATCCATGCTGAGACCGGTCCGAGCTCGGGTCAGTTAACCAGGCCGAGCTCGGTTCTGACGACTGTTTACACATCACGCTATCTCGCCTCCTAGTGACGATCTGCGGTATTACTGCCAGTATTGAAGGAGGAAATCAAGCAGCTGGTGGCGGTAATGCACTAAAAGTTGTTTGCCAACTGCCATAAAACACAAGAAGAAGAAGACGAAGGAGGAGGAAATCAAGCAAATCAAAATGGCGGCGCCCGTTACATTCAGAAAGTTATGCTTATTATTGCTGTACTTCGGTGTTATTATTTAAAATGCCATTATTTAAAATGTTGCGTGGAGAAGATTTCAAATATTGTTTATGGTTGAAGAAGAAGTTGTTCTTCCTCTGTTTCTGGAGGGGCATTACCGCCAACTACTGGAATGGAGTGTGAATCGCGATGTGCAGCCAGACGGAGATGACGCGTTTTGCTCATGCGCTCTTGTTATCAGAGAACCGAGCCAGGGAAAAACCGAGCCGAGCCCACCTCTGGAACTGGTCTGCAGTTATCTTGGTTCGGTTGTGTCTAGCTCGGTTCAGTTCAGTTTGCTTTCTATTTACGCACGATAACTTATCTCAGTTACTGAGCTCGGACCGGTCTCGGCACAGTTTTTCAAGGGTAGTGTAAATGGGATATATGAAGCACTGAGGTCTGATCAGGACCAGCGGGCCACGCTCTGGTCATGCAGCTTCCATTGTGCCTGCATGTGGAATCAGGCTTCTCTCATCTGAAGAACTTTTTTAGTTTAAAACGTGTTGCTCTGCTACTCCTGTCCTGAGGGCGTCGCAGCTTCAGTCTGTCCGCCAGAACTTTATCTGGGCTCATAAACCTCCTCCTGAAAGGTTCCTCTTCTCCTATCAGGAATACTCCACAGCTCTCCCGACTCCCTGGCCGAGTCCTGGTTCAGGTCTAAGCTCAGCCACCAGCGCAGCTACGGCTCGGCCCACTCGTACGAAGAGTCGGACCTGGACCTGAACCGCTCCCTGGGGATCCACGCTCTCATCGACAACATGGTCAGCTTCATCAGCGGCGACGTGGGCCTGGCTCCGGCCTTCAAGGAACCAGAGGAGGGGATGTCCACCAGTCCACAGGCGGCCATCTTGGCCATGGAGCAGCAGCAGAGCAGGGCGGAGGTGAGTCAGTTGCTGACTTTTGAACTTTGTAGCCGAAAAGGAGAAAACGACTCATCGATATGGAAGCTTTAGATCCGTTTGATGCCTGTTGATGCAAATGTGCAGCAAAGATATTGAGTGCATCCCTGCAAAGCCTCCTGCTCTTCTGCTCTCAGCTCTTCACGTTGCCCCTGTGTTTTCTCTCCAGCTGCGGTTGGAGGCGCTCCATCAGATCGTGGTGCTGATCTCCGGCATGGAGGAGAAAGGCAGCCAGCCGGAGAGCGCCGACCGCTCCAGCGCTGCCTTCCAGTCCTCCTCCCTGCTCACCTCCGTCAGGCTGCAGTTCCTGGCGGGATGTTTCGGTCTCGGCACCGTTGGCAGCGGAGGTCTGAAGAGGGAGAGCGTGCAGCTGCATCACTACCAGGTGACGAGGAGGGGTTTGCTTCTGTGGGGCGGCAGCCGTCGGGATCTAATTGATGTGTTTTGTGTTGCAGGATGGGATTAAAGCAGCAAAGAGGAGCCTGCAGATGGAGATCCAGACGGCCGTCCATAAAATCTATCAGCAGCTGTCGGTCACACTGGAGAGAGCTCTGCAGGCCAACAAGCACCACATCGGTACCAACCTAGTTTGGATTTTAACTCTTCAGCTTTAATCGCTGTTATAAGATCAGCTCCACCAACCTCTCATTTCCTCCTCCTGCTTTCTGACTGTAGAAGCTCAGCAGCGCCTCCTGCTGGTGACTGTGTTTGCGCTCAGCGTTCGCTACCAGCCAGTGGACGTGTCCCTGGCCATCTCCAGTGGACTTCTCAACGTGCTTTCTCAGCTGTGCGGCACAGAGACCATGCTGGGCCAGCCCCTGCAGCTGCTGCACAAACCGGGCGTGTCTCAGCTCAGTACGGCCCTGAAGGTGGCCGCCACCCGCCTGCTGCAGATCCTGGCCATCAGCACCGGGTAACTCAGTCAGAACGTCTAAAACCGTTCCAATCCTCAGCAGGCGCCCAGCAGACCGACAACTGTGTCTGTCCCTACAGGACCTACGCGGACAAGCTGAGTCCCAAAGTGGTCCAATCCCTGCTGGACCTGCTGTGCAGCCAACTGAAGAACCTGCTGTCCCAGGCAGGAGGGGGGCGGCTGTCTGTGGGGAAGTACGAGGAAGACGGCAAGCAGGACGACAGCCCTGAATCCGAGAAGAAGGACTTCAGAGGTGCAAACATCTTAGGATTACGCTGCTTCAGATCCATCTTCTTCAGCCTCTAGATTTAAGGCTAATCCATCTGATTCTGATCGTTTTAAAGGAAATCTTTCTATAATGTTTTTATAAACTTAGTGAATAATTGACGTCAGTTTATAGGTTCATTTGTTGTGGGGATTCCTGTCATTCCTCCTTGTTTTTATAACGGTATTAAATTCATGTTGTATCAACTGAAATCAGGGTTCCCGCGGGTCCTTAAAAAGTCTTAAAAGGCATTGTATTCTTCAAAATAAAACTAAGGCTTTAATTGGTATTAAAATGTCTTAAATCAGTCTTTCGTAGGTCTTACTTTTTAAAACATCATAAATAGGATTATTTATATTATGATTTATTTTTGTAATCTAAATAAAACATTAAAACTGACAAATTTTTTTTTATTATAAAAAAAAAAAAATTACAGCTCGCCATTATGGGTTCCGTCCCGATATCGGAACCAATAAAAGCGTTGTTGCGGCCGGGACATTTGGGAGATGCACCATTAACTTTTTGTCTGGAAAATATGAGCAAGTGTAAATGTAACGAAAATTGTCTCCAGCCAAGAGTTTTCTCCATGGCTAAAACCAGGGAACATACATGAGGCTCAGTGGATTTTATGCAAGAAGTCATTCAAGCTCAGAACGATGGGAATTAAGGCAGTGGAGTCGCACATGCGAAGCGCGAAACACAAAGCGTCAAAATGGAGTTACTGAGAAACAGCCGGTATTTCTCAGTTTAGTTCCACCCTTGTCTCTGCAACGCCTCCACTTATCACCAAATCAAACATACTAAGAAAACCATACAAAGAAAAATAGCTGCAAAAAAGACTTAGCACTGGTTATGTTGTGGCTTTAAACTGATTTGTTTTGTTCCCTGCTAAAACAAAGTTTGTGAATTCAGTTAAATAATTGTTAAAATATATCTGTCATTTGTGTGTTTTTAGCTTTCTTCCTGTGTGGGAAGCTTTTCAAAATTTGAAACATTAGTTCAGTGGTTTATGTTAAAATAAACCTTTGGGTTAAGTTGTCGCAAGCAGGTTTTTCTTGTGTTTCTTGTGAATTTGGTCTTAAATTTTTATTTCAAGTGGCATTAACTGAATCTTGAATTTAACTTGGCTTAAGCTGTAGGAACCCTGTGAAATTCGGAAATGTATTAGGATATCAGTTTAGCCCAGTAACTTTGCTGTTGTTCCACCTCCCTATTGGCTGCAGAAAGCCAGATTTTCAGCAGCCAATAGGAAGGCAGTGTGCGCTGCAGCACAGCCGCACTGGATGGATCCTGTCATGGAAGAGTTAAAGTCTAGAACCAAATTCTCGAAGAATGGGTGCTATGCTAGCTGTGCTACACATGGTGGTATAAAAAAAATGTTAAAGTTCTCTTTACCTTTGGTACAAGGAAAATTGTCTAATTCTGCACAGCTTTGTCAGAAGTTGTCCAAATTAAAATAGACTAAAACTCAAAGTCAAAGGATCTAAAGACATTTCTAATGCTGGGTCTTCCTCTTCCGCAGCTCTAATCAGAAAGCAGCACACTGCAGAGCTCCACCTGGGGGACTTCCTGGTCTTCCTACGGAGGGTGGTCTCCTCCAAGGCCATCCAGTCCAAGATGGCTTCTCCCAAATGGACGGAGGTTCTGCTTAACATCGCGGTTCAGAAGTGCTGCTCAGGTATGCCCAGTGGGGGTGGGTGTGTAGAGCTGATGACTTTACCTTGATAGGTTCTGCTAGTCTCTTTCTCTCCCACAATCAATGAAAAACAAACTCTCTAATTGCAAATGTGTTAAATGGCTATAAAACATGACAACAAATCTACGCCATCATTGTATCTACGGATACAATAATGGCGGTTAACATCGTGCTCCCTGCTACCTTGACATTGATGATCTTTCCCTCTGGCCTGAACAGGCTTTAGTTTTACTTCAGCTTAGAGCAGATGCCGTTGATCAACATTGTAAAACTATTATTTTGAACATCTGGAAAGTTGTTTTTGTTCTTTTCTACACTGAATGTTTGACTGTTGAGCTCCAACAAACATAACTCTAATGTGAAGTTCTCTGTGAGCGTCTTCACCTCATAAACACCAAAAACATGGAGTAGTTGTTAGGCGAGCAGGAGACAGCAGCATGGTATTCCATACTGCAGGTTAGGGCTGAGCGATAAACCAGATTTTTACTGATTTTTACCGTCATGCACTTTAATAACCGGCGCAAATGTTTCCATGTCGGTAAATAAATCTTTCCTGTGTGCGAGCGTGGCTGGTATTTCCTGCCGCTTTAAAGTTGTAGGGAAGTCATATTAAAATTTTAAATCATTCTTGCTTAAACATATATAAATATATATATAAATGTAGTCTTTATCAGACCATATTGTCCCAAAATTTAGAGCATTTCTATTTAAAAAAAAAAAAATCCGGTCTTAAAATCTGTGGGGGTTTTTTCGTTATTATATGCAGGCCATTTAGTTAAACATCAGCTTTTACACCTAAATGCGGCCAATCATATATCAACGGTCATCCGTCATCTTGATTCATAGGTCGCTAATATACGCAACGGTTGAAATGATAAATCAGAATAATTTCCTTTTCCATTGCGTTCCGTCCCAGTGTTCACGGGGATGGACGTCTGTGTCTTCGGCAGGCGTAGAGCTAACAGAACTGGCAGCGTTGTGAGGCAAGGGCTCAAACATGTACGGCTGGAAGCCTTCTACACCAAACCAAGCTTCTGGCGTCCTCTTTCACAACATCTTCATCCCCGCTTTCCTCCTCTAAATAAAAAATGGATGACGGAGGAGACTCATCCACGACCTCCGACACTAAACTCTCCTCCTCTTGCATGTTTCCTCTGTCCATAGCGTTCCTTGACAGTGTCGTTTCTAAGTCACCAATTTAGTGCTACTTGGTCCCAATGGAATTTCCCATTGGGAACCTGATAGCACTAAGTTACTAACTGGTTAGCAAAATGCTTCAAAGAAAATGGCCACAATCAAACATTCTTGCCAACCTCCCGCCACAACAATCATTCCCCTTGATAAACGACCAATCACATTCACTTTATTCACTCGTGTAAAGTCGGGCACCACATGGAAGAATTCGGAAATGCAACGGTTGGAACAGCCGCTTCCCTACGACTTTAAGACACGGGAGCATGTGGGGAATGATGTCACTCCACCGATTCTGTCAGAAGCGTAAAAAACAGACAATGTTTGAGATTGAAAAAGCGGAAACGAAGCTGTAAACGAAATGACATCACAGGGCTCAATGTTAACCATCGCCCGATCTCCCGGGGCAAGTAGTTTTTATTGTTGGGAGAGTACAAATTTCATTGCACTTGTCCGCCTGGCAAGTGAAATGATTGCAAAAAAAATATCTCTGTTCCCATGCATAGAGATGTCTGTGGCATGCACTCACTTAACATAGGCCTACGTAATCCTACAATAACATGATATTTACAGTTGATTTATTAAAAAATGCTCTTCAGTAAAAGTCAACAGCAATTACTCCATAACAAATGATAATTTTATTCAAAATGTATTTAATAAAAATACAAAATTAACGTGAAATACGGACATTTGGTCACCCTAATCTATACTATAATACACGCTAAATTAAAAATTATCAGTCAGGGATTAGGAAAATAATAATAACTGTATGCGCACAGTGTAAATATTTCTATCATATGGCAGTCTTCTGTACAGTGGTCATACATTAAAAAATGTTCATTAAATTTGTTTCTCTTAGACATTGGAGTGGTGCATTTAAATGTTATAGAGCTAAACATGTTAAATTGTTGAGTAGTAGTAGTGTAAGTTTTTAACCTGTCAAGTTTTTTTTTTTTTTTTAACATTACAATTTATAATTTTCCAAGCACACGACAGTTTAAAGCAAAGTTTAGTTTGAAAAGAATGTGCAGGAAGGATTGAAAAGCATGTTAACACGGTAATGTAGGCTTGAGTTCATTATCTGACGCATGCAGATACACACCAGGAACCTGTACTGGGCAAGTAAAAATTGTTTCTGGGCAATTGAAATGTGAAAGTCACCTGCCCAAAGGGCACTGCATCAGTTAATCCTTTGTGGCCAAGCGAGGGCAGACATGAAAACAGCAGCGCATTGTCAGTTGAGCGTTCAAAAGTATCGAGTACCAGTCGCACCTAAACAGTCATTCATCTAAAGTGCAGAATAGAGGAAAATGCACTTTCTGAACACTGTGATTGAATAATTCTGTGCACTTTTCAGTTTCAGACTTTTTTTGTAACAGTTGCAGCTGCTGAGAATTATTTTTGTTTCTTAACCGGTTTGGCTAGTGTCATTGTTATGTGTCAAAGCATAGCCAAATAAGGAAAACTTAATTTTAATTTTGTAAGTTTTTTATCAAGCTTGCTAAATACTGTGCACAGCAAACGACCTCAAAATGTCGTTCTTATTGTTTATTGTATTTATTTATTTATTGTATTTTAATTATTAATCAAAATATTTCTGTTGAAATTTTATCCTTGTGGTATCGAAAATGGTATCGAGTATCGAATATTTTCCTTAGTATCGGTATCGAGTTGAAAAGTTTAGTATCGTGACAACCCTAAAAGTAACACAACCAACATCCAAAACCTACAGCACAGCCACGCCAAGGAGTTCAAAGATGTGCAAACGGCTCCATTACCTTTGAGCAAACCGTTTTCCTCCTGTTCAATGTTCAATTCCTGAATGTTTAAACCTGAATGGGTACCAGAGTTTAATATTTGATTAAAAGGAATATATAATGTGATTTATTGAATGAATAAATCAGTTGCATTTCCTGCACATGCCTTTATTTCTGATAGAGGAGCATTTATCATTAACAAGGTTAAACTTCCCAATTTTTTGTGATATTGATTTAAGGTCATATCACCCAGCCCTGATACAGGGTCACTAAAGTATGCATTCAGAGGAGTAACCTCTAGCATCAGGGTCCCCCATGGTAGATAATGCCCCCTTTGTGGGCGCGGATCAGACAATGACATTTACAGCTGCTTGGTGTTCCAGGGGTCCCTCTGGTGGGGAACATGAGAACTCGGCTCCTGGCTCTGCATGTCCTGGAGGCCGTCCTGCCGGCCTGCGACGTCAACATGGAGGAAGACCAGCTGTCCCAGGTGGGTCTGGCTTTGTCCTAAACGTGTCCTCAGAGAGGAGCCTGGAGGCTGATGCTTGGTTTGTACTTCAGGTGGTGGAGCGGCTCTTCTCTCTGCTCTCAGACTGCATGTGGGAAGCTCCGGTAGCTCAGGCCAAACATACCATCCAGATCAAAGAAAAGGTCCAGGAGCTGAAGCTCCAGGTGAGGATGGACCAAATCCAGCGTCTTTTCTGCAGTTCAGCGTCGATGGCAAAAGCTGATGGTTAGTCTGATCCACAGGGGGATGCAGAAGAGGAAGATGAGAACCTTCCTGTTCAGGAAGTTTCCTTTGACCCGGAGAAGGCTCAGTGCTGCGTGGTGGAGAACGGCCAGGGTCTGACCCACGGCAGCGGAGGGAAAGGTTACGGCCTGGCCTCCACCGGGATCTCCTCAGGATGCTACCAGTGGAAGGTGAGCCAGGAGCTGAAGAACCCCCCCCCCCCCCCCCCGAACTCTGTGCCCAGCTGATCCTCTGTTTGTTTTTCCTGTAGTTCTACATCGTGAAGGAGAACCGAGGAAACGAGGGAACATGTGTGGGAGTGTCCAGGTGGCCCGTCCATGACTTCAACCACCGCACCACGTCCGACATGTGGCTGTACCGGGCGTACAGCGGAAACCTGTATCACAACGGGGAGCAGCCGCTGACGCTGAGCAGCTTCACGCAGGGAGACTTCATCACCTGCGTCCTGGACATGGAGGCCAGGACCATCTCCTTTGGCAAGAATGGGGAGGTGAGAGATGATTAAAGGACAGCTCACCCCAAATTCTGCTTTGTTTGGGAATAAACTCTACAGAAGGATGGTGCTAGAAACATGTCAAAGGTTCCAGGTGCTGCGTTTCTTTCTCTAACGCTCATTTTGAAGAATCGCATCAGAAGTGCCTGATGGAAACGGCAAAATTTGGAAGAAATCTTTTCCCCAAATTCGCAAAAATAAATTTATTTATTTTTTTAATATATTTTGTGATTAGTGTTGTTACGTAAAACACAAGATGGATTTAATCTGCTCTGACATTGCAAACTTTTACCTCACATGACTGATCAGCTGTCGGCGTCTTCTCAGGTGTTCCTTTTATTCACATAAACATGTCTGGAAGCCGCATCGACATTCCTACCTGACACGTTACATTAAAACTTTGCTCCATCACTGATCTGCGGTCAGTGACAGATTGACCTCTACTTCCTGTCTGTTACAGCTAGGGGTGTAAATCACATCCATTATGGCGATTCGATTCAGTAGCTACCGTATTTTCACGACTATAAGGCGCACTTAAACGTCTTTTTTTTCCCTCAAAATGTGCGGTGCGCCCTATGGTGCGGTGCGCCCTATGTGTGTTGTAACTGCGACTTTTGAGACCACCTCATTGAGGAGATGATGAAAGAGTGGCTGAATGTAAGGAGACCAGGTGTTTTTTTTCCACCCCTCACCATCGCTGTTAATATGTAACTCCATGCGTGCCCGTCTCACAGCTGATGTGAAAAACATGGGGAAACAAATTAACGCTGCTCGACATCGGTGTGAACCGGACCCAGCAGGTGCAGCAGAAGCAGCGAGTTTACATGCAAAGTCAATGGTTGACGCGCATATAGGTGCAGTAAAAGGTCCTGCAGCGCATTTTGGTGCAGCACGTCGGGAGCGTTTAAGCATCTGAAGCACCGCCAACGCGCTGCTGCTGCTCGAGATGGAAAAATTGAAGTTTTGTTGCTGGACGCGCCGCATCAACCAATCAGAGAAGCTGATCTGGGAGCTGACAGCGAGACACAGCGCTCTGATGATATTAACGCAAATGAAAAGGCTGGATGAATGAGGAGATGATGAAAGGCAGGTGTATGTGAGGAGACCAGGTGCTTTTTTCCACGCATCACCATCGCTGCGTGCCCATTTCACAGCCGATGTGAAAAAAAGATGAATCAAATGAACGCTGTGCTCGCCGTTATCCCGGGGGTCTGACAAAGGAACTTCCACCGCTCGACATCGGTGTGACGCGCACGTTCATAGTAAGGCTGCGAGCGGCGTGGGAGCGATGGATGACAGACGGAGACCACAGTTTCATGATAAATGGAAGGCAGCGCCGTGCAAGTTACGCCACCGTTTGCGGATGGATTGTAGATGGACTGTGTCTGCTGGCTCTGTTGTTCAAGCTTTCGCAAAAGCCGGCATCATTTCTGAGGAGCCGCGCTGCACGGAAAGTGACTCTGACAGCGCAGAAGGGGAAACTGGCATGTCTGATTTAGCGCAGCTGTTTTATTCAGAGGAATGCTGAGGATAACAGAGGATGATGACTTTGATGGGTTTAAGGCGAATGAAAAAGGCTGGATGGACGAGGGGATGATGAAAGCTTGGCTGAGGGAGGTGTATGTAAGGAGACCAGGTGGTTTTTTCCACGCATCTCCATCTCTGTTAATTTGTGATTCCATGCGTGCCCATCTCACAGCCGATGTGAAAAAAAGGTCAAAGAAATGAACGCTGTGCTTGCTGTTATTCCGGGAGGTCTGACAAAGGAGCTTCAACCGCTCGACATCGGTGTGAACCGCCCGTTCAAAGTAAGGCTGCGAGCGACGTGGGAGCGATGGATGACCGACAGAGACCACAGTTTCAGGAAAAGTGGAAGGCAGCGGCGGGCAAGTTACGCCACCGTTTGCGGATGGATTGTAGATGCTTGGACTAACGTGTCTGCTGGCTCTGTTGTTCAAGCTTTTGCAAAAGCCGGCATCATTTCCAAGGAGCCGCCCGGCACGGAAAGTGACTCTGACAGCGAAGAAGAAGGGGAAACCGGCATGTCGGATTTAGCGCAGCTGTTTAATTCCGAAACAGAGGATGAGGACTTTGATGGGTTTGATTAATACTCTGTAATAAATACTTGAATAAAGCACAATCATACTCAGTTTTGCTCCCGCTCTATTTTTCTACCTAAAAAACTTAATTCAACAGCCGCCTCGGCCGCAGCGCATCCGGGCTCACATCAGCAGGTGTTTTTTCCATCTAAATAATCTAAATCTTTTTAAGTGAGAAAGCCCACCGGAAAATTTAATCATTGCAGTCAGTTCATCCAGATTATTATCCTGCCTATGTTTTAAGTTAATTTATGCGTCAATAAACGAAGAAGAAGGGGGAACTGGCATGTCGGATTTAGCGCAGCTGTTTAATTCAGAAACAGAGGATGAGGACTTTGAGGGGTTTGATTAATACTTTGTAATAAATACATGAATAAAACACAATCATACTCAGTTTTGCTCCAGCTCTATTTTTCTACCTAAAAAACTTAATTCAACAGCAGGCTCTGGTCCGCGGCGCATCCGGACTCACCTCAGCAGGTGTTTTTTCATCTAAATAATTTAAATCTTTTTAAGTGAGAAAGTCCACCTGAAAATTTAATCATTGCAGTCAGTTCATCCAGATTATTATCCTGCCTATTTTTTAAGTTAATTTATACGTCAATAAACTGTATCAGAGGAGTAATCACAGCCCTGTGTCATCAGCGATGTGTCTCTCACGGCAGGTTCCCAGGTTTTAATAATACTTTGTAATAAATACACCTTGCAGCTTTATTTGCTGTGATCAGTGGGAATAAAGTAGTTTTAATATGTTTTTAAGTGAGAAAATCCACCTGAGAGGACATGTACCTGTATATAAAAAACGCGCCCTATAGTCCGGTGCGCCTTATGTGTGTGTTAAATACAGAAATGGCACACATAACTGAGAGTGCGCCTTTTAGTCCGGTGCGCCTTATGGTCGTGAAAATACGGTACGTTTACATGGACACAACTAATCGGATTTAAGGCCTGATCAGATCAAAAATGTTTCATGTAAACATGTCAGACTGAAGATTCTAATCCGATTCGGTCCGATCGGATCTAAATTTAATTCCGAAAGAGAGAGGTGGTTTTTGCCGATCGCCATTCCGATTGGCGTCCATGTAAACACCCATTCGGATCTTAAGAGTAAAATAATCTTCACTGCGCATGTGTGCGACGTCAGCGTGACTTTTTTCCACCTTGTCAACAACAGGAAACCACCGGTCGCTCTCGCTCTTGTTGTGAACAACATGGCGGGAGGAGTCTAGGAACGCCGACTTATACACTCAAGTTCATTTAAAGCTGCAGGAAGCAGGAATTTATCCTCCTCCTCTTCCTCTTTTCTCTCTCCACAGCCCACTCGCTCTCCCACGCCGGTTCAATCGCTCATTCTCTACATTTTCTCTCGGACATTTCGCTGCCAAGCGCTTTTTTCCTCCTCTCTCCTTTTTTCTTTCCGCTCGCTCCGAGCGCATCGTTTGTCAGGCCTCCCAAAAACCAGACGCAGACAGAACTGCCAAGTTTGGCAGGAAGTTCTGCGCATGCTTAAAAGATTTAATCTGATCCAACGCTTGGTACATGTATACACACGTCATGATCGGATCATTTCATTTAGTGTCCATGTAAACGGAGATTTTGAATTTCCGATCAACCAAGGTTTGGATCGGATCGGGGAAATTTTGCGCATGTAAACGTAGCTAGTATCGATATCCTGACCCAACGATTCGATTATTTTCAATACTCAAGAATAAACCACAATACAATACGATTCGATTAATTGGTTCATTTTTTTTTTTAATACACCTTACAGACTAGACAATGTTTCAAATTTGAAATAAATCAATGAAAGCTGTAATATCTTTATGCATTTTTTTGAGAAACAACAGCAAATAACAGAAGTAGAAAAGTTGCATCAAAAAATACTGCACAAAATCAGTGCAATGAGAGCAATGCAATACCTCGGGCTCCAGACGTCCCGCTCCCTCCACAGACGCTCCTCTGCTCCTCTCCCAAATTGTAGCTTACCACAGACAGTGCCGCAGACAGGAGGCCGGCTTGTTTTGTTTTTATGACCGAAATTGCGGAAAACAACTCATGAAGTTTGACCCGCTAGAAGAGCGAGGTGCGCGAGAACGCTGGGACCCTTTTCCCACCTGGATCTCTGCTCTTTTTGGCCGTCATGTCCCTCCGTCGTCAGACTAAACTCGCCCCCACTTCCTCGCCACCTCGGCCGTATCTAGACCCACAGTGTGTAGTACAGACCACGCTTCAATATTGAGCATAAATCAAAAATGTCTGTGTGAAGCTCACTGCAACACACTGCTGTAAGAGTATAACCAGGAAGCGAGGTAGGAGGGCAAAATAGGTTTAGCGCCACCGCAGCACGGGAGGAGAATTACGCCCAGGAACAAATGGATAAAAATAGACCGGAAGGAAAAAAAAAAAAACATGAATCGATTCTCTTGCGGACGTGTCGATGCATCGGATCGTCGGCTGTTGGATCGATGCATCGATACAAAACGATTTTTATTTACACGCCTAGTTACAGGCATGCGTGATGACGTAATATGGACAACGACGTAGGACGACGTTAAGCTTTGCGGTTCTTGGTTAATGTGCTCTAAACCAAATAGAAAAACCTATAAATTGGCGTTTACTTTTTTATTTACCTTAAAATACACATTACAATTCGATGGAAACTCAATTGACAATTTACTCCCATTTGATGCCGACCTCTTTTGTTTGTAAATAATAACATCAATCCAAAATTCTGCATAATTGCACCTTATATATTAATGCGCTGAACTTCCATATCAATGCATTTTATTTTATTTTTTTGCAGCATGCTTTTCGTCCCACACTGCTTACATTTGATCACTGCTGCTTTGTATACACTCTGTGTGCTCTGTGCAAACAAAATGACAATAAAGGTTGTCGAAGTCTAAAACACATCAAGCGCCCTCCTCAGGGTTAGGGGTGTACTGCATCAGATTTTGAACCAGTATTTTCCTTTTATGGCAACGCAATCTAGAAAAACTGACATTATATTGGGGCGATGCAAGCCTCTGGAAAGGTGTTTATCGTGTCCTTTTAACTTTAGACATGACTCTAATTTCAAAGGAACTTCTTTGCATCCCTTTTCCTTCCAGTTAACTTTCTGCTCCTCTTCATGCCGGCCTGTCACAAACCATCCCAGTAAAACATTAGATAAAATCTGAAAAGGTTCTTCATTCAGTGGTGAAAGCGAGCTGCTGTCAGCCTGATTCACTCCTCTCTCGCGCTCCCTGCTGGCAAACATGGATGAGAATTCTAAGTTGTTTTTTTTCACAGGAGCCCAAACTGGCCTTTGAAGATGTGGACGCAACAGAGCTTTATCCCTGCGTGATGTTCTACAGCAGCAACCCAGGAGAGAAGGTAGGAGATGTCGATCAGAGGAGAGACGTTGAGCTGGACTCACAGGAGGGTTTTCCTTCAGTCTCCTGAGCTCTGTCTCTCTGTTCTGTCTTCAGGTGAAGATCTGTGACATGCAGATGAGGGGAACGCCACGCGACCTCCTCCCCGGCGATCCCGTCTGCAGCCCCATGGCCACCGTTCTGGTGGAGGCCACGACCCAGCTGATCCGCATTCTGCACCGCACCGACCACTGGACCCATCGCATCAACAAGATCATGATCGAGCGGCTGCACAAGATCAAGCCCTGCTTCAGGGATGCGGCCAGCGCCTCGGGGGGCAGCGGGGGCCAGAGGCTGAAGAAGAGTCGCTCGGTTCAGAGCCGGGAGGAGCACGACACCCAGAGGGAGAGCCAGGAGACACCCACTAAAACAGAGGAGGACAGGGGGAGGCACGGCCGGCAGCACGGGCTGGGGGAACTGTCTGAGCAGCACCTGAGGAGCCTGTGCACAGACGTGTGGCCGGTGCTGGCCGTGATCGGCGGGGCGGACGCCGGGCTCCGGGTGGGAGGCAGGTGTGTGCACAGACAAACCGGGAGACATGCCACCCTGCTGGGAGTGGTGAAGGAGGGCAGCAGCTCGGCGAAGGTCCAGTGGGACGAGGCTGAGATCACCATCAGGTACTGATCCATGGTTGGAAATACTAACATCTGTCATCAAAGCGTCATTCGTCTTCATTCTTTAGCTCTTTATAATAACCAGGGTGACCAGATGCTTTCTGGTCTCCTTCCTTTTCTTTTCTGGAATCTTTCTTCTCTTCCTCAAACATTCCTCATTATTTTCCTCAGCAGTTATTCTGGGTTCCTAACATCTGGCTTTTCCACATCTGGTGAAATGGGAAAAAAATTACATATCTATCTAAATATCATAATTGCAACTTTTATACCACATCTCAATGACTTAACAGGTCCTTCCTTCCTTCCTTCCTTCCTTCCTTCCTTCCTTCCTTCCTTCCCTATTGTCTCTTCCTTCCTTCCTTCCTTCCTTCCTTCCTTCCTTCCTTCCTTCCTTCCTTCCTTCCTTCCTTCCTTCCTTCCTTCCTTCCTTCCTTCCTTCCTTCCTTCCTTCCTTCCTTCCTTCCCTATTGTCTCCTCCTTCCTTCCTTCCCTATTGTCTCTTCCTTCCTTCCTTCCTTCCTTCCTTCCTTCCTTCCTTCCTTCCTTCCTTCCTTCCTTCCTTCCTTCCTTCCTTCCTTCCTTCCTTCCTTCCTTCCTTCCCTATGGTCTCCTCCTTCCTTCCTTCTTTCCTTTCCTATTGTCTCCTCCTTCCTTGCATACTCCCTCTATCCATCCTTCACTTCCATCCATCCTTCCCTCCAACCTTCTGTGCTGTAGGTGTTTCAGGTATTCCGGTTGAACTCTGACCTCTGTAGATGGACTTGTAGTGAATTTTTTTTACCTTCTGTATCGTTACTGAATTGGACCTTATTCTGACCCGTCTTGGAGCCCTCTTTCCTTTGGATCCAGGTCGGAGGAGCGCCGCTCATCGTCCCTCCTGCCTCCCCTCCTCTGTGGTGCATGCTGTGCTCCATCTCTCCTGCCCTCTCCCTCACTCTCTGTTTCCCTCTCCTTGTCTCCTTTTGTTTTCCACTTCCTTCCATTAAAGCTTCCCAACTTTTTGGTCGCCTAGTGACACTCCGCTCTACAACTTGGAGCCCTGTGAGCCGCTGCCATTTGACGTCGGACGACTGCGGGGCCTCACCGCGTCGCTGTTGTTAGACCTCACCTACCTGACCAGCATCCACGAGGAGACCGCCACCAAACTCGGCACAAGGCGCCACGAGAAGAAGCACCGCAACGCTGCCTCTGTGGGGCACGAGCCGATCGGCACAGAGGACAAGCCGGATGGCGAGGGCCATGGCCGCATGGATCAGAGGGCGAGTAATGGAGCCGCTGTCGCGGTCTCCTCTGAGCTGAGGGTGTCTCACAGCCTGGAGGAGGTCAAAGCTCACCTGGCGCCAAACTCCAAGTCTGAGAGCGAAATCTCGTCTGTGGCTGGGGGCGGGAACGAAACCCTCTTCAGTTCAACTCCTAATGCTGAGGGGGGCAGGAAGAAAGGCCACGAGCACGGCTCCAGAAGCCACGAGCCGGCCGCCATTAGCACGCAGTCCGAGATCCACGCCGTGCAGCTGTCCTACCTCTACCTGGGAGCCATGAAGACCCTGAGTGCTCTGCTGAGCTGCAGCAAGTATGCAGAGCTGCTCCTCATCCCCAAGGTGAGGGAGGGGAGGATAGGGGGGGGCGAGCATGTCTGCTATCATCTAAACACACAGATCAATATCTATCAATGTTCATCCGTTGCTCCTCTTCTGGTTCCCTCAAACATCCAGGTGTTACCAGAATCAGCTCCCAGCGGCCATAACGCCGATCTGAACGCCGGCGCCCCCAGCAGCGCCGCGCCCACCTCGCCCGTCTGCCAGGAGGAGGTGGATATGCGGGCCGCCCTGCAGTTTCTGATGCGCCACATGGTGAAGCGCGCTGTGATGCGCTCCCCCATCAAGCGGGCCCTGGGCCTGGCGGATCTGGAGAGAGCGCAGGCCATGATCTACAAACTGGTGGTGAACGGGCTGCTGGAAGAGCCCAGCGGGGGAAAGACCAAGCTGGGTGAGTTTAGCAAATCGATTATTCTGCTGATTCATCTTTTCAGTTAATAATCAGGTAGCCAAAGGTTCCTTAAAGAAGACTTTTTACGAAATAAAACCAGGTGACACCAAAACTTTTCCCCTTGAGGAGTTCTGGATTATACAGCAGACTGACAGACGGATGGATACGTTTCATCTTAAATGCAAAACCTTTTTATATATTTTTTTTTTATATTTAGGCGTCGCTCTGTCAGCTAAAGGTGTGTTTTACACTCTATCATCCAGCTAACGAGGACTAAATTAGTTTATTATTATTTCAATAATCAACTAATCCGATTAATGTAAATCCCCAGAATGGGGAAATTAACTCTCTGCATTTAACCCATCCCGTTGGGGAGCAGTGGGCTGCCATTGTGCGGCACCCGTAGAGCAGTGTGGGGTTAAGGGTCTTGCGCACCTCACAGGTGGACTCGGCTTCTCTGGGCTCAGAGGCTTCTGGAAAATCCTCGGTGTCTCCAGACGAACCTAAAGCTGAACTAAATAATGAGACTGAGACTGAGAAGATGATTTGATCCATCTTCTTGGATAAGCCCCGCCCATTTTTAACACTAGAGGCCGTCATTTTGACAGTTCTGAGATTTTAAGGGGAAAGAACTTTATTTACATTAATCATATGTTGGTCATGTTAACTGACTTTGCCTTCTATGTTTCCTTCTTTCCTCACACATTTTTTTCTTATAAAATAAAAACGTAAAAAAAAAATGGTTAATTTTACCTCGATCAACCACAGCTGTCATTTTGACAGCCCTATTAGTTGTATTGTAAATATTTCCTGCGGATGATTGACGGTTGGTACCGTTGCCTGGCAACCAACATTCTACCTAAAACCCTTTGGCTAATAGGGCTTGGGATCCGTGTTGCATTGTGGGACGTGGCGGCCATGTTGACGGCTACGCGAACGTAAACATAGCTCTGATACGTTGTTGTTGAACAAAGAGACGTAAAAGTAGAGAGAAAAAAGATGTTAAAATCCCGAAAAGGATCTGGAATTTACCGGGACACGTTAAATAGAGAAGCCATAGACCGGTATGTTGACAAAATCAGCATTATTAATAATTTGGATCCATTTGAAGTTCCAAACAATGAGTGGAGCACCGATGAGTGAGCGCCTACACTTCAAAACAGTTCCAAAGCTACAAGTCCTCATGTGCAGTTTATGAATGGATGGGTTCAGGAGCTGCAGGTCATAAAGCCAGCAAACAGTAGGAACACAGTAATCCGTACAAAGGTAAGCTGTGCTCAGACGGGCTCTGCAACCTGCTAGTTTAGTAACTGCTAACTGCTAGTGCTAACAACCACTCACGCATGTAATGTACTTTTAACTAGCTGCTATGTGTTTCAAAGGTGTAGTTAGTAACGTTAACTGCCAACCCTACCTAAACCCTCCGGGTTTCTCAGGTATTTAAGCCTTTTCCTGCTGCCGTTTTTATTTTTTTCCCGTAAAAGATCCCAACCTTGAAGGAAGGAAACACTGTAGGCTATAAAATAAAACCGTGCATCTTTAACTTACCAGAATGAAAATGCAGGGAACACACTCTCATTGACATCGGGATACTGTGGAAAGTTATGTTCGGTCGTCTTACAGCCGCGATCCAAGCTAGCCGACGACTCTTTATCTCTGACACTTGGTCTCCATGGTTGCGCCTCCAGGCAGGAAAGCGGTGGAAAATTAACCCATTTTCTATGTTTTTCCCATGGCGATCATGTGTTGCGCTGTTACAGCCCACAATACAGCAACGCTTTACCATGGTTGAAACCAAGTTAAGGTGAAATTAATCAAATTAAAACACGGCTGAGAGGGAGTACAGTACACGGTAGTCGTAGGCAGTAGTCTGAGCAGCGGTAAAAGAGGCCATCAAGATGGCGGCCACGCAAAGTAATTATGTCATGACGCCCACGCCCTATACGGAAAAATGGCTTTCACAGGAAATCGAACCACGATAAAAGGCTTTAGAAATGCTACAAAATATTGATGATGGTGATTCAGGCGGAGATAGAGGGACCGATGAGGATGACTCGGTAGGAAGCGGCTCAGATTCTAACAGCGAGTCCGAGGACGATCACCCACCCACAGGAAAACTCAGATGTATCAGTTACCCATCAGATAGTAGCGAAACTTTTGTTCAAGGTTTGGATAGCACTGCCCACACCTCAGCTGGTACACTCATCTCCTGTAAATAAAATTGTAAATTTAAACCTGTTTGGTAGAACACTGATTTATTTTTAATACAAATTTAGAATAAGTTTAGAATTTATAATAATAGCATAGAATACAGCCTTTAAAAAGTATATATTAGACCTATTTTAAGGTTTACATATCCACAATGGGTTAATGTTGCGTACTAGAAGCATTTCAGTTGATGACATCATCACTACTCATGCGCTCCCTTGGGAAAAATGTCACCAGGGAAACTGACGGCCAGTGGGAGTTTTAGTAGCGTCAGAATTCTGGGAGTCCTAGCGTTAACGTGTTTGACATGACCGCTGCTCTTTATTCTCTCAGGAGTGAGGAGTGACCCTGAGGGGGAGGTCCCTGAGGGGGAGCAGCTGGCTCAGACCCCCATCACCACCAGCCCCTCAGCCTCCAGCACCACCTCCTTCATGAGCTCCTCCCTGGAGGACACCACCACGGCCACCACGCCCGTCACCGACACGGAGACCGTCCCTGCCTCCGAGTCTCCTGGCGTCATGCCGCTCAGCCTCCTCAGGTGGGAACATCTCCTCCTGGATGAGGAGAAGCTGCTCTGTGTGTCGTCTGACCTTCGCTCTCTGCTGTGCTTCCTACAGGCAAATGTTCTCCAGCTACCCCACCACCACCCTGGTCCCGACCCGGCGAGCCCAGACTCCGCCCGTGTCTTCTCTGCCGACGTCTCCGTCAGACGAGGTGGGCCGCAGGCAGAGCCTCACCTCTCCAGACTCCCAGCCCAGCAGGCCTCAGAACCGAGCCGGAACATGTGAGTTCAGCCAGAGATACGCTCGCCTGTAGAAGTGAGGCCACAGAGAACGGTGAGTGACGGCCATGTTGTTTCCCTGCAGCTCTGTCAGACCCCAGCAGCAGGCTGTCCACCTCCCCCCCACCACCGGCCATCGCCGTGCCTCTGCTGGAGATGGGCTTCACCCTGCGTCAGATCTCTAAAGCTCTGGAAGCCACAGGTCAGTGGGTCCAACCCTCCAGATGTTGTGACTGGAAACAGCTGGAGATCTGAGCTGCTTTAGTTAAACTCTGCAGCATTTATTTTCTTTTCTCCAGTATGGTTATTATTACCCATTAGTTTTATAAGTGATTGACTTTCTTTGGAGAATCCTTTTTGCATCAAATGCTCCAAATAAGAAAAAAAATTTTCAGGAAACCAAATTTATTCTAAACCTCTAAAGTTTGATTTAAGCCTGACGCGTCTGCGAGGTGCTACTGGCGAAGATTCAGGAATATAAACATCTGCTCACATCCCGTGACTTAGCTAAATAATATATCAAATAATGGAGTATGTGGGATTTCAGGGTTAGCATGACATGTTGGTCGTGTTGCTGTTAGCATAAACAAAACGTGTTGCACAATGCTTGCACACTGTTGCACTTTTATCCACAGCTTTCTTTCCGCCGTCATCGTAGGTCACTCTAAATGCAAAGTGGTCCCATACAGCAGACCTATAAAGTGCTGCTGGTGCGTCTTCCAACTCCTGTTCTTTCCCACTCGCCATTCCGACACAATTCTCCACAACAACTGATTTTTTTTCTGCTACACCCGGCTACGCTGCTTCGCTTCTTCTTCTTCTTGTTTACTACTGGTGGTTGGCTTTGGTCGCAGCACCGCCACCTTCTGCTCTGGAGTGTAATCGCTTCGCCTATGAGAAAAAGGAGCAGCGGATGAACCGAACGCAACACACGCGAACCGAACAGAGACAGTCGAACCGAACGGTTCTGACGGTTTTCATACACCGTTCCATCCCTAAAAAAGACAAATACAAAGTGAATGCAGTAGAACTTTCTAATGCCTACCTGGAACGGGTGACAATAGCTAAATAAAATTTTGGCTCTCAAAATGGTATCGGTGCCCTAATTGTTGGTACTCGCCGATACCGATACCACCATTTTAGTGCTGGATCGGGGCTCCGCTCAATACTGGTGTCGGTACAACACTAATATTTAGCCTGCATTCCCTGGAAATAGTTTTCCGTATTACTCTTACTTTTTTGACAAACTCTTATTTCAAAGCAAAGATGCAGGCAACACGTCCGCATTGATAATGAAAGTAAATAATTTTTGTTCTCAGACACACCCGCCGCTTTATTTGCCTGGCGCCGCGCTGAAGCATGTGTTGCAGGCTATGACCTCCGATCTCTATGGCTATGTTTACATTTATTTATTATACAAATGTTTACACAATCTAAAACTTAATGACCGTTTGTTCGACCTCCTGCAGACAACATTAAAATAAACAAAAATAAATCAATTTTCATTAATTTATGAAAGGCATTGAAGTGCATACTTGCTGAACTTTGAAGCATCACTCTAACTTTTAGCCACTAGGGCCGCTAATGAGAACTGCCAGCGCTGCAGTGTCACTGAATGAACCACTGTTCTGGTTCTGGTAGCAGACCACCTTGGACCTGCACACTGAGAAGTCATGGAGCTCCTGGTGCAGACAGTCCACCGTCCCCCGTGTCCATCCTCCATCAGAGGATGAAGGCAGAAAAACCCGAGCAGACGGAGGGATGGTTTCTGTGTTTCTGTGAAGCTGACAGCTCTGTCCTGCGGTGGCAGGTGCTCGAGGAGAAGCGGACGCCCAGAATATCACGGTGCTCGCCATGTGGATGATCGAACATCCTGGCACAGACGACGAGCGGGACGAGCCCCACGCCAGAAACAGCACGCTTGGAGGCGACGGCTCCGACTCCTCCTGTCCAGGAGCAACGGCGTCCGCTGGAGGAAAATCCTTGGAGAGGAACTCGTACCTGTGTTCTCCTGCAGACGTTGCCGGCGCTGATGCGTCAGAGATGGAGGAGGGCTTCAGTGAGAGGTACGTCTGGGGCGCTCCATTTTTTCTCCAGACTCTTGATGAAGACTAAACTGTCTCAGTTTGCTAACAGAATGATTCTGGAGGTTATGTTTAAATGATGTCCTTGTGGGTTTTGTAGTCCTGAAGGTCTGGAGCAGGACAGCGCATCGGCATCCAGTGGCGCCCCCATCGGTAGACGCTCTGCAGCTGGACGCAAGCACCGCTTTGACCTGGCTGCACGCACTCTGCTGGCACGCGCTGGTGAGAACATCAAACAAACCCTGGGTAGACTTTTACTACCCTTCCAGCTGCTCACACAAAACTTTCTGTCCCCCTCAGCCGGGCTGTACCGCTCGGTTCAGGCCCACCACAGCCAGTCCCGTCGGGACGTCTCTGCTCTGCAGCAGCAGCAGCAGGATCCCGGTGCCTTATATGACTTCAACCTGGACGAGGAGCTGGAGATGGACCTGGACGAGGAGACCATGGAGGCCATGTTTGGCCAGGACCTAGCCAGCGACACGGACATTCTGGGAATGTGGATCCCGGAGGTACTGGACTGGCCAACATGGGTGTGTGTGACTTTCTGCTCCAGCCAATGAGCTGCCATCACCTCGCTGCCTTACACAAGCACGCTGAAACGACAGAACCGTCCAACCAGTTCCTCAGTGTTGATCGGCTGCTGCTTGGCGTCCATCTTTCCACTCTGCATGTCTCCGCCTCCCAGTAGCCGTGTGTGCCTAACGTGCGCGTTTCCTCCCCGCAGCACGTCTGTGAGGCCGACGACCGCGACGAGGTGGTGGTGTGCGAGCTGTGCGAGGCCAACGTGGCCAACTTCAACCAGCACATGAAGAAGAGCCATCCCGGCTGCGGGCGCAGCGCCAACCGGCAGGGTTACCGTAGCAACGGCTCGTACGTAGACGGCTGGTTCGGAGGAGAGTGCGGCAGCGGGAACCCGTACTACCTGCTGTGTGGGAGCTGCAGGGAGAAATACCTGGCCATCAAGAGCAAGGCCAGAGTCCCCGCCGTGGAGAGGTGAGCCTCCCTGACCCACCTGCTTCCTCTGGTGCGACCTGTCTGGATCTACCACCTTTACTGCCAGATTGTTTATGCTGAGCTTGTTTGGTTCAGGTACAAGGGTCAGGCGCCAGACCTCCTGGGGAAACAGGACAGCGTTTACGAAGGTGAGCCTACGCCCCGTTTGGGCGCAGCGCCAACGCTGGCGGCTCTCTCACCGTCTACCTGTTCCCCTGCAGAGGACTGGGACATGCTGGATGTGGACGAAGACGAGAAGCTGACGGGAGAGGAGGAGTTCGAGCTGTTATCTGGTCCGTTGGGTCTGAGCGAGCGAAGGATCGTTCCTGAGCCCGTCCAGTTCCCTGACAGCGACCCCCTGGGGGCCTCCATCGCCATGGTGATGGCCTCCAACAGCATGGAGGAGACACTGCTGCAGATAGGTAACATCTGCGCTGTGAGGTAGAAGGCGTGCGTGAAACGGCAGCCGTCTGAGCCGCTGTTTGTCTCCAGGATGTCAGACCTCGGTGGATAAGAGCTCCTCAGGCAGGATGACACTGGGCGAGCAGGCCGCCGCCCTCCTGAACCCCCACGACCGCGTCATGGCGCTGAGGAGGGTGACGGCTGCAGCTCAGGTGCTGCTGGCCAGGACCATGGTGATGAGGGCGCTGTCCCTGCTGTCTGTCAGGTAAAGCCCAGAGGCACAGACCTCAGCGAAACGTCTGGAAGGTTGGAGGGGAAAAAAGTCATAAAGAAATGAAACTTTGAAAAACATTTCAATGAAAAAAAGGGTTTTAAAAGTAACTTACCAGTTTTCTGTGATTTTATTTTAGTTGTTTACAGATTATTGCATTTTTTATTTTATTCATTCAGGCCCTGTCCACACGAAGACGAACCCTGGCCTAAACGCACAAATTTTTCACCAAACCAGCCTCTCATCCACACGAAGCCGGCGTTTCGGGGGTCTGTAAACGATCATTTTTTTATTCACCCTTCAGAGTGGGAAGATTCTGAAACGCCGTTTTCGCGTTTCCATGTTTACACCCTAACCGCATTTTTTTTTTTTACACGCATGCGTCATAGCGTCGCCTCTAAACACGCAAGCGCGACACATCACAACAACAATGGCGCCGTTGCTGCTCATGCTACTCACCCTGCTGTCGGGCTTACAACAGAATCTTCTTCTTCTGGAATATCTCCAGGAAGAACAGAGCAATATCGACCACATAGTTCAGCACCTGAATTTGACTGAACCACGAAAATAGACCCGCAGGGCAACCATGTATAAATATTAGTGCGCATGCCCTACATTTCGTCGCTTATTTTTGCTTTGGCACCACAGCGCCACTTACAGGCCTGGCATACATTTTGCAGCGTTTTCATGCATTTGTGTGGACGCTCACATTTATTTTACGTCTCCGTCTTTACGGCAAACGTTTTGGAAAATATCAGCGTTTCGTGTTCGTTTTGACTTCGTGTGGACGGGGCCTAAGATGGACTTCAGTGATCACCTTCTGTTGTTGCTAAAGTCCATCAGACCAATAGAAATGCATCTTTGCTCCTTCCTCCGTTCTGTTACAAACTCTCGTGATGTTTTGCAAATTCTTGTGAGATTTTGTTAGTAAAATAGATCGATACCGCGTCAATATATCAACATATAAAAATATGGCAACATTTTGTGAATTTTCGGGGGATTTCGTAGCATAACGATGACATATAGCAATATTTCATTAGTAAAAGAGATTGATATGGTGTTTTTAAATGGCAATATATCAGCATATGAAGATATTGTGATATTTTAATGTATCAATATTTTTTCCCTCGTCTTTAGAAGTTTTTAAGTCTGTAAAAAAGAAGTTTTTGAGGAAGAAGAAGAAATAGTATTTATTTATTTTTTTTTTAGACTTTAGAAACTCAGAAGCTGATCAAATATCGGGTTAAATATCGGTGGGGCGGCCAATGTCCGATATTCAGTTTTAAGGCCGATACAGATAGGAGGCCGATTATATCGAGCATCCCTACTTCACATGATGCTCAAAATTCCTCATTTTCCTCATTAGGACTTTATTCTCATAACATTACAATTTTATTGTAGTAATGTTACAAATCCTGGTAAGAATCCTGGCCCTAATACTCCGTAATAGAATGTAAAGTGCGAAGAATGAATAAATAAAGAAAGAAATCTCTCAAAACAGTTTTTTGATTAAGCTGTTTTCAGTGTTTTTTTTTCTGGATTGCTTAGTTTGCCTCCATAGATCAGCAGGGTTCTGTTTTCTCCGTCTCTCCCAGCGGGTCCAGCTGCAGCCTGGCTGCAGGACTCGAGTCCCTCGGCCTAACAGACATCAGGACTCTGGTCCGACTCATGTGCCTTGCCGCTGCGGGTCGAGCCGGCCTCTCCACCAGTCCGGCAGCGGGTCCGGGCCACTTGGAAAGGCCCCGGGGGACAAGCAAGGCCAGCAAACCCATCTCCTGTCTGGCCTACCTGAGCACAGCCGTGGGCTGCCTGGCCTCCAACAGCCCCAACGCCGCCAAGCTGCTGGTGCAGCTCTGCACACAGGTACTGGGCCTCTTTGGATCCAGGTGGTGTTTAAACAGAATCCGCTGAAGGTGGTGAAATAAGAAGCTGTTGGAGCCCGTCTCCACCTCCACCTCAGGTCCTCAGCAGCCGAGTTCTGCTGGGGTTCCAGTCTGAATCCGCTCTCACTCCGCTCCATTTCTGCTCCAGAATCTGATCTCTGCAGCCACCGGCATGAACCTGACCACGGTGGATGACCCCATCCAGAGGAAGTTCCTGCCCAGCTTCCTGCGCGGCGTGGCCGAGGAGAACAAGCTCATCACATCCCCGAACTTTGTGGTGACGCAGGCCCTGGTGGCCCTTTTGGCCGACAAGGGGGCCAGGCTGCGGCCGGTCTACGACAAGGCCGACCTGGAGAAAAGAGGTTTGTAGCTCAGCGCTGTCAACATGTTATCATGACATTCTGTTTTAGAGTCCATGTTTTTCTTCAGTTCAAGTGTAATGCATCTTGTCTGGTCACTGGGGTCACCTTCTGTTTTATGTTTGTGTTTTCATGGTTTTGGTTCTCCTTCCCTCACTCACCGGCTGTTCTTCACCCTCTGTTCCGTGTCGAGCAGGTCTAATTGCGCATTTGTATGCCCATCCTTCCCATAATCCTTCCGCTGTAGGCCCTCTGGAGCTGGCCAACGCTCTGGCGGCCTGCTGCCTGTCATCCAGGCTGTCCTCTCAGCACCGTCAGTGGGCAGCCCAGCAGCTGGTCCGCACGCTGGCGGCCCACGACCGCGACAACAACCAGAGCCGTCCGCAGACCTTCGCTGACATGGCGGGGGACCTGCGGAAGTGCTCCTTCATCAAGCTGGAAGCCCACCAGAGCAGGGTTGGTGCTGTCTCTCTGCAGCTGTCCGAGCTCTGGTTCCGCTCAGCGCCTGATGCTTGTTCTTGGTTTAGGTCATCACCTGCAGCTGGTGCAGCAAGAAAGGCCTGCTGGCTACCAGCGGCAACGACGGGACGGTCCGAGTGTGGAACGTGACGAAGAGCCAGTACACGCTGCAGCAGACCTGCGTCTTCAACAAGGAGTGAGTTCCTCTGGTTCTAACTGGCAGACCCGGTTCTGATCCGACAGAATGCTGATTGACCATTTAATTGTTTTACATCAGGGCAGATTCAGAGGTTCAAATGATCTAGTCAAAGCTCAAGCCTGAAACCAACCTAGAATCTGCTTACAGATGTTCTCCATCCAGTCTGAGGTGGAGCTGCAGATCTACAGGCTACTGATTTTGGGAGGATGAATGAGGGTGCATTGTTTTCCTCTTATTTTCCTCAGTGTTTTTAGGGTGCGGGGTTATAGAAAACATCTGGTTGTCCTTTAGAAAAAACTGCAGTAGAGCTGCAGTAAAAGGTTTTTCTAGGTTCTTCATAAACCACCGTAAATTCCGGACTATAAGCCGCTACTTTTTTCCTGCTGTTTGAACACTGCGGCCTATATTACAGTGCGGCTGATACATGTTTTTTTTTTTTTTTTTTATGGCGCGAAAAACAGACCAATAAAATTGATGAGTATTCACAGAGCATTTAAAGTGGCACTGCGCAGTGAGTGGGAGACGTGGATGACCAGTGGCGAGAAATCCTTCACCAAAACTGGCCGCATGCGAAGGACATCTTTCACTGATGTCTGCCTTGTGAAAACATCCAGCATCACCGGCGGGTTTCGGAAGGCTGGGCTGCTGTGGGATGAAGAGGACCGCGAGTGCTCAAGTGAGAGCGACATGGATGAGACTGAAGTCAGTGACGGCATCCTGAAGCTGTTCCATTCAGACACCGAGGAAGAGGACTTTGAGGGTTTTAGTGCGCAGGAGGAAGAAGAAAGTGACTAATGACTTTTCCTGGTCGGCTACAATGTTCTGTGCTAGGGGTGTAAATAATAATCGTTTTGTATCGATCCAACAGCCGACGATCCGATGCATCGATACGTCCGCAAGAGAATCGATTCATGTTTTTTTCCCCCTCCGGTCTATTTTTATCCATTTGCTCCTGGGCGTAATTCTCCCTCCCGTGCTGCGGTGGCGCTAAACCTATTTTGCCCTCCTACCTCGCTTCCTGGTTATACTCTTACAGCAGTGTGTTGCAGTAAGCTTGACACAGACATTTTTAAATTATGCTCAATATTGAAGCGTGGTCTGAGCTACACACTGTGGGTCTAGATACGGCCGAGGTGGTGAGGAAGTGGGGGCGAGTTTAGTCCGACGACGGAGGGACATGAGGGCCAAAAAGAGCGGAGATCCAGGTGGAAAAAGGATCCCAGCGTTCTCACGCACCTCACTCTTCTAGATGGTCAAACTTCATGAGTTGTTTTTCGCAATTTCGGTCATAAAAACCAGTCAAAAAAAAAAAACAGCCTCCTGTCTGCAGCACTGGTTGTGGTCAGCTACAATTTGGGAGAGGAGCAGCGGAGCGTCTGTGGGGGGGGCGGGACGTCTGGAGCTGAGGTATTGCATTGCACTCATTGCACTGATTGTCTGCAGTATTTTTTTATGCAACTTTTCTACTTCTGTTATTTGCTGTTGTTTCTCAAAAAAATGCAAAACGATATTACAGCTTTTATTGATTTATTTCAAACCTGAAACTTTGTTTAGCCTGTAAGGTGTTAAATAAAAAAAATAAATAAAATGAACCAATGAATCGAATCGTATCGCATCATGGTGTATTATTGAGTATCGAAAATAATGGAATCGTTGGGTCAGCAAATCGATACTGAATCGAATCGCCATGATGGATGTGATTTACACCCCTATTCTGTGGTTTGTTCAATTAAAAGTATTGGTATATGCAGCGTTATTTGCGTGATACCGACACATACGTATATTTAAATGTGTTACAGGTAGTTTGAAAAATAAAAAGCAGTCATACTATGTAACCTATTTGTTGTTTTATCATACGGATTAAATCAAACGTTAAAAAAAACGCTCCCGTGTAATATCCTTATTTGTAAATATCTCATACAACGTGGGAAACCTGCGGCTTAAAATCCAGTGCGGCTTATAAAAGTACAAAATTGATTTTCTTTCTAAAATTAGAGCGGGCTTGTAATCAGGTGCGCTCTATAGTCCGGAATTTACGGTACATTAAAATCCTGAGGGATCCATTCAGGCTAAGCCAGCAGCACCAGGCGGAGGGTAGAGGGACCCCTGACCCGTTTCCACCTCTCTGGAGTCATGTAGCAGTTGGAGGTAGGAGGCCGGGTGTCTCCGCTAACTGACCCTCCTGTGCTTGTCTCCTTGCTCAGTGATGGCTCCTCGGAGGACGGGATGTCCGGTCTGGGCTCCCCCAGCGACCCCTGCCTGTCCCCTCTGGCTTGGAGTGTGACTGGAAGATATCTGGCATCAGCCATGGAGAAAATGGTCAACATCTGGCAAGTTAACGGTAAACCGTCTGTTTCCTTCCTCCTCCTCACCTCTGACCAAAGCCTCTGACAGCCTCATGTCGTCAAGGTGACCTTAAGCGTAGCTTTTAGTCACCCTCTGATTCCTGCAGGCGGTAAAGGCCTCCTGGACGTCCAGCCTCACTGGGTGTCAGCGCTGGCGTGGCCGGAAGAGGAGGCGGAGTCTTTGTGGTGCGGGGAGCCCAAAGATATGCTGCTGGTGGGTCGGATGGATGGATCTCTGGGTCTCATAGAGGTTCTGGATGCAGCGGACATGCACCGTGTGGAGCTGGAGCACTGCTACAGGAAGGATGGTATGAATCCACCTGCCTGTGCGCGGCGAGGTGCTGCTGCAGGTGGAGTAAGGGCATGTCGTTTTTCAGTGGCAGTGATGCACATCGCCTGGTTCAGAGAGGACCGACCGTTCGCCGTGGGCTACGCCGACGGAAAGCTGCTGATCGGGTCCAAAGAGCCGTTGGAGAAAGGAGCCATCGTGGTCATCGACGCGCACAAGGTAAGCCGGAGCAGAACGGAGAAGCCGGACTGGTTCCAGAGGCGTTCCTCTAACTGGTGTCTGTTTCCACCTCACATTCTCAGGAGTCCATCACCAGTATGAAGTGGAGCCCAAACGGCCAAATCTTACTGACCTGCGCTAAGGAGGAGACCGTGAAGCTGTGGGCGGCCTGGGACTGCGATTCGGGTCGCGGTTCCGGCTGGAGCTGCCTGCAAAGTCCGCGACATCCGTCCCTGGTTAACAGCGTGGCCTGGTGCGGTCTGTCCGGACGCGGGCCGCAGCCCCTCAGCATGCTCGCCATGTACGTAACACTGAACGGGGCGGCGCCAGCCCACATAAGAGCCTTGAGCTGTTCAATCACTAAAACAAACGCTTGGTAGAAGTATTAGAAATTGCAGCTCAGAAGCACCTTCTCTGAGGTCTCCGCGCCTCTTCTAAGGAAACCTCTTGTTTTTCCAGATGCTGCCAGAATGGCCTGGTCTCTGTCTGGACCGTCCCTCAGGAAATCCGCCGCTTCCCGGAAGCCTGTATGTCTGATTCAGAGGGAGTGTGGGAGCACGGCAGCAAACCTAAAGCAATGGTAAATGAGCCACATTGAAGGTTAGAAAGGCTACTTCAGCACAGAACCAGAGCACCCCGTGGATATATACCCGTAGAACCAGAACAAACGGTGGATGTGAACCCGTAGAACCAGAACAAACGGTGGATGTGAACCCGTAGAACCAGAACAAATGGTGGATGTGAACCCGTAGAACCAGAACAAATGGTGGATGTGAACCCGTAGAACCAGAACAAATGGTGGATGTGAACCCGTAGAACCAGAACAAACGGTGGATGTGAACCCGTAGAACCAGAACAAATGGTGGATGTGAACCCACAGAACCAGACTGTTAAATGAAGTGTTTCATCTTTAACAAGACAAACTAGATGCGGTTCAGTTCACAGTGATGTCATTAAACCAACCTCAGCTTTTAGACAGCGCAGCAATTATCCTGAAGATGCTATGCTAACATTACTAGCTGCCACGAAGAAGAACAGTACCATGTGAAAAGTAGCCAATCACAGGCGGTATACTTTGTCCAGCGACTGCAGAGGAGGAGCCCTGCAGGCGCTGGTGGTAGGATTGAAGCTACAGGCCTCATAGGTTTAAAATACACAAAGACGGCAGCTAACATAGGTGTGAAAGTGCTTAATGAGAAATTATTGCATTAAGACCCTTTAGGCAGAACTCTGACTTCATATTTAGTGGGTTTAGTTATGAACACTGTAAAGTTCTGGTCGGGTTCTCATGAATGTTGATCCTTTGCAGCTTTGAAGGAATCAGATAAATGTTGAGAGGATTCACCTCAATCTCTTCCTTTAAAAGCTTTACCCCCTTTGTTGGTGTTGCAGTCGTCCCAGTGGTCTGAGGGTAGAGCCGTGTGCGTCTTCCGGCTGAAAGGACACATCACTCCTGTGCGGACATTGGCCTTCAGTCCAGATGGTCTGGCTCTGGCGTCTGGAGGTGTTGGAGGCCTCATGAACATCTGGTCCCTTCGGGTAAGACTCAACTGGACGGCTGACCTTGGTGGGACGGGTGGGACGTCTTCTTTGACCTTCATCATTATCTCCAACAGGACGGATCCGTCCTGCAGACAGTGGTCGCCGGCTCAGGAGCCATCCAGAACATTGTGTGGATCCCAGATGTCGGCGTGGCCGTCTGCTCCAACAGGTCCAAGGTGAGACACCTTCCTCTTCGTGTTGCCGTCCCGTTGCTCCTCATCCCGCCCTCATCCGGTTCTGCTTCGCCTCTGGTTCCAGGACGTTCTGGTCGTTAACTGCTCCAAAGAGTTCATGGCGTCCAACCACGTGCTGGCCACCTGCCGCATGGCGCTGAAGAAGCAGGGCGTGGTGGGCCTCAACATGGCGCCCTGCATGAGGGCGTTCCTGGAGAGACTGCCGGTGATGCTGCAGGAGCAGTACACCTATGAGAAGGTATCCGAGCTTCAGCGAACCAGTGTGGTTTTCATCAAACGAATCGGCAGACGCTCCTTTTATCCATGGCGAGAACTGATGAGCTAATCTAGATCCTTGATGACGTAAACATGATGAGTTGTGGGTGTGTTTTCGTTAATTAGACTAAATAAAAACCTTAGCAGGTTGTCTGTCAGATGTTTAAATGCATCATTGTGCTGTAATCTGCTAAGCGGTATCAGCCATGCTGTTGCGTCCGTGCAGCGGTGCATATTATGCATGAACACAGATGGACATTAGCAGCAGCGGCAGGGGGAAATAAGCAGGAACGGTCTGGTACTCTGACATACTCCTTTCTTTTGACCGTTTGTGCAGAAATAGCTCTGATTCTGCGCTCTACACCGACGGATTATTCTCAGCATCACGGCTCTCTCTGTCCTCGCTGCTTAATAAACTGATCAACATCTGCCAAACAAAAAAAAAAACCTTTTGTCAAACTATGAGGATTTGATTTCTTCCAGTTTAAAGACCCAGATGAAAAGGCACCTAGATCTTCTCTCTCATAGATCCTGTTTCTATTATTCAAACATCACGTAAATGTTTCCTTTTATTGTCATTAAAACTTTTTCACAACGTTTTCATAAAGCAGGGCGTAGGTTCATAAAAACATTTGGCTCCTAGAAACCAAAGGTTTTGATGAACTGGACAGCAGCGTCGTATCTCCATCTGTCAGAGACAATCTGGTTGACGACTAAAACTAAAATAGTTCTTGTTCTAAAACTTAAAAAAGTCCTCTGGGTCAGATGTTTAGATCAGGTTCTAGAGCGGTTCTGCGAAAACCAGGTAAAGTCAGCGTCTCCTTTCCTCTGCAGCCTCATGTAGTCTGTGGAGAGCAGCTGGTCCACAGCCCCTACATGCAGTGTTTGGCCTCGCTGGCCGTGGGCCTCCATCTGGACCAGCTGCTGTGCCGCCCCCCCGTCCCGCCTCACCTCCGGCGCTGTCCCCCAGAATCCGGTACTGCTGTCTGGACCGCCAGCGAATGGTCCTGGCTGGATGGCTTCTCCACCACTATCAAGGCGGCCGAGGCCCTCGCCCGTCGAGCCACGTTCCCCGACTCCTTCTGCGTTCCCGACCTGGAGCCGGTTCCCAAGGAGGATATGGTTCTGGTGATGGTGAGAGGCGACCCGATCGGCAGCCTGCGATCCGATGGTCCGCCCAACAGCTCACCTTAATGATCTGTCTGTTTCCAGGACAACGGGAAATGGGCGTCTGGGATGGACGAGCAGATCATGTCCTGGGCCACGACCAGACCTGAGGTGAGTGCGGGCCCAGCGCCGTGACCCCCGTCCTCTGAGGGAGGGTCTGCTTCATCCGTACCTGGTTCTGTCTATTTCTAGGACTGGCACCTGGGGGGGAAATGTGACGTCTTCCTTTGGGGAGCAGGTCGGCACGGCCAGCTGGCCGAGGCCGGCAGAAACCTCCTGGTTCCGACCACTGCCCCGTCGTTCTCACAGGCCCAGCAGGTTCTGGAAAAGCCATCTCCACATCGTGGTGTTGGATTCTGTCCCCCGCTGACTTGTCCTTCTCTCACAGGTGGTGTGTGGCCAAAATTGCACCTTTGTGATTCAGCCCAACGGGTCGGTTCTGGCCTGCGGAGAGGGCAGCTACGGCCGCCTGGGTCAGGGGAACTCTGACGACCTGCACGTCCTGACCATCATCTCTGCCCTCCAAGGTGAGCGCCCCAGCATGGTCCAGTCCGAACGCCGGTCTGGTCGTTAGCGGGGGTCTCTGAGTCTGAATGTCGTTGTCTGTCTCCAGGGTTCGTGGTGACCCAGCTGGTGACGTCATGTGGCAGCGACGGCCACTCGATGGCGCTGACAGAGAGTGGCGAGGTCTTCAGCTGGGGGGACGGAGACTATGGCAAGCTTGGCCATGGGAACAGCGACCGGCAGCGCCGCCCGCGGCAAATCGAGGCGTTGCAGGGGGAGGAGGTGGTTCAGGTTGGTCCGTCTGCAGGAGCGGGGTGGACTTTTGCCCAAGCCTGGTTCTAAGCTTCTCCCTGGTTCTGCAGATGTCCTGTGGGTTCAAACACTCGGCCGTGGTGACTGCCGATGGGAAGCTGTTCACCTTTGGGAACGGCGACTACGGCCGCTTGGGGCTGGGAAACACGTCCAACAAGAAGCTTCCGGAGAAGGTGGCGGCTCTGGACGGGTACCAGGTTGGACAGGTGAGCATCCGCCGAACAGCTGGTACCAGTTCTGACAGACCGAGGAGGTTCTGAGCTCAGACCGGTTCTCCTCAGGTGGCCTGCGGTCTAAACCATACGTTGGTGGTCTCTGCTGACGGGGCAATGGTTTGGGCCTTCGGTGACGGCGACTACGGCAAACTGGGACTGGGGAATTCCACGGCCAAGTCTTCTCCTCAGGTCAGGTCCGGCAGAACAGAAGAAGAAGAACCCGAGGGGACCAGAACAGGTTTGACCCGAGTGTGATTGATGTCTCTGCAGAAGGTGGAGGTTCTGTGTGGCGTCGGGATCAAGAAGGTGGCCTGTGGAACCCAGTTTTCCGTGGCGCTGACCAAAGATGGCAAAGTTTTCACCTTCGGCCAAGGTACCCTGGAGTTGTGGTCCTAGAAGTAGAACCCAGCTGAACTAACAGAATGACCCCCCCCTTCTATCGCCGCCGCTCTGAGTCCAGTGTTGTTCATGTTCCGTCTTCCTCTCTTTAAAGACCGCCTCATCGGGTTGCCAGAAGGCCGAGCTCGGAACCACAACCGACCCCAGCAGGTGCCGGCGCTGTCAGGGATCCACATCCAGCATGTGGCGGTCGGAGCCGAACACACACTGGTTCTGTCGTCCGGCGGAGACGTTTACGCCTGGGGCAGCAACTCCGAGGGACAGGTAACCATGAGACGGCCCCCAGGGTCCAGAGTCCTGACCAGATTTCTCAGCTTTTGATCCGTGGAACTGGTTCTGCTTGCAGCTGGGTCTGGGCCACACCAACCACGTCAGAGAACCAACGCTGGTGACAGCGCTGCAGGGAAAGAACATCAACCAAATCTCTGCTGGACGCTGTCATAGCGCCGCCTGGACAGCTCCCTGCGTGCCGCCGCGGGCGCCAGGTTTGTACCACGCCGTCCTTGTCTGGAGCGCTGATCTGGTTCATCGAAGGGTTCAACTCAGGATCATGGTCACCTCTCCAGAATGTTCCTGTTGCTCCTTCAGGAATCGGGATGGTCCTGAACCTCTTGATCAGCACCTCTAAATGGCTGCTTTTTCATTTCCAATGATTGAAACACATTTCTGAACCAGTTTCTTGAGTTAAAGTCTACAGCGGTTCTGCTGTGACCCGTACAGGTTCAGAATAGAAAAGAACCAAACTTCCTCCTCTTCTTCAGGGTCGTCGGTTCCGCTCCAGCTGGGGCTGCCGCTGGCGGTGCCCCCTCAGTACAGCGGGCTGAAGGAGGTGAGCATGGAGGCGGTCCGCGCCCGGCTCCGCCTCCTCTACCACTTCTCGGACCTCATGTACTCATCATGGAGGCTGCTGAACCTCAGCCCCAACTACCAGGTGAGACGGAACCTCCTAGAACCCAGAGACCCGGCCCTGGTTCTGTCACTGTTTTCCCTGACTGCTTATCCGTGTTCTGCAGAGCTGCACCTCCCACTACAACGCCGGGACCTGGGGAATCGTCCAGGGCCAGCTGAGGCCCCTGTTGGCCCCCCGGGTCTACACCCTGCCCATGGTCCGCTCCATCGGTAAGACCATGGTCCAGGGGAAGAACTACGGACCCCAGATCACCGTCAAACGGATCTCTACTCGGTCAGTGACCCGCCTTCTCTTTGGACCATAGTTGAGGTTCTGAAGCTGAAGGTTCTCTGGTTCTGCTCTCTCTGGTTCCGCAGTGGCCGTAAATGTAAGCCCATCTTCGTCCAGATCGCACGGCAGGTGGTGAAGCTGAACGCCTCGGACCTGCGGCTGCCATCCCGGGCCTGGAAGGTGAAGCTGGTGGGGGAGGGGGCGGACGACGCGGGGGGCGTGTTTGACGACACCATCACAGAGATGTGTCAGGTACCGCTGCTTCTGAGCTCCTTTCAGTCTCATTCCGGGACTCTGCGGCCCACTGATGGCAGCCATGTGTTGCAGGAGCTGGAGACGGGCGTGGTGGACCTGCTGATCCCATCGCCTAACGCCACCGCAGAGGTCGGCTACAACAGAGACAGGTGAGCAGAGGAGCCGACCTGGTTCTTGATAATCCCGCTGTGAGCGGACTCAACGCCGTCCTCTGGTCTGCCTCAGGTTCCTGTTCAACCCGTCCGCCTGCCTGGAGGAGCACATGCTCCAGTTCAAGTTTCTGGGCATCCTGATGGGCGTGGCCATCAGAACCAAGAAGCCTCTAGACCTGCACCTGGCGCCGCTGGTCTGGAAGCAGCTGTGCTGCATCCCGCTGCAGCTGGAGGACCTGGAGGAAGTGGACCTGCTCTACGTCCAGACGCTGAAGAGCATCCTTCACATTGAAGACAGCGGCATCACCGAGGACAGCTTCCACGAGGTGGGCCCGCTTAGAGCAGGTTCTGAGTCCAGTAGAACCCGGCCTCTCAGAGCTACAGCGACCCGCTTAGATCAGGTTCTGGGTCCAGTAGAACCCGGCCTCTCAGGGCTACAGTGACCCACTTAGACCAGATTCTGGGTCCAGTAGAACCCGGCCTCTCAGGGCTACAGCGACCCACTTAGAGCAGGTTCTGGGTCCCAGTAGAACCCGGCCTCTCAGGGCTACAGCGACCCACTTAGAGCAGGTTCTGGGTCCCAGTAGAACCCGGCCTCTCAGGGCTACAGCGACCCACTTAGAGCAGGTTCTGGGTCCCAGTAGAACCCGGCCTCTCAGGGCTACAGCGACCCACTTAGAGCAGGTTCTGGGTCCCAGTAGAACCCGGCCTCTCAGGGCTACAGCGACCCACTTAGAGCAGGTTCTGGGTCCAGTAGAACCTGACCTCTCAGGGCTACAGCGACCCACTTAGACCAGATTCTGGGTCCAGTACAACCCGGCCTCTCAGGGCTACAGCGACCCACTTAGAGCAGGTTCTGGGTCCAGTAGAACCCGGCCTCTCAGGGCTACAGCGACCCACTTAGACCAGATTCTGGGTCCAGTAGAACCCGGCCTCTCAGGGCTACAGCGACCCACTTAGAGCAGGTTCTGGGTCCAGTAGAACCTGACCTCTCAGGGCTACAGCGACCCACTTAGACCAGGTTCTGGGTCCAGTAGAACCCGGCCTCTCAGGGCTACAGCGACCCACTTAGAGCAGGTTCTGGGTCCCAGTAGAACCCGGCCTCTCAGGGCTACAGCGACCCACTTAGAGCAGGTTCTGGGTCCAGTAGAACCCGGCCTCTCAGGGCTACAGCGACCCGCTTAGATCAGGTTCTGGGTCCAGTAGAACCGGTTCTGGGTCCAGTAGAACCCGGCCTCTCAGGGCTACAGCGACCCACTTAGACCAGGTTCTGGGTCCAGTAGAACCCGGCCTCTCAGGGCAACAGCGACCCACTTAGACCAGGTTCTGGGTCCAGTAGAACCCGGCCTCTCAGGGCTACAGCGACCCGCTTAGAGCAGGTTCTGGGTCCCAGTAGAACCCGGCCTCTCAGGGCTACAGCGACCCACTTAGAGCAAGTTCTGGGTCCCAGTAGAACCCGGCCTCTCAGGGCTACAGCGACCCACTTAGAGCAGGTTCTGGGTCCAGTAGAACCTGACCTCTCAGGGCTACAGCGACCCACTTAGACCAGATTCTGGGTCCAGTAGAACCCGGCCTCTCAGGGCAACAGCGACCCACTTAGACCAGGTTCTGGGTCCAGTAGAACCCGGCCTCTCAGGGCTACAGCGACCCACTTAGAGCAGGTTCTGGGTCCAGTAGAACCCGGCCTCTCAGGGCTACAGCGACCCACTTAGAGCAGGTTCTGGGTCCAGTAGAACCCGGCCTCTCAGGGCTACAGCGACCCACTTAGACCAGGTTCTGGGTCCAGTAGAACCCGGCCTCTCAGGGCAACAGCGACCCACTTAGACCAGGTTCTGGGTCCAGTAGAACCCGGCCTCTCAGGGCTACAGCGACCCGCTTAGATCAGGTTCTGGGTCCAGTAGAACCTGGCCTCTCAGGGCTACAGCGACCCGCTTAGACCAGGTTCTGGGTCCAGTAGAACCCGGCCTCTCAGGGCTACAGCGACCCACTTAGACCAGGTTCTGGGTCCAGTAGAACCCGGCCTCTCAGAGCTACAGCGACCCGCTTAGATCAGGTTCTGGGTCCAGTAGAACCCGGCCTCTCAGGGCTACAGTGACCCGCTTAGACCAGATTCTGGGTCCAGTAGAACCCGGCCTCTCAGGGCTACAGTGACCCACTTAGACCAGGTTTTGGGTCCAGTAGAACCCGGCCTCTCAGGGCTACAGCGACCCACTTAGACCAGGTTCTGGGTCCATTAGAACCCGGCCTCTCAGGGCTACAGCGACCCACTTAGAGCAGGTTCTGGGTCCCAGTAGAACCCGGCCTCTCAGGGCTACAGCGACCCACTTAGAGCAGGTTCTGGGTCCCAGTAGAACCCGGCCTCTCAGGGCTACAGCGACCCACTAAGAGCAGGTTCTGGGTCCAGTAGAACCTGGCCTCTCAGGGCTACAGCGACCCATTTAGACCAGATTCTGGGTCCAGTAGAACCTGGCCTCTCAGGGCTACAGCGACCCAGTTAGAGCAGGTTCTGGGTCCAGTAGAACCTGGCCTCTCAGGGCTACAGCGACCCACTTAGAGCAGGTTCTGGGTCCAGTAGAACCCGGCCTCTCAGGGCTACAGCGACCCACTTAGAGCAGGTTCTGGGTCCAGTAGAACCTGGCCTCTCAGGGCTACAGCGACCCACTTAGACCAGGTTCTGGGTCCAGTAGAACCCGGCCTCTCAGGGCTACAGCGACCCACTTAGACCAGGTTCTGGGTCCAGTAGAACCCGGCCTCTCAGGGCTACAGCGACCCACTTAGATCAGGTTCTGGGTCCAGTAGAACCTGGCCTCTCAGGGCTACAGCGACCCACTTAGAGCAGGTTCTGGGTCCAGTAGAACCCGGCCTCTCAGGGCTACAGCGACCCACTTAGACCAGGTTCTGGGTCCAGTAGAACCCGGCCTCTCAGGGCTACAGCGACCCACTTAGACCAGGTTCTGGGTCCAGTAGAACCCGGCCTCTCAGGGCTACAGCGACCCACTTAGAGCAGGTTCTGGGTCCAGTAGAACCTGGCCTCTCAGTGCTACAGCGACCCACTTAGACCAGGTTGTGGGTCCATTAGAACCCGGCCTCTCAGGGCTACAGCGACCCACTTAGACCAGGTTCTGGGTCCATTAGAACCTGGCCTCTCAGGGCTACAGCGACCCACTTAGAGTAGGTTCTGGGTCCAGTAGAACCCGGCCTCTCAGGGCTACAGCGACCCACTTAGAGCAGGTTCTGGGTCCAGTAGAACCTGGCCTCTCAGGGCTACAGCGACCCCCTTAGAGCAGGTTCTGGGTCCAGTAGAACCTGGCCTCTCAGGGCTACAGCGACCCGCTTAGAGCAGGTTCTGGGTCCCAGTAGAAGCTGACCTCTCAGGGCTACAGCGACCCACTTAGACCAGGTTCTGGGTCCAGTAGAACCCGGCCTCTCAGGGCTACAGCGACCCACTTAGAGCAGGTTCTGGGTCCATTAGAACCTGGCCTCTCAGGGCTACAGCGACCCGCTTAGAGCAGGTTCTGGGTCCCAGTAGAACCTGACCTCTCAGGGCTACAGCGACCCACTTAGACCAGGTTCTGGGTCCAGTAGAACCCGGCCTCTCAGGGCTACAGCGACCCACTTAGAGCAGGTTCTGGGTCCATTAGAACCTGGCCTCTCAGGGCTACAGCGACCCACTTAGAGCAGGTTCTGGGTCCAGTAGAACCTGGCCTCTCAGGGCTACAGCGACCCACTTAGACCAGGTTCTGGGTCCAGTAGAACCCGGCCTCTCAGGGCTACAGCGACCCACTTAGAGCAGGTTCTGGGTCCATTAGAACCCGGCCTCTCAGGGCTACAGCGACCCACTTAGAGCAGGTTCTGGGTCCAGTAGAACCCGGCCTCTCAGGGCTACAGCGACCCGCTTAGATCAGGTTCTGGGTCCAGTAGAACCGGTTCTGGGTCCAGTAGAACCCGGCCTCTCAGGGCTACAGCGACCCACTTAGACCAGGTTCTGGGTCCAGTAGAACCCGGCCTCTCAGGGCTACAGCGACCCACTTAGACCAGGTTCTGGGTCCAGTAGAACCCGGCCTCTCAGGGCTGCAGCGACCCACTTAGACCAGGTTCTGGGTCCAGTAGAACCCGGCCTCTCAGGGCTACAGCGACCCACTTAGACCAGGTTCTGGGTCCATTAGAACCTGGCCTCTCAGGGCTACAGCGACCCACTTAGAGTAGGTTCTGGGTCCAGTAGAACCCGGCCTCTCAGGGCTACAGCGACCCACTTAGAGCAGGTTCTGGGTCCAGTAGAACCTGGCCTCTCAGGGCTACAGCGACCCACTTAGAGCAGGTTCTGGGTCCAGTAGAACCCGGCTTCTCAGGGCTACAGCGACCCGCTTAGATCAGGTTCTGGGTCCAGTAGAACCGGTTCTGGGTCCAGTAGAACCCGGCCTCTCAGGGCTACAGCGACCCACTTAGATCAGGTTCTGGGTCCAGTAGAACCCGGCCTCTCAGGGCTACAGCGACCCGCTTAGAGCAGGTTCTGGGTCCCAGTAGAACCCGGCCTCTCAGGGCTACAGCGACCCACTTAGACCAGGTTCTGGGTCCATTAGAACCTGGCCTCTCAGGGCTACAGCGACCCACTTAGAGCAGGTTCTGGGTCCAGTAGAACCCGGCCTCTCAGGGCTACAGCGACCCACTTAGAGCAGGTTCTGGGTCCAGTAGAACCCGGCCTCTCAGGGCTTCAGCGACCCGCTTAGAGCAGGTTCTGGGTCCAGTAGAACCCGGCCTCTCAGGGCTTCAGCGACCGACTTAGAGCAGGTTCTGGGTCCAGTAGAACCTGGCCTCTCAGTGCTACAGCGACCCGCTTAGAGCAGGTTCTGGGTCCCAGTAGAACCTGACCTCTCAGGGCTACAGCGACCCACTTAGAGCAGGTTCTGGGTCCCAGTAGAACCCGGCCTCTCAGGGCTACAGGACCCACTTAGAGCAGGTTCTGGGTCCCAGTAGAACCCGGCCTCTCAGGGCTACAGCGACCCACTTAGAGCAGGTTCTGGGTCCAGTAGAACCTGGCCTCTCAGGGCTACAGCGACCCGCTTAGAGCAGGTTCTGGGTCCCAGTAGAACCTGACCTCTCAGGGCTACAGCGACCCACTTAGAGCAGGTTCTGGGTCCAGTAGAACCTGGCCTCTCAGGGCTACAGCGACCCACTTAGACCAGGTTCTGGGTCCCATTAGAACCCGGCCTCTCAGGGCTACAGTGACCTACTTAGAGCAGGTTCTGGGTCCAGTAGAACCTGGCCTCTCAGGGCTACAGCGACCCACTTAGACCAGGTTCTGGGTCCCAGTAGAACCTGGCCTCTC